AACCTAACCCTAAACCTAAACCTAACCTAAACCTAAAACCTAAACCCTAAACCCTAAACCTAAACCTAAACCCTAACCTAAAAACCTAAACCTAAAACCTAACCCTAAAACCTAAAAACCTAAAACCTATTATTCATGACGAACAATTTTAAATACCAATAATTGGGTTCCACTGTTCGCTTTAAAAAAAAAAAATTCTATTCGAATGAAAGTGGTTCATTTATTTTATTTTTAATTAAGAAAGAAATCTAATTATATAAACGGCATCCAATTTAAATGCTAAGTAATTAACAACACATACATCCAAAGAGTGGTCAATGAAAAAATCAAAACTGCGTTTCCGACGTTCTACTTCGTGTCCTTCTCATGTTATTGCAATCTTTGTCAACGTTCCTCGTAAACCTGTTAGCAACTCTTCTACAAGTTCTCAAAACAAACCGAGTAAATCGTCCAAAACAACCCGTAGATCCCCTAGTTCCGTGAGAAGTGGAAGTTGAAGATTTAGCTAAGGAGAGCCTTTCCGTTGCAACTTCTAATTTAGTTTCCAAAACTCTGCACTCTTTTTCTTGAGAAAGAAGAAGCTTCTTTAAACCTTTTTCATGTGTATTTAATTCGCTTAACCGTGAGTTAAGTTCTGAAATTTGACTTGATATACTTTCATCAAGAACTTTTTTTCCAAAAATACCCTTCTTACCTACTTTTTTAACTTCAAATTGTGAAATTTTCTCTGATAAATCACTAATCTGTTCGTTCTTCTCAGCAAGTCTTTCAGAAAGTTTAGCCAGCTCATCTATACACTGCTTTAGTTCAACTTGAGCTCTTTGAACGGCAGAATTAAGCGCACTTATATCATTTCTTGTAATACTTGTAGTTGGTTTCTCCAAAATGGCATCATCCTGAATTACACTAAGTTCAGTCTGATGGCGACTGTTGTAGATTGAATGTTCCATTTTGGAACATTTTTCCTCAATTCTTTGATAAGAATCAGTATCTTTCCTAACCTGATCATCAGTTTTATCACATATTTTACTCTGCTGGGATACTTCGCGTGCTAATTGACGTTTCTCAGCCAGACAAGCTAAGAAATTATTCCACATTTTTCTACACAATTCTTTGTCAAACGACGGAGATTTGTGACGTCCCTTACAATATTTATCATAATCTCCCTTTAAACCATCGCAGACACTTCCTTTTAAAGAATGATCAGATTGCAACTTAACCAAAGCGTTTGTGCAAGATTCATGTTGTTCAATAGAGTTACTCAAAGAAGATCTTGCAGTTGAAAGTTCAGCAAGACAAAGTCTGTGTTTCTCTTCTAAAGATAAATTCACGGGCCTATTTGTCTTACGTGGTGGAAAAATCGATGATTGAAGAGTGAGAAATGATTTGCCGTGAATACTAGTACTAGTACCACTGTTGAAGTGAATTAAACTGTAAATTGAGATGAAAAGATAAACTAGTCTTAACATATTCAAAAACTCATCTAGATTAAAGACAGCGAGTTTTGACTATTAAAATGTTGAAGAAAGTTAATTAATCAACTAGTTTTCAATTATTTATTATTTTTTAAAATTAATTATCAATACTGACCGAAAAGAAAGATTTAAGTGCCCGCCTTAATATCAAAAAATGTTTGAAATACCATTTGTCGTTTTAAAGTGACTTCAATTATTTAAGACATTAATCTCTGTTTTAGGAAATTTTCTATCGGCATTTTTGTTCTTTTATAAATTAAATTTGTTATTATTGAATCTTTGTCTACAAACGTCTATTCAAGTTATCAATGCTTGTTTTTATTCCAAATAGCCTAAACAATATAGTGAGACAATTAATCCAAACTTACGAAATTTTCTCTGTTTTTAAGCTTGATTTTTCGCCTGAAGACTGGTTTTTAAGTGTCTTAAAAGACTAATTTGCAATTTATCCCTTTACTCCGAATTCTTAACTTTATACTTTGAAATCTTCAACCAATTGAAGATTCGTATTGATTTTCAAAAATTTTCTTTAATATATATCAATATTATGTATTGTTTTCATTTAAACTCTGAAAGTCACATATCTTCTAGTATATATCGTTTTCTAAACCTCTAAGCGTTGCCATCAGGCCAAAATCAAATTTTTCTTGATACTTTGAAGATTTTCACGTATCCAAACTTTATGATTTGCTAATTAGATGAATACTCGCATGTTTTAGTTTTTGAGTTTTCTATCTTAATTGGGTAACTCATTACTACCATTTATAATGCATGTCAAATCCATATAGAAAAAAAACAGAAATCTAAAACTCTTAAGTTTCCTAAATTAAATTTAAAATTCCCCACTAATTAGTGTATTTTCTGAGTCCAGAATTTGGTGCACTGTTTCTTAAAATTTCAAATAAATTAAAATTTTGATCAATATTCGTCATTTTAATTAAGTATTTTTAATGGCTTTCTATTATTTGAACAGCTATTTTGAATTGTCTTCTTTGGAAGCCAGTTTTAAATTTATTGAAACTGGCGTCCCGGCAACAAAAAGTATAATAAGAAAAAAATATATTGAAAAAAATCGAAAACAAAATCTTCCGATAACTAACCAGATGTTTTTTATATACCTTCAAATTAAGAAATAACTCCTAAACGGTTTTAAAATGTACATTAAAAACTTTTTGATTTATACTGAATGAAACATAACAAAAAAAAAGCCAGAGTTAGGGATTAAATTACTTCTACAAGATGCTGTGATGAATTTAAACTAAATTTAGCCAGAAAAAATTACTTTGGCTGTGTTTATAAACAGCAATTTAAAGTAAAATTTAACATATTAATAGTGTTATTTTCAAAGGCATATTAGCCTCTAAATCATTCATTTAGTCAAACTAACTATAAAAATCTACTTTTATATTTTAAGAAATTCAATTATCCTTTTAACCATTTAAATGATATTAAATTTAAATAATAACCAATCTAAATCATTCTTTGTTGGAATATCAATGAGCTAACTCTCTAGCAATACCTAAAGTACTAATATCCAAAAAAAAACATTAGGCGTGTTCTTTATATTCTGGTTGTTAAAAAATGGATCTAAAGTAACTATGACAAGTTGACTAATTAGTAATATAAACTTTTAAATTTATAAGATTTGAGAATTTTTTTTCAAAGAATTTTAAAAATAGGATAATTTAATATTTTATGATCAATTTCAATCTGTCTTCTAAATAATTTACATTTAATGAATAAACAAAATATAGCAATCAAAATAAATAAATATTATCCAAAAAATCTTAAACAAAAAACGTTGTTTTTCAAAAATACTTCACATTGAAAAAAAATTATTCTTTGCATCGTTCTCTACAAATCTATTTATTTATATTTGTCATAATTATTACAGTAGGTAAATATGCAAACCTACTTAAAACCGGAACAACTTCATTTTTTTCAACTTCAATAATTAAAATAATACCTTTTTATCTACTTAAAAAAAACTATCGCTAATTCTAATTTTTCTTTTTCTTATCTGCACGTATTTGTACGCTAAGCAACTTTGCCATAATGCATGCAGTGCCCGCCAAAAAATCTAGTTATTTGAAAATAAAGTATATTGGAAATCAAAAGTAGGATTACTTCTCAAAAAAACAGAAATAGGAAAACTTGACTATTATAAAATTGAAATTTTAGCGATTTAAAGCATTGGAGAAGGACATATGTAGGAAGTTTGCAGTATGTGCATGCAACGAGCAATTTTGACAAGACTTATACGTTTAAAATGCCAAATAATTTAGAGTATTTGATATTGACTATTATAAAAACATATTTAAAAGAAATTAAAACAAGTGTATTCCAATAATTAATAGGTCAATTTTTCAGTTAATAACTCAGAAATTAATGAACATCGAAAAAATTTGATTATTATTCTAAATTATTACATTAATCAATTGTGAGATTTGTTGCAAAAAATCTGTTTTTATTGTCAATATTTATGCTTAATTGTGGAACTGTATTTAGATTAAGATATTGTAGTGAAAGAAGAGTTTAGCGGGATGCGATATAAAGGTTCTAGTTTTGGATCAAGTGAATTTACTACAATAGAGAATGATCAATCTGTCTTGAGCCATAATAGTGCAGAGAAGAATGTAATTGATTCTCTTCCTATTTTAAATAGGGATGGATTTGGCCCTCTTACAATTGTAGCAACAAGTTTAAATAATAAATTTCAGAAACGTGTGTATTCAGGAACCTTTGAAATTCCCATCTATGGTAGAAACTCACATATAGTTTTTTACGAAATTGAAACAAAAAATTTCATATTAATTTGGATTGAGAAACATTTTGTTGGAGATGTAATTGCTAACTCTGGAACAGTCTTTATCGAATCTGGTAATGATATCTTTTGTTTGAATGACTTGGAACTCAGAAAAAAAAATGGAGATATCATTTCAACTGAGTGTCCATGGGGTGCACAAATATTTCTTGAAAATGATATTAGTAACTTCAAATTCTCTCCGGAATCTATTAGGTGTTTCAAACCACAAGAACCTCCGGCTGATTGGAATCCAATAACTTCTACTATTTTCCCTTCAAATAAGAATTATGTTGAACTAATTAAACTTCTGAAATCCAACGTTTCCAGATCAGATGAAGCTGCATTTTCAAATATACAAGAAGATGGCACTCCTACAGCTCTTCTTTTCATAATTGATGATAAATATATGACGTTATTTTTGCCAGAGAACTTTTCTTATTCATATGACAAAGAAACATTTACAGTTTTTAGATCTGATGGATCATATTATGATGTTCATAAAGGAATTTTTAGAACGGAAAGCGGACTCGAAATTGTAACCAATGCTCCTTGGGGGAAAAAACTGAATTTTGATGAAAATTTGGTCAGGATATCCAATAATATCAACGAAATATTAAATTCATTCGTTATCCCCTCCATAGTAGTAGGCAATTATGGTGATTTCCCTGTTAAAAAACGAGAAAAATTCCTTTCAAAAAAGATAAAAAGTGCATATCAAAGATTAAAAGGATCAAATTAAATTGATTTTTTGTGCAAAGCTCTAGAATCAATAAAGTTAATAATGCCTATCATCTTTATTGATTTAAATATCAATAAATAAATAAATAAATAAATATATATATATATATATATATATATATATACATAGTTTCTAATTGTATTTTCCAAGTTTAAATTCTATGTATTACTTTTCTAATTAAAGATATTTCAAGATGATTTGGTAAATGAAATAGATGAAGTTAAAATCAAGTTTGTTAATGAAGTGTTTGTTTTCTAATGTTTAACGTTAAGCTTCGTCTTATACAATTTCTTGTGATAATATAAAGAATTTCGGAGTTGAGATATCAAGCAAGGCATCTACCCTCCGAAAAATGATTTATTTTGTTTAACTTTGGAATTGTTTCTTAGATGTTTGTGTTGAATTGTTTGAGTTATTTACCGTGTACAAAGCCATGTTCATCTTTTATTTATGCTACTATAGTTCAATAAAGGCATGTTATGGTCAAACTTATAAATGTTAATTTGGATTCCTGTGTACCCGTTATAACTATTTAATAATTGAGCCCTTACATTGGCCAAAGCATTGGCAATATTTTCACTTTGGGGAAGCTATTATTAAAGAATTTGAAATTTTGTGGAAATCTAAACGTAAGCTGAGATCAATTCAGTATAATTATTAATCTAAAATTTAGATATTTTTTTAGTATCAAGTATGCTTGAAACAAAAGACAATTGACTACTTTTCCTCAATAATATGCATATTAAATTATTTAATAATTTAAGATAATTAATGGGGCTTCAATTCATTTAATATATGAATACTGAAATCTGTAAAAGTGATAGAATGGGATTGCTCAACTATCTCAAATAATAATTACTTAATTTGTAATATTTGAAAAGAAATTTCATTCTTTTTTTCTTAAATAATAAATGAATAACCAAATATTTATAAGGTCCAGAAAATTACTCAGTTAACTCTCTTTGGACGTCTAATCATATAGAAGTGATCCAAAATTAATTACCTATAAAACAAAAAGCTCTGTTTTAAATTGTTAAATTAACAATATTTCAGTAAATTCCAATAATGGAAAAAAAATTAAATATAGCTTAAAGGATTATCAGTATTCAAGGCAGCTAAATGATATTCTATCTTGAATCAATACATTAAGATAACTAGAATCTAAATTGTATATGGCTCCCAGTTAGTTTCTGTAATAGTATTTATTTTAATTAAATTCCTAATCAAAGATTATTCTCATGAAGTTCAAGAAGGAATTATACTGTTTAACAAGAAATCATGAAAACTATGATAAATTATAATCAAAATATATTTGGAGTCTTATATATATCGAGTTTATTTTACTTAATTGAACTCTAGTGTTTTAGCTAGGTTATGGTATAATCAATCATAAAATTCCACCATATTAAAATAAAATTTGAATTTATGATTAAATTATGAAGAAAAATTTAATGGCTTGTTAGGTTGCCATTTATAAAGTTCAGAATAGTAATATATGCCAGATTTATTAAATTAAAATTATATCATTTAACTCCAGTGTATTCAAAATAGAATTATTCGATAGAAATTAAGCAGAGTAATTCCGAAAACTGAAACAAGGAACTACCATTTCAAGTAAACACAATTAATTAGAGAAGAATTTAAGAAGAAAATATTAAATAGCCTATATAAGAAGTATTGTGTTGACTTTAAACTCTAAAACTTATATTCTGATTTAGAATCTTTTGAAAGCTTCAAAAAATCCACAGTATTGTTTTGGATTAAATTTTTATCAAACTTTAAATCAGCTGGCATCATATGATCGTCCAATTCGATACTTACTTCTGGTGCAGCTTTAATCATTGGTAGATTTCCTTTAGAAATACAGTTTGGAGAATATGAATGACCACTTCGTATCCATTCAATAACTTCGTAAAGTATGTTTGAAGAATGATTAGGCATCCTACCAACTAACGAGAGCAAAATGGGCAGAACAACGGCTCCGTGGAAAATTCCAAATCCAACTACCATGAGCATCATTTTAAAGAATACAGTGAAAATATATGATGAACTTCCTGATAGAACAACTATCCCAAGAAATGTTGACATTGCTCCATGGCACACTGGCGCTCCCATAAGTCCTAACGACTCAATCATTCTATGGTTTCTACTTTTTCCACAACAATGAGAAAATGTATGCGTCATTAATGTAGAGTAGTCAACTGCAAATCCCATAGATAGTAACAAGTTGATCATACTAACCATATTGAGTTTCACATTCCAATAATACATGAATCCAAATAAACAAATATCAATGCAAGCCATGAGGATAATAACAAATATACCAGACATTAGTTCTGGAATTAGCATTAGAGTTATAAGTTCAATTGCAATTCCACAACTGAGCATATTTGAAAAACACTCTGCAAGAATGCTAAGATCACTCTCATAGAATAACATCATGTAGTTGTAAGCAACGACTTTAAATGGTATTTTTTCTCTCTTTTCCTCGTCGTTGCATAGCTTTCTTATTGAAGTCATCCAATCAGCTTTCTGCTGAGAAGTTGGCATTCCTTTGGCTAGCAATTTTATTCTGTAAGTCACTAATTCTCTTTCTTTCCAAACAAAATCAAATGAAAATTGCTTATAGTTGCTTTCAGGATTGTTATATAGCTCTTGATAAAGAGTTTCTTGAAATATTTTCTTGTTTCCACTTCTAAGAGCTGCTGCCAACTCTGGATTTTTCATTAAATTGTATAATGGATCAATTACTCTCTGTGTAGATTCTAGTCTCTCAAGTCTTTCCACGAAGTCAAAGATTCTATCTTGAACAGCTCTTCTCCACCATTCCAACTTTTCAGGGAAATATACATCAGTGGGAAGATCGTATTTACTGAAATACTTGGTGAAATCCTGGTCAAATGTCTGAAGATAACTAGATGGAGGAGATAAATCTCTTAGGTCTAAGCCACTTTCCATTTTTGTAAAACCATATATAGATATTCCAAGGAATCCAAGCCATATAATGATAATTATTAGTTTCACAATAGGAGTTGCCATGATTGGTCCAATATAATGTAACATTACTCTTCTGGTTGTTCTTCCAACGTTTCCTAAAGGCTCAGCTAATAGTATTTGTAGAAGGTCATCGACATGATTTAAATCATACTCCCTGTTCAGCTTTTCAATACTAATATTTTGTAATATCTGTATACTACTTGAATGATTTTTTCTTTGAATTATTTGATTGTTATTTTTGATTGTCTCAAGAATGTTCGAGTCCAGCTCACGACTAACAAGGTCAAAATCCGATAATCTTATTTCCTGTCTAAGCTGGCTAATGGAAGGTATAGTGGTTTCCGAGACAACTTTTCTGTCACTGTATTGGTATTTAGTCATAATTGGTATGTGAAAAAGTCTTTTTTTTAACTTGGTAAAAAAACCCATTTGATTACTGTTATTCATTCTGCTTCCTTGTTCTAATTGAAAATCCATTTTACTTTCTTGAATACTGGAAAAATCCAGCTTTTCATTATTATCTTCTTCTAAATCCAAAAACTCTTGGTAATTTTCTCCATTATTATAGTCTCCAAAAGGGTTTAGTTGAATATTATATTCCTTTAAAGCTCTTGAAAGATTATAGCTAACAACATCAAATGAACTTATATTATCAACAGGAATAGATCTTCCGAGACTAAATTCCCTGGTAGCTTTAATGTCACTTGAAGTTAATTTTGGAAGCCCAAAGAAATGTACCCTTCTTGATGCTTCTCTTTTTGCATCCAAACATAGTACCGGAAACATAAAGAAAAATACATATATATAGGTGAATATGATAGAAGCTGCAGAAAAAAGGCAGAAGTTTCGAATTGAGAGATAAGGTTCTCCCACTGCTCCAATTGAGAAAGAAACTAATCCTGTACACATAGTGATTGTAATTCCAATTACACTATCTTGTAACGTTAATCTACATCTTTCTTTTGTACTTGGAATTGTGTATCCTGTTGAATAAGCATTAACAATGACAAAAAGGTAATTCACAGCAGCTCCCATAATTAGAAATGGGGTTACCAAAACTGTTGGAACAAAGGAAACTCCCAATATTGACATTGTTCCCATTCCTGAAGCCAAACCGAGAAGTGCAGCAAAAAGTCCTGCTAACCCACTATAAGTTTTCATTTTGTAAAGATCAAAACTAAAGTTAGCCATTCCTACATAGAAGAACAAAAGTGTGAAGGTTAGACCTACCAATAAAATATCCGAGTTTTCTGATGTGGATGCCTTTAGTTCGTCGTCCCTACTTCGAAATGCACTAAAGGAAATTCTTGCACGACCCCAATCTCTATTGTCTTTCAGTATACTCACTAGAGACTGTTCCCAAAGAAGATTTCTTGCTAAGTTCTCAGGAGTGCCATCATCAAAAATATCATAAACCATCAGAAAAGCTTCAGCTCCAATAATGCAATCAATCTTAGCATCAGAAAATCCAGGGCCTTTTGCAGAACTTGAGTATTTGTCTGGTGATAAAATCTTTGAAATAAGATCTGTTGGAAGAGTCCTTATACACGGCTTACTTTTTATTTTCCCCAAGATATAATCAGGAAGAAATGCCTGTTTTCTCAAATTGAATACAAGTCCATCCAATATATATAATTCGGGATCACCATCTCCCAGCAATGCCTTCATTTCTAATGCTCCTGCTTCTATTACATTCTGAACTGAACAAGTTCCAAATGATGTCATTGTGCAAATATTGTTATAGGTCAAAAATGTCTCGTGTGAAAGTCTAAATGGATCAACTTCGTTACTATTGTAATTTTTATCCTCCGAAACATCAGAAAAATCTTTTTCCCCAGTTCTCGAAATTCCATCTTCTGAATGATTTTCATCCAAATTCTTATCTCCACTCTGGTTTGGCCCTACTTTGACTCCGACTCTTCTCCCTCCCACTGCGTCCAAAGCTTCACCTCTAATTAGCTTATTTATTTGAGATACTATTTCCAAAAATTCCCATGTGAAAACGTTTTCTCCAGGAGTTTGTGAAGTAACCACTATCAATTGTGATCTGCTTTTAGTATTGCTAAATAATTGATCGTGCAATTTTCCGTGATCTCTTGCTAAGCTATAAGGAAGAGAATAGAGCTGTTCAGCAGAATCCACCCACCCAGGAATTCCCGGAATAAACCCTATACAACATATTAAAGTTAGTAATAGTGAGCCCAATATAAAGTACCAAGGATTTTCGTATATTATTCCACCCAAAATTCCAAATCTGGTTGCAATGAAATCAACTATGTCAGGTTGGACATTTGCAAGTTGCCTTAGAAAAATTCCAACTTTCTTCATTGAAACCTTACTTCTTTTCTCTTTTTCCAAATCATTTTTTTTAACCCTTATACTTTTAACTTCCTCAGCAATTCTTTCAGACTCTTTTAAGTATTCTCTTTCTATTTCAATTTCTCTTATTTGCTCTACAACAGCATCTTTATCTTTGTTTGGTTCCTTTGAAGTATTAAAACTCAAGTTTTGATCATGTCTGCCTTTTCTCATTTGAATTTATACATCAAATTGTTAATATTGTTTTCCATTTGAAATTGAACTTTTTAACCTTTTTTATACTATTCCCTTTTTTTTAATTCCATCTATATAATTTAATCAATTTAAATTAACATGCACATCCTCGAGTTTGCGTATAAGTACTGCCACCATGAATGCATATAATCTATTTATTAATCTTAAAAATTCAGAAAATTAAAAAAAAATCGTTAGTAATTAAAAAAAGTCAGTTAAATTTTGCGAAAGATTTTTTATCCTTCTTTCTAGAATTATTTTAAAGGCTTCTTCTATTAATTCATAAATTAATTATTAGTTTCTTAGGATAATTTACTAATATCCAAATTATAACGAATGTTTAAAATCATAATAAAATTAAAATTTGAGGGAAAAATACTCGAAAAATTAAAATAATCAGAAGATGTTTATAAGAAAAAAGTTATCCAAAATAATATGTATTTTTATTTATACACATAAATTATATGCCTGCAAATTATAATAGCATTATTGAATATAAAAAATCATCTGAGCCTACATTTCCATATTCTGGTGCCAAATCATCCATTTGAGTTTAACTTGGTTACTCAAGACCCATTTTAATAGAGTCTGGAATCACCAAGTCTGGAGAATATCTTTGTATCTCCTTTAAAAAGAAATATCTTAGTTCTCGCTCTGTCATAGAGCTCCAATCATCAAAGGGAAGAGTTATTTTTTCATGAGATATAATTTCAAGCATCTCATTTCTTATATTTTTAAAGAGTGAGTGACTCAGAGCTTCATCAACTGTAATTCTCTTATTTGGATTAAAAACCAACATTTTCTTGAGCAAATCAATTGATTGGACTGAAGCACCCGGGAATCTCGTTTGTAAGTCAATTCCAGACCTTTTACTGAAAATTCGAATGTATCTTTTTGCATCATCTTTTTCAAGAACTTCAATATCATCGTCTGATGGAGATCCTAGAACATTGAAAATCATGTTTAATTGATCCCTATTTCCTCTAATTTTAAAACGATAGTCTTCACTTTGTTGCTTATTGTCTGGTGAAAGTGGGAAACAGCTACTTCCTGGAAATAGTGGACTTCTATCACTATAATAGGCTACATTTTCCTTGAGCATATTAAGGAGCTCGGCAAAAATGCATCCAACACTCCACATATCAATGGCTTCAGTATAATTTTCTTGGAGTAAAATCAGTTCTGGTGCACGATACCACCTTGTTACGACATGCCCAGTAAGCTGACGCTTCAAAAACCTTCCTCCTTGTTTGAATCCTTCGTTATCTTGAGAATTGTCATTTTTTATGTCTGCACTACCCAGTGTAGATTTCCTACTTACCATTGAATTATCATTGTTATTTATATTCGAGTTACAGTTGAGCATTTCCAAAGGCTTTTTAACTGTTCTTGCTAGTCCAAAGTCACAAATTTTCACTCCACAGTCTTGATTGACTAGGCAATTAGCTGGTTTTAAATCTCTGTGATAAATTCCTGCTGAATGGATATATTTAAGTCCAACCAAAAGATTATATAATAGTGTCTTTACATGTAACTCCGATAGATATACTGGTGTCCTAAATAATTTTTTGAAATCACTATCAGCAATTTCTAACACCAAGTAAATTTCATCAAAGTGCTCAGTGTCTTCTGGAGCACAAATATCCAAAATCTTCACTATATGGTCATGATTCAACCTACTCAATATAGCAATTTCCCTCAATATCCGTTTACAATCCACCAAATCCTCAAAAACCCGATGGATCTTCTTGATTGCCACCAAACGGTTTTCTTTGCTGTCATATGCCTCGCATACATGGCCATAAGAGCCCGTACCAATTAAATGTCTTACTTGATATCTTGATGGTATACTCCATTTATTATGAGGATGAGAGAGCGAAGAGCTTGATAGAGAAGATGCTGTTGTAGAAGTTGACTTACAATTCCTGAAATCTGAATTATTTGGCCCTGACCTTTCTACTGGTCTGTTCTGTGTAACTTCTTTGCTTACCTGTTTTTTTCCTCCAGCCAAATTTGTACAATTAACCGACGTGTAGCCGCCATTACAGTCTAACTCAGATTTAATTTCAGATTCCATCCTTACTCCCGTCACTTTTGCATTATCAATCTGTACAACTCTGGTTTGCTTCTCACCCATTATTCCAGAAACATTCGAATTTATTTTATTCATTGAATCTTCATTCATTAGATTTGACCTTTCTCCAACCGTATTTATTACTTTCATATGATATCCATCTGGGCATTTCATCATCTTCCAACTCCTCAATTAAAAATAAAAACCAGAACTTTTAATTTTTTCGGCCTGTTTTCTTGTCGACCAAATAATTAAAATTTTTAGGTGTCATACCGGTATATCTGCATGCGACAATTAATACCGGCAAAAAAAACAATTTGTTTGGCGCGGAATCGAGACAAAATCATGCTAAATTAAAAATTTATAGAAAAATTGAAGTTATCGAGTATTATTTCATGTTAAGTCTAGAAAATCAAGGATTATAACCTTTTCTTGTTGGGTGTCGAGCATTCTCCGCCATTACAAGCCATCCAACAGTCATTTTTAATTTGAGAACATAGCATTGAGCATTAGGTAATAAATATAGATTATATTAGTTTGAAAATATTCTGTCGATTTCTTTGTCAAACAAAATACTTCTAATTGGCATATCCAGGTCATGAAATGGGTTCTTTAGTACATAGTCAGTATACCCTTGATAAACTTTATGTAGCAATTCATTCAGTCCTTGGGTGTCTTTACTAGCTATTAAGAAGAACCTTAAACCTAAGATAAGTATTTATAAAATAGTTAATTTATGTATTAGACATATCGAAATTAGAGAATGCCAGCTTTTCTCACCTGTTAACGTCTCGAAGCATTCTAATCTAAATAATTCAGTAGAAATCGAACTAATACCATTTAAAGTCTGAATATACTCATCCGATCTCTTTGTCTTAATTGGCGATATTTGCCTTGCAATTGTGCAAAGTCCATGAAAGGTTGAAGCCAGCCTAATTCTGTCATTTGCTGTCAAAGGAATATCAGAGAAATCCTAACAAAATACAACACCACACATTAATAAAGATTTTGAGTTATTATACACAACACAATCCTTACCCTTTGATATATCAGACTTCCATTCTTGTTATTTATATAAAGTGAATAATACATTAAATAGGCTACCTTTTCGTGTTATTTAACTTATTTATTACGATAAAATTAATAATTTAACACTAGGCGCTAACATGTTTTTGGTACTTTTTTATATTAAAATGAAAAATAAAATGTTTAAACAAGAAAAAATATAATAATTTATAAAGGGAGGAGTAGGAATAAAGACGAATAAACTTTAAATTTCTGTATATTATTCAACAAACCTCACCGAGAATTCATTCTTGAAAAAGATAGTTAAAATATTAGGAAACCAATACTTTAAGTCAGAAAAATTGTAAATTAATTTAGTAGTTTTGTTTGAATATAATTATTTTTTATATTTATTCATTTACTTTTCATATATTCATCAAATAATTTTATCATGAAAAATCTTGAATATCTTTGATTATTTGGCGCCACCACTTTTTTTTGATTATCGATTTAAAGTTATGAAATTTACTTTAATCACAGTGTTAGTCTTATTATTAATGAAAAAGGCAAAAACTGTTATGGCTGATCTAAAATTTATGTATGATTTGGTTGTTGTTGGTGGAGGCTCTGGAGGGATGGCAGCTGCAAAAGAGGCAGCTAAGTATGGCAAGAAGGTAGTATTATTTGATTATGTAAAGCCTTCTACTCAAGGCACAAAGTGGGGGTTAGGAGGGACATGTGTGAATGTAGGATGTGTACCAAAGAAACTTATGCATTACTCAGCATTGATAGCTAGTAGTATTCATCATGATGCTCCAGTATATGGACATAAGATAAGCTCTAACTTTGAATGGGAAAAATTGATAGAAACTGTGCGAAATCATGTAAGAATGCTCAACTTTAGCTATCGCACAGGACTACGCGTAGGAAATGTTGAGTATATAAATGCATTAGCGAAATTAATTGACGCTCACTCTGTTGAGTATGAAATTAATGGTCAGAAGAATGTAATTACTTCTAAATATATTCTATTAGCGACAGGAGGTCGACCCAATGTCCCAGAAACAGTTCCGGGAGCCATACAATATGCAATTACCTCCGATGACATTTTTTATCTTCCCAAAGGTCCGGAAAAGACTCTAATAGTAGGTGCATCCTATATTGGTCTAGAAACAGCAGGGTTCTTAAATGAACTGGGTTTCGATACAACTGTCGCAATGAGATCGATACCTTTAAGAGGGTTTGACAGGCAGTGCTCTGAAAAAATTGTTGAATACATGAAGTCAATAGGAACTAAGTTTCTTGTTGGAGTAGTCCCAATTAACATTGAGAAGACAGATGAGGGAAATCTCAAAGTATCTTTTAGCGACGGTTCAACTGAAGAGTTTAACACCGTTTTATATGCAACAGGTCGTAGCCCTGATGTAAAAGGTCTAAATTTGGGGGCAGTTGGGGTAGAAGTTTCGGATTCCGGTAAGATTGTTGCTCCGGAAGATGCCACTTCTGTTCCAAGTATATTTGCTGTAGGAGACATTGTAGAGGGAAGACCAGAATTGACTCCAGTTGCTATCAAAGCTGGAGTCCTTCTGTCAAGAAGGCTTTTCGCCGAATCAGATGAATTCATTGACTATGATTTTATCCCTACTACTGTGTTTACACCTATTGAATATGGACATGTTGGTCTCTCGTCTGAAGCTGCAATTGCAAAATATGGTGAGGACGACGTCGAAGAGTACCTTTCTGAGTTTAGTACTCTTGAAATAGCAGCTGCACATAGGGAAAAACCAGAACACCTTCGTGAAAATGACATGGATTTTGCGCTTCCTTTAAACTGTTTAGCAAAGCTTATTACAGTTAAGAGTCAAGGCGAAAAGGTAGTTGGGTTTCATTTTGTTGGGCCCAATGCCGGGGAAATTACTCAAGGATTTTCGCTTGCAATCAAACTTGGAGCAACCAAGAAAGATTTTGACGATATGATTGGAATCCACCCAACTGATGCAGAAGCATTCGGCATTCTAGAAGTTACAAAAAGATCAGGAGAATCATTTGTTGCTTCTGGGGGATGTGGTGGCGGAAAATGCGGATAATATTTTAAGAAGTTTAAGCTTGTGTTATTTTTCTTTTGATTCTACTTTTGCACTGTTTAAAATTGCTTCATATTAACATTCTAATTTTTACCATATGGCGCCATATATTTTTTTTTTTTTTATGAGTTCATTTTTTCACGGCTACCTTTCTGATTCTGATGATGGTTGTAATACTGTGAAAACTCCAATAGTAAACAAGGGTGGAGCCAATGAGATTGATTCGGATTTTGGTGAAAATTTACATAAACTTCAGAGTGAAAAGAGTGATCATGCAATTGCTTGCTTCGAAAATAATAATGAAACAAAAGAAGTTGATCATATTATTTCCAAAACCCATACAGAGCTTGGTTTGAACAATCAAGCCTCGCACAAAATTGGAGTGAGAAAAAAAAACAAAAAAAAAAAAAACAAATATTTGAATGAGTTTCTCGAAATTTCGTCTCTCGAAAGTGTTAAAACACTAAATGCAGATAGCATCAGAAGAACAACTCAGGAAGTTAAGCTCTTAGATCCTGCACCAAGAATAGGAAAATTGAGCGGAGATAGAGAGCTTAAACAGTCAGTTAACCAAAAGAGGAAACACCAGGTAAGTGTTGTTTTTAAGTTGCATTTAATTTTACTTACAAATTATAGATAACATGGCTATTGAATGAAGCGAGACAAATTAAATCAGAATTCAATTCAATGAGTTAAAAGCTATAAAAGTCGGATATTTCAATCACCATTGAGTTAGTATCTCAATGTACTGTACCTAAAGCAATAGACTTTTCCATCAGCTCAACGGTATTGCAAACCGATATTCCCATTATATTATCAACATCTCCCTGTATCTCGTCAACAAACTTTCCCATGAATGGGCAATCGATTGCAAACCCACCACATGAGTATCTAATTATCTCAGACTTTTCAAAAATCTTCTGGACCGCCTCTTCGGGCATTTTCTTGTAGTGTACTCTTGAAGTTGTTACGTTAGTTAGCTTCCTTCCTGTGTAATAATTATATACAGTTACTCCGGTTATACAATCTACATAGCTTCCACTGTATGATCTTAGATATCTAAGTCTCTCCTCGTCATTTCTTGGCTTGTTTCTCACCTCACCATCCTTTAACGCAATTGAGTCAGCACAAATAACTATAACTTTGTCCACACCGTTTTTGTAAGGCAGTTTCTCAAGAACCGCATCCATTTTGGCCTCAGATAACTTCATGACCAACTTATTAGGGTCATTATCTATAATTCTTCTTTCATCAATATCTGCTGATACAAACTCTGACAACTTTATATTCGCCTTTGAGAAAACCATTTTCCTGCTCTCTGATGTTGTTCCAAAAACTATTTTATAATCTTTTTGAAAGTTGCAATTCTCGTACATGGTTAGTTACCCAAATCCTGTAGCTAATTAAATCAAAATTTTATTTCCTTTTTATGTTTTTGTTACTTTTTTTTATCCTTACTGTGGAAAAGTACTAATAGGCGTTTGGCGCATTAAATTTTGGCATTTTCAAACTTATTAGTAAGCGATAATAAAATATTATTGGGGGTTACATAAAAAATACCTTTTGTGTGAAACTACCAAATAATCCAAATTTATATGTAAGCATAACCAATCACTATATGTTTATCTACCGGCAAGTTTTCAAATTAGAATACCTAATTTGCTCTATTCAGAGGCTTAAAGCCTGATGTAACTATCCAATACCAATGCAATAACATATTATTGCCTTATTTGTGAGGTTACTTGCAAAACTAAAAATTACAGAAAAATCTTTTTGATGTCTAAATTGTAGAAATATCCTAAATAGTTGCATTTACTATAGTTTTAAAAATCTACTTAAATTTAAACATTTAATATTATTACTAAATATGCATTTCCTTAATTTTATGTAATATCTAATATTTTTTTTACCTGCTATTGCACTATTATTCTAACAATTAATTTCACATGTTGGCGCCTAATACATGTGTACCAAATGACAAGCTTTTCAAAATAAATAGGGTAAAAGAGCAGGTAGAATAACTGAAAATGAGCAATTGAAACTTGAATTATTTATGTATTCTAAACAGGAACTGTTTATTTTCAGAATATCTTTTAAATTATATCAGTCTTACATTCATGAAGTGCATCAAAATTAAAATATTTGAAAATGAGTAGTTTAAAAGATTCTGTGATTAGCTTTCAAAAAAATACCGGGGAAATAGTAGAAGAACACTTTGAAAAACTAAAATCTCAGGTTGATAATAAGATTTTGGACATTAACAATTCGAAAGTTTCTCAAACAGGCACTATAGTTAGATATAAATCAAAAGAGTCAATCTACAGCTCTTGTGACTTTTTAGATTTGGAATCTCTTTCTGAAAATGGAACCAATCTAGGGGAATTAAATAAAGGTACAAAAGAAGCAAAGCTTGTGTCTAATTGCAGCTCTAATTTAGATGAATATTTGGATACCTGCAGCAAGTCAATAATTAGTAGAAATAGTAGTCTTTTATCAGTAGAAAGCATAACATTTGAGGAAAATAGCGAATGCGCACTTCAAGAATATCGAAAAAATTGTGTGAAAAGTATAGATAGTGCTGAATTAGATGATCTATCCAGCATGAATGTAAAAGTATGTAGAGAAAACGAAATATTCAATGACAACTTGAACAGAAAATTTTCAGGAGATCAAGACCCTACAAAACCAGGATTTCTAAGTAAGTTATCAACCAAATTCTGGAATTTTGAGGAGAGTTTGAGTTTGTCAAAGTTTGATTCAATTAGTGGAATAAAAACTTTTTTACTGGGGAAAACTGGATATCAAAATACCTTTGGGAGTGAGCAAAATACTCCCAATTATGTTTTTTCGGGTCCTGAGCTAGAAGATGGACATGTGTTTTTTGCAAATTCAAGAGATGGTTATGATTCACAAAGAAGTGAGTCAGATACAAGTGAAGAAAGCGTTAGATATCCTTTAATAAATTTTGATACAATAAATTAAAGTAAATTGTGTTGTAGGTAATAGTCAAAAATGATCACATATATAGTAGTTCTATATATTAGCTTTAAAAAGTGGCCACTATAGGATCAAGGGTAAACTAGAAATTTACTCTTTTTGGTCAATCTGAGTCAACAGTTAGATCAATAAATTCACATTTTTGTGAAATTTCTGAGAACTCATCATCTGAGAAAAGTGTGTCTTTCTGTCTATTTTCATGCAGTCCAGAAAGTTTATTCCCACATTTTTCTATTCTCATTTCTAAATCCTCTTCTTTTAAAATTCCAGTTTGGGAATTTTTTTCAAAATCATGGTTTTCTTTTTCACTGAGTTTTTTCTGTACGAGAGAATCTTCCACTTTCTCGTAACTCTTATTAGAAATACTTGTAGCCTTAATATAGCTTTTTTTAACGTTCTCCCAGTCAAAAACCTTAAAACAACATGGACAAGATATACTATGCGGAACCAAAGGAGCTACAAGATCCTTCAATGGAAATAGTCCATCAAAAACTGCCTCTAAACAGTTGCTTGGTTCTCCCCAAAGTTGGATACATGAAATATGGACACTCATTTCCTTACAGCAGGGAAATTCCAAATAATTTCTTCCACAGTCAATGTCTTTTTGGCAAAGTGAGCACTTAATCAAATATGAACTTTCAGAAGAAATTTCTTCTGGGTTAAGTATATTGGAGTTATCTTCAATACCTGAATCAGAATCGCAATCAAAGGATGGCTTTTGGATTTCCCTAAAGGTATCATAGTCGCATCTAAAAAACTTAATACCTGTTTCATAAAATGAGTCTTCTCCAAAATACAAAAACATTAACAAACAGTCCTTGTTCAAAATATTAGGGCTTATAAAGCTAGCAGTAACCTTATCCTTCTTGGTACTTTTTAAAACATCTTTAATTATATTCTCCAGCTCGTCCTTAAAAACAAATACCGTCAGGTTCATGTTCTTCCATGGTTCTAAAGTTGTCATACAAAGTAGAATACCAACTCTCTGTTGAATGCTCCATTGTCTTTTGTTTAGTATTCGCTTATTTTCTGGAGTTTTCTTTGTTTTTACAATTCTCCAGGATTCTATATTTTCTCTTGTAGCTTTACAAATATTTGGATGCTGCCAGGCCCACTCAAACCTAAGTGCTGAGACTCTATCTGGAAACCCCCCTACGCAAATTCCAAGATTCCATGGAACTCCATTTTTTGTTTTCTTAGCTCCTTTTTTTATTTCCCCGTTGTGTTGTCTGAGTCTCCTGCAGGGATTCACAGAATATCCAATATAACTTGCTTTCTTCTTAGTTTCAGAAAGAAGAAAATAGCAATAGTGAAATTGAAGATTAGATTTCATACTATAAAATACTCCGTTTTTAAAATTATATTACTTTCATTATTACTTTTTCAATATTTTCATCCTAAATTAATTAAACTATTTCCTTCAATTTAAACTCAAAAAAAATTTTTGGAAAATTAAAAAAAAAATCGAGGGGAAATTTCAGTTACCTATGTACCGGTATACACTTAAATAGGTTGATTTAAATTAATTTGAAGTATTATTTAATTATATACTAGATTTAAGCAATAAAAGTTAAGATTAATCAATATTGATTGTACGTAAGTAATCCAAGATGATTCAAACGGTAATTAATCTATTACAAAGCACTATATAACAATGGAACAAAGCAAATATAGGAAAAGATTGAAATGTTCATATTAGCTTTGTTTCAAATAATAGCAATATCTAAAAGAACTATTATGTCAAAGCTTGCTGTAATTGCAAGAAGATCTCTTATTTGTACCAGCAGAATTTGAATTTTTTTTGTTTCCGATAGAACTTTCTATACTTATGTTGGCTTTGCTCTGACTATAACTTCCCATAGATGACAATCTCCTTCCAAATAGGCTTAGCATGCTCTTTACCTCTTTTGAATCTTTTCCACTTGCAGAGCTTGCATTATCTTCGGAAACGTTGCACTGAATGTCTGAACCGTATATTCTATATTTGGTTTCATCTTTTGAATTGTTATTTCTGGATGCTCTGAGTTTTCCATTGCTAGAGCCACTAGAATTTAACTGGAGTGAAATAGCATCCATAAGAGTTACTTTACCCATCTCTGACTTCAGAATCTCTTTGCACTCCTCATTTGTTGGAGGTTCATCCACATTAGCTATACTTACAAGTTTTCCATCATTCCCCTTTTCACCTGGGTTTGTATTTCCAATTAACTCAACAATGACTAACTTCCTAGAACTTGAAGGCTTTATTAACTTATTAAGTTTCTCTATATAAACATTTGGCTCAGATACAAAAACTTGGGTAGCATTCTCAATCAACTTATTCTTCTCGAAACAAAGTTCGTGACTAGCAATCATTTTACCGTAGTGCTCAACATATTGGATGAAGGAGTTCAACTTCTGGCTTGAATATTTAGATAAGCCAAACCACCTAATTTTGTCTTCAAACTCTGACTTGGAGATTTCCTTTAAATCTTCCTCAACATCTTTTGATACTTTTTCTAAAGCGGAGAATAAATGACATACTAAAGTTTCAGATAACTTCTCTGCACTTTGGACAGCTCCTATTAAAGAGATTATTGGAGTTTCATATTTTGTTGTAGCAAAAGCAACGTAACCATCTTGCCACTCTGTCCTTAAAATGTCATAAAATGGCGAATTAAGTATCTCTCCAATTGAAGAATACACAGAAACATCAATCAAATCAACCGGTGGAGTCAGATAGTGAGCTACTACTGCATTATTCTTATCTGAAGAAATTGGATTATTAGTTTTAATATGTATATCCCCCGAAATATCCAAAATACCATCATGAATTGAATCTGAATATGAAATCTTTTTGTTCGCCAAAGATTCTATCAAATTTAAGCCAAGCTTTATAGCCTTTTCAGAACCAATATTACCCACAATAAGAGCATCAAAGTAACCGATCAAAAATACACTTTTTGTCTTCTCCAAATATTCATCATATGAAATCTCAGTTTTTTGGAGAGAATCACGAAGCTGTAATTTGGAATAGTAGTTTGAGAGATATGCACTTTGAGCTACTTCTGATGCTATATCATAAGCCATAAAATTACTCAAATTTAATATTTCAGATTTCAAATTGCTTAATGCACCTTCAAACTCTGCCTTTGTTGGTAGCCTGCTTTCGCTGATCAAATAATTGGATAGATTTTTAATAATATCTTCAAAATTAGAGCTGTAGGACTGGACTTTAATGATAAATCTGCCTCTACTATAATTAATATCTGCTTCTAAACCGCATAACTTAAAACTGGATAATATATACTCCATTCTACTGGTTTGTAATTGAGCGTGTAACTTCCCCAATAAGGCTATTCTAGCATTATTTGAGATATCTTTATTTGCTAATCTTTGTACTAAGGTCAAATTGATTGTAGGTACCATGTGAATTGGTCCTTTCCAGAAAATGCTTAGTCCTTCCTCTTCTAATATAGGGCATGGTTGAAGCTCATTTCCAATTTGTCTCTCTTTAATTTCATTTTCAAATCTTTTATACTTGGGACATTTGTCTCTTGAGAACGAAATAATCTCAAGATCTTCAGGAACGCATGTCAAAAGATCCGCAATCTTATTTGTAGATTCTATTACTTTGGTGTTATCAGAAGTCTTACTTGGATCTTCAACTGAAATTTTGGATATTGAGTACTCGGTTTTGTACGGTTCAAATGTGGATTTGCTTTCAGAAGATTTATCGATGGAATCTGAAAGCTTAATTACCTTAATTTTCGAAGGTTCTAAATGTTTAACGAACTTTTTTAAAGCTTCCATCTGTGCACTGCTTAGCCCAGAATCCTTGTTCAAAGAAACAGGTTTTACAAAAGCAGAAAGTGCCATCTCTGGCTCATCTGGAAATATTAATAAACTCTCAGCAGCCTGAGACACTATTCCTGCAGTATCTCTTTCCTCATCAAATTCGTATTTGATATTTGCCATGTTTGTGTAGTTTTTATAAAATGATTGGATCCATCTTTCATCCTCACTATTTATTTGTTCTATCAAACTACTCATATAAGCTGATGTTAGTTTTACTATTTCTGAAGTTGTTTCGTCAGAATCATCAATTGCAGTAAACAGTAAACCATAAATTGAGTATTGGGTGCTAGTATTATCAAAGTATTCTAAAGCAGTAGCCAGATTCTTTTTCTTTAATTCAGATGCAATTGAGTTTTGACTCTGATCTTCAAAAAAGTATTGAATTAACTTTAACATTTGCCACTCTGCATTCTCTTTTAAAATACTCAGTGATTCTGAGACTGAATCCCAGTAAATTACAACAAAAGGTGGAGAAGAATTTCCTCTTGGCATTCTCACAACTTCAATCTCTATATTTGCTGAAGTATTTTTATCTAAATTTTGCTCAGTCTCTTTACTAATTGAATCACCATCTTTTGAAGTAATCCCACCAGCAGAAGTAATCCCGATATTAGACTTCTTACTACCAGAACTCTCAAAAATGCTTGAAATACTTGGAGCAAGAGAATGTTGATTCTTAAATGCTCCTCTTGAGACAGAACGGCTATTAACAGTGTTAGTTATTTTAGATATTCCTTTAGTAGCTTTTCTAGAACTAGTAAAGAGCTTATCAATGTTATCAGCTATCTTGGCTAGCTGCTCATTAGATTGAGGTCCCATGATTACTATTGAGACATTGTCACTAGTATAACAACTTTCATGGTACTCCTTTAGAGCATCCTTAAGATTTATGTTGTTCTTTTTTGAATTAATATAGAGGGTTTCTTTGCTTCCTGTCCCAAATTTCCTAGCAGGGCACTCTTTTGGGGCCAAATACATCGCTAGCTCTATTATTACTCTAACCTTGTTTGGGATATTTTTTTCGTGTTCTTGATTGACTGCATCAATTTCAGAAACTGAGCTCCTTTCATCTATTACAGGGTTCACAAACATATTGGTAAAGTAACTCATTACAGACTCTAACTCTCTTGGAGACGACAATACATAAAATACCGTCAAATCAGCAGATGTGTAAGCATTAGAAGCACCTCCCTTTTTTAGTAGAAACTCATCCCAACCTACCGGGTTTGGATTTTCTTGGCTCCCCAAAAACACGACATGTTCCATCAAATGAGCCAATCCTGCCAAATTATCCGGATCCTGATAATATCCGCATCCAACTCCAAATGAAAAAGCTGATTCTAGCATTGTATTGTCAGAAACCAGTAGAACTTTTATACCTTTAGATGTCGTATATAGTTTGGGCTTGACTTGAGAAGAAAACTGTTGTTCTAGCGAATTTAATTGATTGGCCTTAATTCTTAGGGGATTTAACATACTTGTAATTTTTCCTTGGTTTTGTAATCCCAACTGTAAATGTGAAATACTCTCTACTGCATAGTCTCGCCATTGTAAATTTAATTGTTTATGGTTCCATATTCCTTCTCCTTTGAATAGTGATAGGCAAAAAATCACCACAAGCCACAGATTCACCTCTTTGATATGCATCTCAAGAGTTCTCTCAATGCCTGTTAATTTCTCCTACTTGGACAATTTTTTTTTACATCTCTTTTTTTCGCTATTCTCGTATTTATACAGAATAATGCATGTAAAGTTTCCCGCCACGTGGCGGGATGCTGCCCATGTCATATTATACTTTGAGCCTATTAAAAATCCAAAAAATTATATTTGAACGAGAAAGAAACGGCCTAAAAGCTAAAGAAAAGAAATCGCAGAGGTATCCCAGAATGCAAAACACCTAATGGCCTTGACTCAGGAGCTAAAGAGAAACAAATCCTCAAAGCTCTCGGTTATGAACACTAAGATAAGGAAGATTGACAGCCTATAAATGATATGGAAAAAAAAAAATTCCTAATGAAAATTACTTAAACTGAATAGAAGCTAAATTAAAGTGTTATAAATAAACAGGAATAGTAGTGAGTACGTCCTTAACCATCTAGTTATTAGTATTGAAGTGCTCACTAGATATAACTATTACAGTCATTTACCAACTCATTTAGTGTTAGTCTTGTTCTTTAAAGTCTCAAGAAGCTTCTGATATTCCTTCTTGGCATTAGCAGATGCCTCAGAACGCTCCTTAAGTGTACGTCTATATTTCTTCTTTCTCTGTAAACGTTCCTTGGTGACCAAACGTTGAATTTTTGGTGCCTTGGTCTTTTCTTTACCTTCAATCTTCCTACGAACGACAAACTTGCGGACATCATCAGATGGACTGAGGTTGAATAGCTTTCTAATTTTAGAAGCTCTCTTTGGACCAAGGCGTCTTGGTTTTTCACCATCAGTAAGTCCTGGGATATCTTGCTCACCTCTCTCAACAACTACCAAACTCAATACAGACAAGTCGTGGCTAACAATACATCCACGGACTGACTTTCTCTTCATTTCACCTGTACGACGTGGGCGATAGCATTTCATACCTTTTCTGAATAAAAGACGGACACGGTTGCTAGTTAAAACACCCTGCATCATTGGAAAACCTTGTTTGTCATTACCACCAGTGATTTTCATAATATAACCCTTAAATTCATCACCCAAGAAGCTACAGTCAAGTTCAGAACCAATTCTTCTTTCAAAGAATGGCAATAGTAACTTCTCGTCATCAATTTCAATACATTTCTGAAGTCCAGTTGTTGGATTAGCAATGTTTAATTTCATTTTTGAAACTGCTCAAAAAACCAGAGAAAAAAAGATGGTTAATAGTCTGCTTAGTTTTTTTAGACGAACTTAATATGTGTCGTTATTGATTAAGAGGAGCGGTCTGTTTTCATTTAAATTATTTCAATTACTACTGATCCGCTTAATAATTATTATTATATATAATTATTTAATTACCATTCCCCTATATTTTAATGTATTATATATACATTTTATTTATATATTTTTGATTTTGTTTCTAATTATTATTTACATTTCTATGCCTGTCTTCAAGTACTGGTGTTTCGAGACGGCGCTTAAATGACCCGCCTATTGTGTTCATGCCAAAAAAAATCTGCAAGAGAAAGATCAGGAAAAAATTTAGATATTTCTACATTAATATATTCTGAATTATCATGTGGGGACCTTTGTGTTTTGTTGGTATTTTATGTTTAGTTTCATTATCTCTCTTGTTATTTTTTCTAAAAAGGCTATATTACCTTATTTTCCAAATTTTTAAGTTTGCCGTTCTAGAACTATATACTAGTCATTTTCCGCCCAGACCTAACTTATTTAATTGAGTTCCAATTGAATAAATTGGGTTTTAGTTCTGTTCTAAAATGTCTATACTAGATCTTGTCCCGTTTTTTCCGATTTGACTAGTATAATGCAGTATTAAGTCCAATTTAATCAATTTTTGTTTATTAGATAATGCTAAGCAATTATGTGAATTTTATTGAAAATTAAAATCTGTCTTTCAAAATGAAAGAATCTAAAGAATCAGAAGATTTTAGGGCAAAATATGGCAAGGGATTTGACATAATTAGGAAGATGGGATTCAAGGGAGGGGGGCTTGGAGTTGATGGAACTGGAATCTCGGAACCTATTCAAGTTCAATTAAGACCAACAAATCTTGGGATTGTGAGTGAAACTAACATTAATTCCAATCAATCTGAGAAATCTTTAAATGTCTTGCCTGGATCAAAAAATTTAGAGAAAAGAAACAAGAAACAGAAAACAAGTATAGAAGTGGAAAAAGCGAAGGAAATAATAGAAAATTCTGAACCAGGAATTATCCAAGTTTTCCCAAAAAAAGCTCATCTGGATGATATCATGGAGTCTGTTTCTGTACAAAGAGAAATCTATTTCCAAAAAAAAAAAGATTTAGAGGAATATTTGAATGAGAAACAATTAGAAATTGAAGATCAAAACAACTCTTTGGACAATTTAAAAGAAAAAAAGTCAATCATGGAAAATCTAAGCATTGTTACTAAACAAATTCAAAGAGCTTTTCTTAAATTCCACTACGACTTAGAAAAAATTATGGAGGATGAAATTATGAGTTTATTTGAAGAACAAAAAGATGAATCTTTAAACGAAAACGAAGATTATCAAGACCAAATGGATTCTCTTGAAAAAGTGGTAGACGAATTTTCGACAAGTTTTAATGGAATACTTAACTCTTGTACTGATAAGTCTTCAAGAGAAGTATCTAAGTCATATTTACCCTACTGTTCAATGATTAGAGACATCCTTCGGAATTCATTGAAAAAACTATATAAGAAAGATAGAGACATGAAGCTAGATCCTGATTTTGGAATTACAACATGGATTTCTATAAAGACTTTATTTGTAAGCTTACAAACTTCAAGGAAAGAGAAAGAGTATGATTCCAAATTCTGTTTTGAACAACTGGTTTTAGAAACCGTAGGAAAATATTTGGAAGTCTATTTTATGTGTTCGTGGGATCCTATTAAAGAAGATGAGTATGGTATTTCATTATTGAAAATCTGGATTAATTTGATTCCATTCGAATTTATAAAGACTAATTTAATGCAAGTAATTTGGAACAAACAAATCCATCACCTTCAAATTAACAAAATAGAATTAAAATCTGTGGGAGATGTTTCCGAAAATACCAAGTACAAATGGATATTTAAATGGCTTCCTTACTATTACAAATTTGGAATGGGATATCAAGTTTCCAAAGTTATTTCAAAATATATTTATGAGGCTTTAGACGAATGGGAACCTCCAGAGGAATGGCCATTGTCTCTTTTGACAGTTTGGAAACCTATTTTGGAAACTCAAAAGGAGAATGAAACTGAAGAATTTGAAAATATTGGATTATTTGAACATGAAACACACCATAATCACTTAATAAAACAAGAACTTGACAATATCATTCTATCAAGTATATATCCTAAGTTACTTTCCTTCTTTAACATCAACTTCCAAGTTGAACAAGACCACAAGACACAACAATTGGATTCTATTGATCATCTTGAATTATGGTTTGAAAAAGATTTAATTGACAGATCCTTGGTGTCTCAGATATTTATGGAAGTAATTGGCCCCAAATGGATCAAAGCTCTTGAATCAAAATTGTCTAATATTAGATACGAATATAATTATATTCAAAGTTCTAAGAAAAATACCCCAAATTTTATAAATAATCAAGAATTTATTGCTCTTTATAAAGATTTACTGGAATGGTATCAGTTCTGGAGGCAAATATTCTCCACTGGTGCCATAGCATCAGCCAAAAGTAAAGCTTTTTTGGCCAAAGGACTTATTTATATGGATTATCATATCAACTTCTATTCTGACTTGGATCCGGAAATTAAAAAGAAGACTAGTTGTTGGATTAATTATGATTCTTTTGAGGATGAAGATGAGGATATCCCAGAGTTACAGGATCTGAAAGATGACACATTAATATTGAATGTTTTGGAATGGATTTCTGATGAAACAGGATTAGTTCTCAAACAAAGTGGGAGAAAGAACACTCACGGTAGGCAAATATATTCTATAGAGTATGGAGAATACCACAAAGAATCTAGAAATAAGACTCAAAGTAGCTACTTTAAGTCGAATCCAATTTTTTCAAAGTTATTCTTTTATATTTATCAAGGAGTAATTTTCATTAGAGAACCTACTTTACAGGAATCTAACAACTCCGAAGATTGGACACCTGTCTCAATACCAAAAATGCTAGCTAAACTGGGTATCGAAGAAATAAATAGGTAGATGATGTTAAATATTTTATATATTTTATTAACGCTATTAAATACTGCAAAAAGATATGTCTAAAAATTCTTAAGATCTTAGGGATATTCAAATAATCTATTTGTTTAGTTAGTAAACATTAAATTTAACTTTTTTAAAATTAGAATTTGATGTTATCCACCAATAAATGAGTGACATGAAGAAAATTGAAAAGTAGTTCCAAAATATAAATTCTACTTTCCAAATCAGAGGAAATACATTATGAGATCCAACTCCTTGGAATCTTCCCCCTGTAATTGTAAAGATATTAAAACCAAAGATTTCAAATTTCCAAAACCTATCAATCTGGTCGGTACAGTTTACTCTGAATAAGCAAGTTAGTGCATTTGGACTGCTGAGACACAAATATAAAAGGAAAGCATGGCAAAAAGCTACCCAGGAAAGTAAACGTTTATTTTTAGTAAAACTTTCTCTGAATTGACCTCCAAAGGAAAGAATAAGTGATAGTGAAGATAGTTGTAGTCCCATCCAAATAAAAGTTGTGGAAGCTTCAAAGTTATCTTGCCGTTGAAACCATCTTTCAACAGGTATTTCAGCATTATGTTTAAGGGAAGGGATCATCCAAGGGGCACTGAATAACCTGGTCATCACAATATAATAAAATGCAAAGCATGTTCCTAATAAACTTATAAATGATAAGACAGTTCTTTTTCCAAGTAAAGCTCCAGTAGGTCTATTAGAATTAATGTATTTCTTTGGTTTACATAATATCATGAGCCAAATAGAAGGAAAAACAAGAATCACATCAATAAAGACGTATGACATCACAGGAAGATTAGCCTGAGCAATTGCAAATAAAACATTCTTGTAGAATGAATAAAAGACGCCTTGTGACAGAAGGAACATAAAGAGAGAGATTGTAGTAACCATTGCTGCCCTACCTTCTCGAATAAGATCAAGAACCTTCATAATTTTGTCAGCTTCAATAGAAAAGGAAGAAAATGCCAAAGTCATTGGAGAATTTTCTGTGGTGGTATTGAAGTTCTTATTGTTATTATAGTCCTCTTGAGTGTGATCATCATCTTTGTTTATAAAGTTATTAAAATAATAAGAATTCTCATGAACTGAAATACTTACATCTGCCATTTTGAATGCAGGTAGATCATTAACTCCATCTCCAATCATACCTGTTATGATATTTCTCTTCTTAAACTCCGAAATAACAATTCTTTTATGTTCAGGATTTGATCTTGCAAATATCTTAATTCTATCAAAGACAAGATCTAACAAAGAATGAGAAGACAACTCTTCAGAAGATAACTTGTCAAATTTACAATATGTTTTTAAGAAGCTGAAGTTTAAGGATGGATTCATATTTACGATCTCAAAATTTGAAGGTCTAAAGTATTTTTTGGATCTTAATAACATTAAAGCTCGTGATGTAACAACCAGAGAACTATATTCAGTGGACTCATAAATTTTGTTTGGAGAAATAATCATGTTAGATCCTGTAATAGCATCATACCAAACAATTGTTTCATTTCCAGTTAGATCCATGATTGTATCTGCAATTGCAACTGGGCTCTTATTAGAAATAATTCCTGCTTTTCGAGCAACAGATAGAGCTGTGAATGCTGAATCTCCTGTTAATATTATTGGCTTAATTCCTGACATTTTGATAGCATCCACAAACTCTCTGGTTTTTGGTCTAAGATCATTTTGAAGTAAAATGTAACTAATAATTATTAGATCAGATTCCAATGTGTTTCTGGAAACATTAGATCTTGGCTTATTCAGAAGTGCATCAATCAAAACTTTGTCTTTAATTTCTCTGAAAGACATACCCATAATATAGTATCCCAATTTACTATAAGCATCAACAATACTATGCTCATTCATTTGGTGTGAGGGTCTTTGGGCATTAGTAGATTTCAAGTAAGTAAACTTATTTAAGAGGTCACTATCGATTTCACTCGAAGAATTGAGGACCTCAAAAGCATCAACAAGCTCCTGATCATCCTCAGTATCCCAATTATTTGAAGTATTAATAAACTTGTGTTTTTCAGTAGCTATTTCCTCTTTTTTTGGAGAAAGATTGGCCAAAACGTCAAAAGATCCCTTACAAAAGATGTAGTATCTGTCTAATATTCTGTGGTGAACAACTACAGACATACATGGATTATTCCAGTCAAACTCGTTAATTCTTAAAACTTCTATGGGGTATTCGTAAATATTATCAACTGAGCCTGAATCCTTAGTATCTCTTCCAGTGAGAGAAATAAATCTTCTTTCATTACATATCTTAATTTTGGCATTAGTAGAAGTAAAAAGTGCCTTATCTATATCGTTACCTATTAAAATAACACCATTGTTGGTAACTTGAGGAACAATATTGTGGCAACAGCACAACCCTATGTAAGAGAGGTCATCAGATGAAAGGGAATTTAAGTCAGTGATTGGAGGAAGAAGCTGTGGTTCCAAACAATGTGGGTGAATTAGCATTCCAGCTGACTTGTTGATTAGAGGGTCCTCTTCTTCATATGAAATGGTGGAAGTCTCCCATGCCAGTTCGTAATGGACAAAAATGTTGAATGAATTTCTGTTTTGCTCAAAAGTTACACTGTTTTTAGATTCCTTGGATTTTTGTAATTCAGGATTGACATTTGGATTGCTATTTTCCAACAGATATGCTTTATTATTAGGGTATCCAAAGTTATTATTATTTTTTATGGTATTTATTATACCAATAAAGGCCATTTTGTTTGTAGTGAGAGTACCAGTTTTATCTAAGCATAAAACTTTAAGTTTTCCAGCTAAAGGAATATCCATTGGAAAAGTAGAAGAGAGAGAACATAGTTTTTCAAGTCTTTCTACGCTTTTATTAAGGGAAAACTGGATACATGTAGGTGCCCAAAGAGGTAGTAACTGTATGAAGGTTCCAACAGCAAAGAAAAATGATCCAGTACTCCATCCAAGTAAATGGTTCTGATATAAAATTGCAACAAATGCAGATAAAAGCATTATTAACCAAAGTCCTTTAAGATTTCTTATATATTTCACATTTGAGAGAGAGTATTGACTTATATTGGAAAATGAGTGTACTGATTTGTAGAGTAGTTGGCCATATGAGGAGTATATTCCAGTTCTGAATGCAACACCCATTGCAATTTTTGAAGAATCATCATATGAGAGAGAGCTGATAATTTTAGTACCCATGAAAATGGATTTTTGTCTAAGCTTTTCTTCAGTAATACTCTGTGAGTCATGAATAGAAATGTTATGACTTTCCTCTTTAGAATCAGTTTCGAAATGATCCAAATTAATGGAATCTAAAGTGGAACATGCTCGGTTGCTTAACTCAGATTCGGTAAATTTCCGATTTTGACTATTAGATTGATCGTTTGCGATACTAGAAAAAAAGTTTCTATCAATTTGTAACTTGATTATAGGGTTTGATTCACCTGTAATAAAGGATTCATTAACTGTAACACACCCTGAAACTAGATATATATCACAAGGAGCGGTTAAATCTTGTGAAAGAAATATTAAATCACCAGGAACAAGCTCGTGAGAAGGTATTCTGACTTTCTTTCCATTTCTCAAAACTGAGATTGGTCGTCCAATGTAGTTTTCAAGTGCCTTTTTAATGTTTTCCTGGTTTAAGATAATTACTTGAAGAGTTTTAAACGTTGTAAGTAGAATCATGATGGCCCAAAGAACTGACCATATATAGAATCTCAGAAATATTCCTTGCCAAAGAGAGCCTAGTCTGAGAATATTAACAGGGTTGAGTAACTCTTTCCCAAAAGCTTGTAATATTCCTGGAATTTCAAGATCTATAGTGTTTTTTCCAAAAACATTCAACAACTTATTAGCTTCTTCCGAACTTAGACCATTCTTAAGAAGTTCCTTCTTGCCTAAAAGTTCATAGAGACTACTTTGATCACAACAAACAAAACCTGATTCAGATTCTAAATACGTGTATGTAACTTGGTTATGACAGATAAATCTAGTATTGTCTGCTCTTTTTTGTACTTTCAATAATGGCAAAACCAAACCAGCAGTACCCAATTGTATGTTTGATGGCTCTTTTTGGAATGCTTGATTGAAAGTATTTTTGAGAATTTGAATCAAATTTTGCTTTTTTTTAGATTTAACATAAGTACATTTATCCAAAGACTCTCTTAAGTAAAAGAATGTCTCAAAAAAAGGCTCTAAAAAGTGAAGTATTAGACACATTACTAGTCCCGATACATAAAATATAATGTAGGTTTTTGCTCTTGTATTCCAGTAAGGCTGGACTTCAAGTGAAGTTGCACAAACGACATTCCAAACTACAATGCATAAAAAGATTTGGGACAATAAAATTAAAGCTAAGTAAACATATCTCAGAGAGGTACCAACAATGCTGTTTCTAAATCCAATCAGACCTTCTTTTCCAGGTGAAAGTGAGCATACCTTGGCTTCTACTTTAAGATTATGGTGATATCTATAAAACCCCCATAAAAATAAAGAAACAAAGTATACAGCTATAAACCTTAAGTAGCCATGGGCAAAGTCCAAACTAATAATTGTATATGATGGATTGCACCAGCTCATTAATACTTTTATTTTTCCTTTTACCTCTAACTGAGTCTGTAATTAGTATTAGGAGATTAAGTTATGTAAAACTTGTTGCGATCACAAATTTGGTTATATTTCTTCCAAATTAAGCATATGCTTAGACGATTCTCTCTTGGTCCTGTTCTCCTTCAAAAAAATACATATCAAGTTTTGTTTTCCCTCTCGGTACCTTATCACGATAAAATTATGGTTAGTGCAAACATGGCGCCACCTTTTCTGGGCGGCAAAATGAATGAGTGCATTAATAGTTTTTTAGTGACGGCATAGAATGCATAAAAAAGAAAATTGGGTGTGTACTTTGAGATAAAAGATAATTAAAAGTTGTTTAGTTTAATAGAAGGATCAGATAGTTGAGTAGGTATATATGAGGGTAAAAACTTGAGTTTGATGATAAAATGGAAAAAGCAAAACTAGTAGTGCCAGTAAGAAAGTTGGAGAATTCTGCATCAAACCAGTTACATGGCTATGATCCTGAGAAGTTAGAAAAAATTAAAGTTAAAGACGATGTTAACCGTTTAAATCATGTGAAGGAGCTAATTAATATTGATAATGACTTGAAGAATTTAGTTAAGAAAGTTAAAATACGTAGGTACATTGGTCTGATGTATCAGATCACCATTTTGAAGATTTACCTGAGCAGACATCTAGCCAAATTGAGAAATGCAAAAAAAGTTAATATTTTAAATAGTCATATAGTTCAACATCACTCATATAAGAAAATTGATTTCAACGCTTCTTTAGCTCAGAACCAGAATTTACCATCCAAATCACCAAATAGAATGGGTTTGAAGATGCTTCCAAGAACATCAAAAAATCAACATTTTCACAAAGGGGGAGTATTTCTTTGAGAAATGCTCCCCCAAATGAAAATTCGATGAGTTCTTTTTTGGGATATATTAGAAAAAAGAAAGAAATGGCTACTGTCAAAATTGAGCCAATGATGCCGGCTTGTGTGGGCAAAATTATAGAAGCAGATGAATCTTGGAAATGTAGAAAATCTGAAGTTAGAAAAAGAAGACTAAGAAGAGTTGCTTACAGCCAGCAATTTTTAGCCAGGAGAAATGCATATAGGGCTCAAAGCAATACCAAAAACTTGATTAACAAGAGAAATAAGCTCCTTATTGAGGCAAGGCTCTTACATATTCACGAAATACAAGTTAAAAACGAGAAAGAAATCAAAAAAAATTTACATATCAAGCAAAAAAGGGAGTTTTTAGATAATATTTTCAAAATTAACAAGATTGAGTTAATTAACAGGGGGGAAAATACCATCCGAGAAATCATAAAGAAGGAGTTATTAAATGCAAAAGAGGTTTCAAAGGTTCAAGAAGCTAAACTAAAGAAATTTAATGATGATAAACTTTTCATAATTTCTGAGGGTACAAAAAGGAAAGTAGAGTTTATAAAGAATGCTGAGAGATTTATCAGGAAAATTATTGAGAATCTCCATCTTAAAGGCGTAAAAAAGCTTAATATTGATTTAATTACTGAAAAAGGTAACTTAAAAGAGGGGATTACAATTGACGTTGAGAAAAAGGAAGTATTATTAAAGAACCCTGAGGTGGCAAGAAATTTAATAAAGAAGTCCAATTACTCCAAATTTGTTGGCCAGTTGTCTGGAAAAAAAGTTGACCTTTCAATTAAGAATGATTCAATTTTAGAGCCTAAAATAAGCAATGTTCCTGAGAGTAATGTAGGCAAAGACTATAAGATTGAACTGGAAAAGAAAAAGCAACCAATAAGGATGATGAAATTTGATAGTAATATCAGGTCTCCAATTGAAGCTAGAAGTGAATCAAAAGAATGTATATTAGACACGAAATCACTGAAAATAATAAAGTTTGACAAACAAAAAGGTAGTTCGGAACTAATACCAAAGTCTGACATTCAAATAAGATCTCCTGGCTTGGTAAAAGTCTCTTCACAGTTAAGTAGCTCCATTCAAATAGGTAAGGCAAAATCTTTAATTAAGTCCTTGCCAATTGGTAACCAAATTCCCAAAGCTAAGTCAGTTGAAATTTTAAAAAAAGATGCATTATTTAAGACAAAAGGAGGTATCCAGTCTAAGGTTACCGAAAAAAAGAATGATTCGGGCAATAATACTCTAAAGGATTCTAACACTTCTCTCTCAGAAAAATCACCAATGGTAAAAGACACACTAATCAAAAGTATATATACAAAGGTGGCCTCAGGAAAGGAACTTATTGCAAAACCAAAGTCAAAGGATTCAGTTGGAATATTAGTTAAGGATACACTCAATTTAGATGGAAAATCCAAAAGTGATATATTGAAACTTTCAGAGGGAAAGAAGAGCCCTCCTACAAAGAGTATAAATGATATGCCAAATTCCCAAGGCCTGGAACAAAATCAGGAGCTGAAAAAGACATTTTCAAAGAGCTTTCCAAAGGCAGTGGTAACAAAATCAGAGGTGTTGAAGAAAAATGATGTAATGTGTAAAAAGGTACTTCCAAAACAGCTGGAAAAAGTAAAACCAATAATTAAAACTAAAGAGAAATCAGATGGAATTCTTCCACCCTTAAAAATTGTTCCTAAAACGGCACCTAATGCTTTGGAAAAGGTTGATCATAATATATTGATTTACGATTCAGAAAAATATTGGAGCAGTAGACTCTATGATCTTTATAGAAGGATGAAAGGAGAAAGTTCTCAGGAAAGTAATGTATCAAAAAAGTGTTTAAAGAGAGAAAGGAGGAGACTTTCCACACGAAGTGTAATTGAGAAAAGAAGAATGAGGATTTATACAAGGTTGAGACTAATAAATATGGCAGATTCTAAAAGAGGAAAGCACACAAAGCTATTTATAAAGCCTGGAATTTTAAAAAGATATGGAATTCCAGCATTGATGAGCTGTTCTTATAGAGACACAAACCAGGCTTTGTGCTCAGATACGGAACAAAAGTATTTAATTCACAAGCTCTCTCCAAATTACACAAATAAATCACATATTGAATATTTATTAGATAATACTAACAGTTATGTTTTTGGAATACACAAACATCATGAACTTTTGTCCATAGCTAGAAACAGTTTGAATGAAGATATTCAATTTTGGAGGCTAAACAAATTATCTAAATATGCTTTAACGACGAAAATGAGTAACCTTGAACAGTTTATTGAGGAAGTAATGGGAGAGATGATCATTAATGGAGATTTAAAGCAAGAATCACGTGAAAATATGTTGGAGAATAACATCATGAGACTCAGGTACTTAGTAAATACTGGGAGAAATGAGAGACCAACTTTTACTAGTTGCAAAGATCAAAAGAGTGATGAAACCAATCAACTTTGGGATAAGCTAATTTCCAAGTTGAACATAAGTTATGACTACAAATCTTCTAAGAAAATTTCAAATACTAATAATCTTTGGAGAAAGGCTTCCGACTTTATTTATGAAGAGGAAGTTGATTTATTTAAGAAGGTATATTATTTATCAGATTTGGAAGACCTTAATATAAATATAGATGATTCAATACTTCAAAGTACATTAAAGACTATTAGAATACCCTACAATAGTCAGGATTTCAGATTTCCTTTTATTTTTTCAAAAGAAATCAAGAGTTCTAAGAATGGAAGTTATCATAGAAGAGACTTTATTAGTTACGTAGGAAAATTGTCACCTTGGACAAAAATGGCTTTGATTCAAAAAAGAAAGAGGAACAAAAAATCAATATAATTTATATAAAGCTGATGAATAGATAAATTAATAACGCTAGCTCATTAAGTTTCTATTTAAGTGTGCTGCAAAGTAACTTTCCAATAGAAGACACGGGAATGTTTTCATTTCTTTTAAGTTCTCCAACAAAAATGTTGAAAAGTGCAATATCTTCACTATTAATAGATCTTTCTGGTGCATTCTGGCCTTGTGAACACATAGAGATCTCTTCGAAGCTTTTACTCCCATCACATTGATTTCTGACTTTTAATGAGAAATCCAAAGCTCCCTTTGAGAAAAGTCCCTCATTAAATTTGTTGGTTTTTGAAGAGTTTTCTTTGTAAAAATAAATTGGTTCCAGGCCAGAAGAATATGTAAAATTCGGATCCAAAAACTTGGATAGTAAAGGAGAAGGATCTACTTTGAGTTTCAATATAGAGCTTGGAGGTCCGGTATTCGAGGGTTGAACTTCATCAGATTCAGGTTGCTCAATTTTGACTAAACTTAGCAGGTTGAGCACTTGTAACTCTCCTTGGACTTCTTCATCTTTATCTTCTATTATGTTAGTATTATTTTGTAAGGTATCAAGCTTAGTACTTTCTTCGATTTTCATGGTGTTTAATTCATGATCACATATCTGATCAATTTTTTCTTCTGCTGAACTAGCTATGGAAAGTCTTCCAATCCATTTTACAACACTGTCTCTTCTCTTCCTCCTTGTTCCCGTTTGCTCTAGGGACTGGCCTCCCTCATTTATATTTTGATAATTCTCTTTATCTGGGCGAATACTATTGCATGTACTTAGACGACGATTGATATGAGCATCTACTTGAATAGCCTGGTGACTAGTCTCAGTTTTTTTGAGGGATATTTCGGTCTCAAGCCTCTGAGTTTTCTTTCTATAAGCATTCCATTTAATTTCCAAATTTTGTATTTCTTTATTCAGAGCTTCTTCATCTTTTCTTAGTTGATCAAGGTGTTCTAATAGTTCTTTCCTTGTGTTCTGTAAGTTGTGTATATCTTCTACTGTGACTTTTTTACCCAAATATTCAGAATCAAATTTAGTGTCGTTCTTGTTCATGTTTTCAATTATATTCGGAATGTTCGAAGCCTTTTTCAAAAACTCCTTTTCAAGATGTCTACACTCCTCAGATAAACTTTTAATTTCAATCAGCACGGATTCAATGGCTTTTCTTAGACCTTCCTCAGTCTCGTTTAGAATTGAATCAAACTCATTTTGCCTCATCTTCAATTCTTTTTCTCTTTCTGAAAATCCCTCCTCCATTCTAAGTTTTTCTTGTGTATTCAGAAGAGTCTCTAAGCCATTTTCAAGCATATAATCCAAAGCATTTACGCATTCCTGAGCGCTACAAAATGCCAGCTTCCATTTCCTCTTTCTTTCCTAGAATTACCAATTAAAAGTATGATATTAAAGAAATCTGGAGAAACTCTCTCTTTAAGACTTACCTTAATATCAGTAGCATTAACAAGAATATCCGAATGATCTAATAATGCGTTTTTCACTGGACAGCATTCCTGGACAGTTCTGAAATCAATATTAATAACTTATCTAAAAAGGCTTTTCACTGGGTAATCTTCACTTACCTGTAAATCTCAGAAAATGACTCTGAAATCATTTCGCTTTGTAGCAGTTTCTATACTCGATCACTAAATAGTTTGCCCTCCTTAACTTGTTTTGCCGACTTTCAAATTGTTTTCTTTTTTTTATTGTGTGGGCCTGCAAAATAATATATGCAGCGCGCATGTGGGCGGGAAAATATTCCGATTATACTGTGGTATACTTATTAGTGGCAGAGAAAAAAAAATCACGGTTTGTAATGCAGATGGAAGGAAAAATAGGAAATATAAATAAAAGCTATAGATTATTAGCCTTCCAAAATCCTATATTGTATAAGAAGGTTAGAATAAGTCTAATATCTGATACATGGAATTTGAATTAGCAAAACGTGGCGCTACTTTTGCCAAGCCTAATTTCAGCGCTAGACGACTTTCTAATAAGTTTAAAAAATCTAAAGGTATTGATAGTGTCTTGGATGATATCTTTTGGGTTTACTATGTAGGTGAACCTGCTAATAATAAACTTGATATTTTTTGAAATGGAGTGTGGGGATTGAGTTGAAGTTTTAGAAGGGAAGTTTTGTTTGTTTGAAGTCTGGTGAGTTAGGTCAGTAGTGTGATTAGGACCATTTTCGTTTTCAGCAAAAAAATCTTTGCTACGGGCATTGGTGTGCTTATAAAGTTTATCCATGTTATCATTATCCTGGACATACCCTTGGCTGGATTCAATATAGTTTTTAAAGTCTTTTTTTATTGTGAAAGCAACACCATATATAATTGCACAAAGAGTCATTTCTAGTGTAAGAAGCCAGTTGTGAAGTTTAATGGTATAATTTGGCTCGTTTGGGTAAATTCCAGAATAGTTGAGAATGGAAAGAATGATAGATTGCCAAAAACTCATAAAAATGATAAGTTTAATGCAAAAAAATTTAAGTACTGGTCTTATAGGTGCTAATTGCTCAGAAATTGAGATGTATAATAGGAATAGGGAGTAGACTGAAAGCGAAACCGAAATACTGTTTAAAATTGCAATATATAGAAACCCTCTTTTGAAGGAGAATGTTCCAGATCCATACAATCCAACAGATTCAAGAAAAAGTGAAATAAGTGCTGAAATGGGTTTCAAAACCACAAATTGAAGGACTCCCAGCTTAATAAAAGAGTAGAACCTCGCAATCTTTATACGTTGACTTCCAGATTCACTTTCCCTTATCCCATCATTATTAATTGAAACTTCATCTAAGTTATCTTTCTTCTCACAGAAGCAGTCTGGATAAATATCTATAATATTAACTGAAATTTCTTCATTGGAATCTATGCTCCCAGTGGTTGAAGCCAATCCAACAATATTTAATGATTGGTTGAAATGGTGGTGGGGCCATATTTCAGCCTTAATTTTTTTGCTCTCTAATACAGATAGAATGACCTGATCGCCTCCCATGTAAAGAATTAAAAGCTGCAAAAATGAAAACATTACATACCCTTCATAGCAATCTCTTACTATATTCAACGGAGCTGCATAATCCACAAACAAATATGATATATATGAAACTACTGCATACACTGGAATCATAGTTAAGATCCTACATATACAAAGCTGTAATTTAGGCTTACATAGATTCAAATACTGGTGCATAATATTGGCCACGGAAATCATCAGTGTCAATAACGTGGCCACACTAGAAACAACCCATTTCCATCTCATTGCTGTATTTTCCATAAATTCAGTTTTTTAGTAAAACTCTAAACATTCCAACTTGCCCAATTGATTGCTTTCTAACTATTATTTGCTGGCTTAGAATCCTTGAATATCAAGAATAATTTTCTTAAAGACTTTAATTCTATTCGTTTATGATCTTTTATCTTTCTTCATTAATTTTTTAATATATTTTTATTTTTAAGTAATACTTTTGTTTATTTATTCCTTTATGCACTTAATTAAGATTGACCACGCAGTGGCGCCAAAATTTGGCGGTATGTGCATTATGTAAGTTCAAGCTAGGAAAATGTGAGAAGGGAGTGCTGAGAATGAATTAAAGAGAGCTGATATGTTGTTTTCTATGTATGAAAAGAGTATATCTAGATTTAAATTGAAAATGTTACGGATTGTGACATATTAATGGAAGTCCTTAATCGGAGTTCATTTTTAGTTTGTGTGCTATTAAATAAGAAAGGCTAATATTTGCCTAGATAGGGTTTAGGGTTCATTAATCTAGTTGGTTTGAGCTGATATAGAAGGAAAGTTCTTAGATCAGTTATAGATATCTGTGTTAAAAAAAATTATTTTTTCAAATATTATCTATTAATCTTTGGGATTCTTAGCGGTGTAAATAAATGTAAAGCTGTGTAAATAATAATATAAATATATTGTATGCCTAAAAAAGTATATTTAAGTTGTTTTTATGGGCTTAAACTACAAAAAATGTTTAGCATTAGATAATTAGGAATGATTATGTAGTATTTTCTGGAAAAAAGTATGAATCAGGAATTACTAGAAATTCATGAAATCAAAAAATTGTTAGAGCTGGATTTTGAGGATGTTCAGATATTCAATGAGGTTCAGGAAGAAGATGTATCTATGATAGAAGATTTGGTTGGTATGAGTGAGCATTTTGAGAATAGTGATATGGGGGAGATGAATAATATAATTCATGATTTGGAGGAGATAATGAAGGATGAATTAGTGGATTCTAATTTTGTTAGTGATGATGCAGAGATTATGGCAGACATACTGGATGAAGCAGGTAAGATTGATATGGAACTACCTAGTAGTAACTTGGCTATTCAAAATAAGGTGGAAAATAATATTAAACAAGTAAATAATTCTATTCAGAGTTTAGGAATAGATGAAAAATTGGTAAATTACTACTTAGAGAAGGGCTTGAAAAGCCTTTACGACTGGCAGTATGAGTGTATTACTCAGCCTGGAGTATTACAGGGAAGAAATTTAGTATATTCCGCTCCAACAAGCGGAGGAAAAACTTTAGTGAGTGAATTGTTAATGTATAAAAGAGTATTGGAAGGCAGAAGAGCCGCTTTAGTGGTTTTCCCATTTGTCTCTCTAGTTTCAGAGAAAAAGGACTCCTACTATAGGGCCGGAGGAGAGGTATGTGGACTCAGAATAAGCGAATTTCACTATGGGAGTAAGAGCCCACTCTTTGAAGAGTTTGACATTGGTGTTGCAACTATAGAAAAGGCCAATGCTTTAATTAGCTATTATATTCAACATGGTATTCTGTTTAAGAGGTTGGGAATTATTGTTGTAGATGAATTGCATCTACTTGGGGATGAACAGAGGGGTTATATACTAGAGGTAATGCTTACAAAAGTGAGACTTTTGAGCAAGTTACAGGGGGAGGGAAGATCAATTCAAATTGTAGGAATGAGTGCAACATTACCTAATCTAAAGGATATTGGTCTTTGGCTAGATGCAGTTGTTTACCAAAGCGATTTTCGTCCAGTTCCACTCAGGGAATACATAGTAATCAAGGGGAAAGCATATATTAAACCTGCAAAAGACCAGAATAAAAATACATTTGGGTCTTCTTTAGAAGATACATTAAACAGAGTCAAGAGTTGGGATTTCCATCAAATCAATTCTAAATTTGATCCAAATGATTTCAATGTTGAGCAGATTAATTCTAACAAGTGGAAATACCCAATAGTGGGTATGAATGAATTGTTGACTATAGGATGGGAGGCTTTGAAAAAAGGAGAAAGTGTTTTAGTATTTTGCCCTTCCAAGTATTCTGTTGAATCTACGGCTTTGTTTTTTGCGAAATGTATTAGAAGACAGTTTTGTGAAGGAATAGATCTAGAAGGCCATTCTGATAGGCAACAAATTATACAAAGTTTAAGATCAGTAGAAAGGCAAAGGTTTTTGTTGGCTGAAGAGATCAGGCAAAATTCCTCTATTTCAAAAAAATCAAATCAAAATAACTTTCTGGTTGAGTGTATAATCAAAGGAATAGGATTCCACCATTCTGGTTTATCTCATATAGAAAGAAGAATAGTTGAGAGAGGATACAGGAATGGTACTTTATCTTTATTAACAGCAACCTCAACTTTGGCAGCTGGAGTTAATCTTCCTTCAAAAAGAGTCATATTTAGAGGCATCAACATTGGAAGATCTTTTTTGACATGCGTTGACTACAAACAAATGTCTGGGAGAGCTGGAAGAGCCGGCCAAAAAGGAGCTTTTGGGGAAAGCTTTATTCTGGTGAATGAAACTCCAACAGAATTGGGGAAGGAAGTTAATGAGGAAGTTGAAAATGCATTAGGGCTTATTACTGCCGACATGAAACCTTTAATGAGTTCTTTTTTTACCAATTCTAATGGTATTACTAGATTAATCTTAGAGATTCTTGCAATTCTATTTGATCTTGATCTGAGTATATCCGGAAATAGAGACAAGAATGTGGATAAGGGATCATATACTGGCTCGATACTGGATTTACTGACAGAATCCACTTTAATGTCTCACCAAATTAAACTTTACAATGACTTATCTCAAGAATACCTTAGAAGCATTGATTCATTAGAAAGGGCTTTAAATTATTTAGTTGAAAATAAAATGATAGTAAATCGGGAGAAAAAGACAAACCAGATATCAATAGGAGGTTATACTTTGAATTGCTGTTGTACTTCTCTAGGAAAGGCCATAGTTTCTTCAGGCTTATCTCCTTCCACTGGACTAGAGCTTTATGATGAACTTAAAAAAAATATGGAATCCACTTTTTTAGGAGATTTAACTTTTATGTCATATTTAGTTACTCCTTTTCCTCCAAGTGAAACCTCAAACGGATCCAAACTCACAACTAATAACGCTCAACCATTTTTTAGATTGGATTGGAAAGTACTCTATGATAATATTAAAGAAATGTCTATTTTAGAACGCCACTCGTTGATTAGACTTGGTTTTGACCTGGAACAGATTTCTTGGGCCTCTCAACTAGGAGAGGAAAATCTTCCACCTAAGCTTAAAGAGCCAGGGTTTTTGAGAAGGCACCAAAGATTGTTTGCTTCGCAGATTCTTAAGTCGGTTTTATGTGGATTACCAGTGGAACTTATTCTTTCAAAATTTAAGTATATTTCCGTTAGAGATCTTCAACAGCTTCATACTGGAGTTTTGTCAATGTGTATTTCATGTATATCTTTTTGTCAGAATATGAATTGGTCTAATATGCTGATTATTTTTCAAAATTATCTTAGACAGATTCAGACTATCACGCTTTTAGAAGAGTATTCTGGGATTTTGACAAGAGATCAAAATTTGGAGAAAGCAGCTAAAAAACTGATTTCTGGAGTTAAGGGTCTGTCAATCTTATCAGCTTTAGAACTTAGATCAACACTTTCTGTGAAAACTCCAAATCAATTTCTAATGATCCCCAGAAAGATTCTCTCACAAAGCATCAACAGTAGAATATATTCAGGAGGAATCAAAACTTTTCAGTTTGTAAGTGATTTTGTAAACAATGTTTTCAATAACATGCAGAGTTCTAAAAAAGTTCCATTTTATAATAGATCTTTGGGGGTTTCTAATATTTCTCCAGGTTTGATCTTTTCAGTGGCTCCCATTGGCCAGGATTTTGAAAATAATGAAAACAATAACTTTTCGAATCTTGGTGAAAAATACTTAAGTGAGATTGAAACTAATTGCATTTTAGAGGCTTTATCAGAATATGATTCATTTAACCAACAAACTAAGTTTGAAGGTGACAACCACATATCTTACATAAACAAGGAGTTACCCATATTAACAGAATGCAACCTAAATAGCTTTGATTTGGAGAATGATGATAAGATTCTAGATATGTTACAAGATGACTTGCAAGACAACATTGACTGGGAAGAGAGACTTTTACTATGGTCAACACCACTGCAACAATCCCAAGAGTGGGAATCATAAAACATTAAGAAAATCCAATAAGTTATGATTACAAGCAGTAGAGTAATAATAATAACAATGTACAATATGAAAAAAAATTAAAGCCTTAAGTTCCATTTTTATTATTTTTATTAATCATAGCTATAAATCTAAATCTAACTTTAATAGAAAGAGTTTTAGAACTTTTAGTATTTGCAATGAATTACTTATCTAGCAGAATCATCTGGCTGTGGAATACTTGTTTCCGTTCCAATATCTGAGTGAGGGATAGTATTAGTTTGATTTGTCTGCGAGAGATTAACAACGTTACATGTAGAATGGATAGTAGCAATATCGGGAGTTCCATCTTCAAACATTGGAATTCCAGAAACTTGTGGAAATGGTGGGATCAGCATTTGATCAACTGGAGCACCTTTCTTAAGGAACTCTTCAAATGGGATAACTCCATTTCTAGTTACAATAGTTGTACCTGCAGATGCAAATCTAACCTTGCCAATTTGAGGGGTAGAGTTCACACTTAATGCAGGATCTGCTCCATTATCATTTAATTGGGGAGCTGAACAACAATTCAAGATGGATGTAGAAGGAGCAGCTGCATCATTTTGAGGTAACACTACAGATGGTGGTGCAACCATAGATGCGCATTGGGGCATTGGGATGTTTTGATCTGACATGATTACTTCTTATTAAATTCCTATATTTGATATATATGTTTAAAAAAGTTTTGTTATATACTAATTATCCTGCTGATCTTCATACAAGTTCTATTTTCCTTCGACCTTTTTTGAAGGTTTACTGGTATTTATTGTACAAAAGCTGCAAATTATTCTCTTGTTCTTAGTTTTTCTATTTCAGCTAACTAGAAAATCGCCAGTTTTTCTTTATAATAAACTAGCCTTTTGTTGCTGCTTCCTTGCTTTTAGCTTTATACACCTACTTCATATTATACATGGGAAGACATGTAGGTACGTATCCCAAGGATTCTAAATTATTTATTAATATGGAAGTGCAATTGCGCGCCTTTGCGTACATAAAAAAAACCGAAAGAGAAATCAGAAGAAAATAATAAAAATGGGTATAGTTGAGAGCAAAAAACTAATATTTTGAATTTAGAACAAATCTTTTAATATAGATATATGCAACTTGGTATATTCAATTTAGGTCCTGAATGTAGATTTTCAGATTTCACCGGGTTATTTATCTAGAAAAGAGAAAAACGAGTTGTTTGCTTCAATCGACATAAGCTCTTACTTTTCTCTAATTTAACATTTTAGTTACTGTGTTTAACTGGCCAAGAAACCATCTATTTATTTTTTCTTGGGTGTGTGCGGCATGTATTTTTTTTAAGTTTGGGGTTGTATACAATTTTTCTTACCCAAAGGATATTTAATGCAGTGGCTGGCGGGAAACTGCTTCACCCAAACTAGACGGTTTAAGCTTGAGGATGAATAAAATAGAAGTAAGCTTGTTATGTTGAATTTTGAGTGTGACTGCAGAAAATGATGGTCGAGAGAGTTACATAAATTTATTTCGGCAGGTAGATTATCTGACAGAAACATGGTCGGTACATCAGCTTGCCTTGGTAGCTCAGTTGGGAGAGCGTGAGACTGAAGATCTCAAGGTCCCCGTTTCGATCACGGGTCAAGGCACTTTTTTAGCCCAAAATTAGAAATGGTAAAATTTTCTATTTTTTTTTTTTAAAAATTTAAATTTTGATTAAAAATATGCAATTTAATCAATATATTACATCTATAAATTAACTTGATTCTTAACTTCGTAATAAACAATAATCTGCCAAAATAATAATAGGTAGTAATATAAAAGATTGAACTTGATTAGTTGAACTGAATAATATAAAGGGCATAGAAAAAGATTTTAAATAACTTTCAAGATGGAAATTAACCAAAGAAAATATATGGAAACGGCCAAAAATCTAGAAGGGCGTAAGGGGGAGGTGGAGAAAATATCTTTATTTATGAAGAATTTCAGACCTTCATTTCCTCAGCTATTCAAAAGAAAAAGTGGATTACCTTTGAAACCAATTTTCCTCTCATTTTTTCTTCTAATAGTCGGAATTTGTTTCTTATATTTAGGAACAACTTTGTTTCTTTCGAAAAAATACTATGATTCAACACCATCTTTGTTTTTGGGAGTACTATGTATTATTCCAGGTAGTTATTATTCCTTTTCAATATTACAGATTTTACGAGGAATATCAGGATATTCTTTTGAACAACTAGACATTTCCTAATATTACAAGATTTTAGTATATTATTGAAAAATAATAGTGTAGTTCTTAATAATTTGGGTTTATACAGGAAGCAGTAATAATAATAAATTAAAGAAAGATTTACTTAATTTGGTCAATATTAAAGTTGATGTATTTTTCAAAGTAAGGCAGCTGTGTATATTGGTCTAGATCAATGAGAGGAATATCTCCATTTTCAATCCCACTTTCAATTTCGGAAAGGCTATTAATATTGTTGATTATTTCATTAGAGGAGAGTCTTTCAAGTTTCTGTCCAATTGGAAAAATCGAATTAGAGGTTTTTTTGCCAAACCCAAGAAAACCACTATTCACTCTTTCAAAAGATTGACAATTCTTTAAAGGATCAACAGTAATTGGGCTATCTCTTCTCTCAAAAGGGAGAAGCTCCAGAGATCCTGAATTAGTAGGAGTAAAAGAATTACTTGTACTCCATCCTATTTCATGGCTCATTCTATAGTGCTCAATAGTTTTCTCAAGATCTCCTACTGGAGATGAGTAATTGTAAAGTTGCTTTGTATCAACCAATGAATTTGTTCCTTGATTAATAACTTCTGGGTTTGAATAATAAGCTGTTGGATATTCTGGTATAAAATTTGGAGCTACTGTATTTGTAATATTTTCGCCAAAATTTAAGGCTGACCTACATGGCATTCTTTTGTGTTTATACAAATTTGAGAATTCATTGAATGGTTCCGGACACTTTGACTCTGTTCTTTCACCTTGATTCAAATCTAATTTCGAATTCATTTCACTTTATTGAATTTTTAAATTAATTCTAATTCTAAATACGTAAACGAGATTAATTGATAGTATGTTTATTTTAAATTCTTTTTTTTAAATAATACTTTTTCAATAGTCCATCGTCTATTTGTTATGTAAATCTATAATTTAATTGAATAAAAAGTCCTTATACTTGCTTACTGAATCTTTCTCACTTGTATTTTAAACAATTAACTGATTTTCTTTAAAGTTCCCTTTTTTTACCACTTTTATTTATTTATTTATTTTCTTTTCTGTTTTCAATTTGCATAATTTTTCCCATATATTTAGATCCGTTTTATTGTTACTCTTAATTTCATTAAAGGTACCTGATACTCATATTTATTTTATCTATTAGCACAAAATCAAGGCGCTCATAGACAAGACGCACGCAGATTTATATTGCAATAGTAATATACGTATAGATTAATATAAAGGATTGGGTAAAAGTTCTTAAAAGCAATAATATGGTTTGTTTAAATGTATGCATTAAATGCTATTATGAAAACGTGAGGGGTTTCATTGATTTAGTGTGGAGGATAGATATTTAGATTAATACTGCAATGGTTCTGTGTATTGAATATTATATAGTGTAAATTAGTATTTGCATTTTACATTAATAAAAAATGCAAATATTCCTCTGGAAAGAGAAAGTAGAATCCATCTAAATTTTTCAAAATTAATCTGTGTGTCTGCTTTGAGTTTGAGTTTTTATTACGAAGGTAACCCAATTAACTATTTTTAAGAGTTAAAGTGGCAAAATATATTGTTTTGTGGTTTTGAGTTATTACTGATTTCTTTTCTATTCAACTGATTTTGGTTTATTTTTTTGGCTGATTAAGAGTCTTTTAACAGTGTTGATAACAATAATTATTTTTATCAAGGTTAATTTTTAAGAATGAATAATGGCTATATTAATACATTTCTTTTAGGTAAGTAATTACCTGTTTATTCTTTAATCTAAATAGTCCAGCTAATTTTGAAAATTATTGCATTTATAGTTGGTTTAAATGACATGCTTCTGCTTCATTTTTACTAACATCTGTGGAGTCTTAAGTTATATAAATTGTGATATACTTATTAAAGGCATTGTTTTATTCTATAAACTTGAAATTTAAAATTTAAACACAGTTGTGGTATTTGAGCATTATTTATTAAGGAAATATTAAAGTATTTGTATATTTCAATTATTTTTGTACTAAATTGCTTTTCCTAACTTGTAGCTAAGTTTATTGAATGTTTTCAATTATACATTTCATTTGGTAAATAAATTTGTCAAGATGTAGCATTTTAAGAGTATTTTTAAACAGGGAATTCGATTATTATTTTAATTTTAATAGAAGTAATTTATTACTATTATATGGCTTAAGTACAAAGTATGCAGTTGATTAGGCTATTGCATGCATGCATGCATGCACAGTTTAATGTATAAGCTTGTGATAAACATGTTCAAAGCGGAATAAAACATTGGAATATATATATAAACTCATTTACATATTTTGATTCAATTTTTTGTTTGGAAAAAATTTGATTTTTTTTTATTTACGTTGAACTTTTGTGGTGGGAAAGAAACTTTGAATGAAGCCATCTCATTAGAATGCTTTTCTGACATTGAGTGAGTAATGAATATTTGGGTTTGGTGAGTTTGATTTTTTTTTTTTTGAAAATCAAAATTCTACGTGTTATATTTTGTTTGAGTAAATTACTTTTAATTTTTAATGTATTTATTTGTTTCATTCACTTTTAATAAGCCTTGCCTTGGGTATTTTTTCGTATGAAAAGTAAAATAAGACCATTGGTAGTAGAAAGTGGATAGAATGAATAAAAAATAGAATAATTATTACTCCTATTATGATTCAATGACAAAACTTAATGCCGAGCTAAAATTAGTAAATATTTAGATGTGGCAAAACATTGTTGTTGGCCAACAGCAATAAATAATAGCTAATTATTATTTTATCCATTATAATTATATTAAATTGAATGATATATTCGTGAATCACTATAAATTACTGCTGAGGAGGGTATTGATACGGATATTGATGACGTAGATTTGGAGGGAATTGTATTTGATTAATGTTAGCTCCATTGAGAAGATGTTGTGGAGGTTGTTGAGGAGGATTAAAAGGTATAGGTGTCTTGCCTGGGATATGTGCATTATTGCCTGAGTTCAACATGTGAGATGACATTGCAACACCCTGTGGAAGCGGGAAAGCTGCATATGAGTTTGCCAAGGGAATCATTTGAGGTATTACACCTGGCTGTGGCTGTGGCAACATATGGTATGGAGGTATTGCAGGATGCGATGGTAATCCATCTGATGCAACATCTTCAGGATCATTTGTACCATACATTGGTGGAGGCATGGACAATAGAGGAGCACTAGTTGGAGCAGAACCAGGACCTCCCATCATGAAAGGTTGCTGTGATTGAGGCGGAATAGGTGGAATAGATTGGTTGAGCATGTTTTCATCATACATCATTCCGGGATGGAATGGAATTTCAACAAGTTTTTCAACATATCTTGGAACAACAAAAGGTACTTCAACATCCTTGTAGTATGGGACTTGACGATAAACTTTTTGTGGGATTTCTAGAAGACGTTCTTCAATTACTGGGCGAGAAAGTTCAACGGTTCTCTCAACAATATATGGCTTGGGAACAGGAACAATCCTTGGAGGATAAGCAATAGGAACCTCAACAGGGACTTCAACAAATTTGACACCTTGAGGAACTTCAATGACTTTCTCTTCAACAGTTGCTGTATAGCGAGGAATTTCAACTTCTCTAACAACATCTTTTGGGATTGGAATAATTTTCTCTACTACGACCTTTTGCGGTACTTCCACAAACTTATGTTCATATTGAATCTGCGGAACCTCAATAATTCTCTCTTGTACTTCTCTTCTAGCAACAATAACTTCACGTTCTTCAAGAACTGGAGCTGCAACAAACTTCTCAGGGATTTGGTTTCTTACATTATCAGGTAATGGGATTGGACCTAAACTAGTCATTACATAGGGCTGCCCTGCCTTGACCAGTTCCTCAGCTTTTTTTGAAAGGGTCGCCTTAATAGACGCCATAGTCCTTACATCTGGCTCATTTGAGAACTGTGGAGGTAAACTATATGAGGATAATTGTGGTTGTTGAGAGGTTGATATATCTTCAGATGCTGGTACCTCTGCCATTTCTTAGTATTGTTGTTTTTTTAGTATTCTTTTGCGGCACTTGAATAAATATGATTTTCAATAAATCCTAAAATGCTAAATATCTGTAATTTTAAGACACTTCGGTATTCTCTGTGTTATCCTTGCAAGTTCTCGAGTCAATTGATGCTGATCAAGATCTGTTTTAATACTTTATTTATTTTTTCATTAAATTCATCAAGATCTCACACACAATCTCTTTATAAACAATCTACCTATTTTATATATGCAAACCTAAAACCATCTTTTATTTTTTTTCATTATACGTATTTTTCACTTTATTTCATATACCCCCTAATTAATATATTTTACATGCTCCCATTCTATACGCAGGCGACCCCGCCACGTCTACGTTGCCGCCTCAACACTCACACGATGCCGCCACTTGCGCCGCCATAAATGCAAATAATTAATTAGTAATTAAGTAACTTATAGGTGTATCAGATAGTAAATAATTAGATTAGCTAAAGATATGAGTGACTGTAAAAACATATATTTAAAAAATAACCGGTAATTAAAAAGGGGGTTCACTAAAGAGGACCGACCCGGATTTGAACCAGGGACCAGACGATCTGCAGTCGCCTGCTCTACCACTGAGCTATCGATCCGTGCACATATATACCTGTATTAATTTACCATATATACTATATATATAAAATGCATAAAATTTAGTGTGGAAATTTTTCATGTAATTAATTGAAATATATTTTATTTTTTTCTGAATTTTTGTAAAAATATTAACACTATACAAATATACATTTGTTTTAAACATATTAAGTAAGCCAAAACACTTAAGTATTAAAATAATAAAAGTATGATCCTTAATAATCTGAAATTCAAGACTTGACTATTTTTGCCTTCATTTTATAATGCCCGGTATTAGTTTAGAAATAAATAGTAATGAAATATATTTACAATATATAAATATATATAATTACTGTATTTATATATGTATATATATATATTTATGTATATATATAATTAATGTATAAAAATATATATATATATATATATGTATATATATATTCATTTATTTATCTATGTATTTATTCATTTGAATTTGAATATAAGAATCAATATTATAATAGGAAACCTGTGATTCTGAAGTATGCATTTATACTAACTTGGTGCCTCAAAATCTATATCTGAAAATTGTATCTTTTATTATGAGCGACTTTACTAGAGAACCCTTCCCAGATAGAATATTTGAGGACCTTGGCGGAGCCTTTAGTATGGGATGTATTGGTGGATTTGTCACAAATTTTTTCAAAGGTATGAAGTACTCCTCAACCAAGATGGAGATGCTTTCGAGTGGCATGCTTTTTGCCAGAAGAGCAGCTCCTTCACTCGGCACTAGTTTTGCTTTATGGGGTGGAACGTTTTCTTGTTTTGATTGTTTAATGGCTAAATTGAGAGGCAAAGAAGACCATTGGAATGCAATTTTTTCAGGAACAGCAACTGGTGGTTTACTAGCCATAAGAGGGGGTTTGAAAACATCGTTAAAAAGCGCAATGGTTGGAGGAATACTTTTAACTATTATTGAATCAGTTTCTATTGGGATTAACAGAAAGACAATCCAGACACCAAGACAACAGTTTAAAGAATACCAAAGGTTTGTTCAGATGTCTGAAAATCAAGACAAAAAATCAAGATCGGAATTAAAACTTTCAGAGTTTAAGTAGTCCTTTAGTGGTGCTCTGAATAGTTAAATATTTATTCTCACTAACTAAAATTTTACTTTTATATAAGGATTATTAATTATTATAGCTTTCCCAAAAATGTCTTTTTTTTTCTAGTTTCTTTTTATTGAAAGTCCTGCTTTTCCCATTCCTAATTTTTTTACTTGCTTTAGATTACATGAAATATTTTTAATCCATTATTAATTTAAAATGAATAATAAAGAGAAACATTAAGCTACTTAAAGATTGTTAGAAACATTCACCTAAAAAAAGTATAAAGAAACTGTAAGTAAACTAATTTGGTTGTTTATCTATTATATTCATTCGTTTTTCTGCAAAATATATAAAGTCTTGGCCTATAAAGCACATTACGAAAAAAACCCCATTTTTTTTCAAATTCAAATTTGTGCGGGGAAATGGCGGGTTATTTGTGGACTATCATATAGTAAATATTAAAGACCATAAAGGTACGGAACAGATTTTTAAACATGTTAAAACGGAAAAACATGTGAATTTGAAAATATTTACAAGATTAAGTGAGAAAAAAAAATTAATAATTATAATTGGTTGCATATTTGAGATATTTAATAGGAAGATCATATCTTGGAAAAACCAAAACAGAAATGAGTTTATTATCATATCAAAAATCCCAGGGCACACTGGGATTGGGAATAACAGAGATTGAAAATTCAACTAGGAAGTTAGTAGAAAATGAAACTCAAAAATTCGAAGCATATATTGATATTTTGAAGGATCAGATGGTTGGTATGGGGGAATTGGAACATGAAAATGAAATACTACACGAGGAAATAGCCAGAATAACAGAACAATTAAGCTTGAGGGAGATGGATATGGAGTCTAAGGAAAAGAGAATATTTGAACTTGAAAAGTGCGTAGGAGATTCTCAAAAAATGAATAAAGATTATGAAAAAGAGTTGAATGACCTTACAAAAGAGAAAAACGATCTAAAAACTCATTTAAATGAGATGAGTATTCAGCTCGAAAAGTTAATAAAAGAAAGTAATACTTCTACAAAAGAAGTGATCCGGGGTGATGATGAGGAGAAAAACACATCAAGAAGTAAGTCCAAGAAGAGAACATCTGAAGAACATGAAAGTGAGAATATCTCAGCTAATATAGCTTCTCAAGAGGCTCCAACATTGAAAAAAAGCCGTTTAAGACGCCCACAAAATGAAGATAATTCGGAGTCTAAAAAGAGTATTAGTAAGGATGCTGAGCCTATTATCAAAGATGGAAAATTGGGTAAGGAAGAAAATCCTTTGAAAGATGTATTAGGCAGGACCAATTTGGGTAGGCTAAGAGCTCCTTTACTTAGAAGTCGTGTTGTGAAAGCAGCAGAGGCTGCAAATCCAGAGGTTGAGAATCTTCCAGAGTTAAAGACTCTTGAAAAGGAGAAGTCAAAGCCAGGGAAAATGAAGAAATCAACAACATCTGTAGAATCAAAGAAATCAGGTAAAAAGACAAGTAAAGTAGCAAAAATAGCTAAAATTCCTCATTATGACGAGAATATATTAAACTCAATGAAGGTTCCTGAGTTAAAAAATGTTTGTAGTAAGCTTCAATTGGAGGTAAATCAGAGAGCAAGAAAGTCTGATTTGATTCAATCAATTCTTTCTTTTCAAGGAGAGTAGTTATCTTTATTTTTATACTTTAATTAATAAATAAGAGACTAATAGTTCCTAATTACTCATGGAAACAAACAAGGTCTATGCAATGATTTAAGCCTAAAAAGGAGCAAGTAACTAAGGGTTAACAAATTGAGAAAAGATACTTTCCTATATAGTTCTTTACGGGTTTTACCAGAGGAATAGAATGAAATATGGGACGGAGAAATCCTTACAACTTAGCAGGGAGACAGTGGCGATTCGAAAAGAAATCAGAAGATGAAAGTGAAACCAATGAATTAAGACTTAAGTGTTCTAAAATTCACAAATCTTCTTGAGACAGAAATAGAACATTCAAATGCTTAGTTACTTAAGAAAGGACACCGGAAGCAGTGATACATACAGACTTGGTTGGTTTCCCATTTTGAGATCCACATCTCTCGATATTTTTGACTACTTCCGTACCTTCCAAAACTTTGCCAAATACAACGTGCTTTCCGTCTAACCATGGGCATTTAACAGTGGTGATGAAAAATTGAGATCCATTGGTGTTTGGACCTGCATTAGCCATTGAAAGAAGGAATGGTGAATCATGTGGGTAAGTGAAGTTCTCATCTCTGAATTTAGAACCATAGATTGACTCACCACCAGTACCATCACCACGGGTAAAATCACCGCCTTGGATCATAAATTGGGGAATGATACGATGGAAGGATGACCCAGTATAACAGAGAGGCTTTCCTGATTGACCCATACCCTTTTCACCGGTACAGAGTGCTCTAAAATTTTCAGCTGTGATAGGTACTTTATCTGCGAACAACTCCATAGTGATGCGACCGGCTGGAGCTTGGCCGATTGAGATATCGAAGTATACAACTGGATTTGGCATTCTTGATCAAATTAAAAAAAAAAAAGAAATTGTCTGAAACTCAAAATTTGACAAAAACTAGTTTTTATAAATAATAGAATAACTAAAAATTATAATGAGACATTTTTGATTATGTATTTGTTTCTACTAGTACAATTTGTAATAGTATTGCTCTACCACTACTACCTCCATCTTTAATGCAGTTTAGTTTTTCATTAATTCAAACTTAGAAATGTATAAGGTTCTACCCCTCACTATACGTAGTTTGGCGGCACATAGGCGCCATGGGCGGCATTTTATTTGTATTTTTGTTTGCATGTTTGTGGGATTTTAAATGAGATTGTAGTTAAAACTTAGTGGATTTGAAAGCATTTTATTCAAAGCCACAGACAATGAATAAGTATATACTGATATAATTTTGACTAGAATGGGGATGGTTTGGATCTATGGAGTTGGTTATTCACTTAGTAGGGAGTCGTTATTAGGCAATTGAATGTTGTGTCTATAATAATCGGATGGTTTTGATATTTCATCGTATTTATTGATAGCTTCATCAATATGGTCATCATCTTCAGCATCCGAAGAAATATTGAGGTTAATTAATTGAGTATGGGCTGAGGAAAATTCTTCGATGGGTGAAGTTTCTTGGATTGGAGAAATTTCTTGGATGGGTGGAAATTCTGGAATAGGAGAGATCCCTTGAATATGCGAAATTTCTTGTGAAGGAGGAGTTTCTTGGATGAGTGGGATTTCTTGTGCTGGAGAAGTTTCCTGGACATATGAGATCTCCTGAATGGGTGAAATTTCTTGAATAGGAGGAATTTCTTGAATGTGTGGGGTTTCTTTAAACTGAACATTTTGAATGGGTTTGATTTCCCGAATAGGATGGAGAACTTGTTTTTCTAGGACATCCTGCATGTGTGGGATTTCGATTGTTTGAGATTCTGGCTGAGATGTTTCGTTGTTGGAAGCGTTCTTAGGGGAATATTCTTCAAGACGGTTGTAGAAGGAGTCATTTTGAGAGTCTTCATCTATACTACTGACCTTGCTTAGCTTTCCCGTTTCAGAGTTTAGAATATGTTTGACAACTGGACTAATCAGTATGTCCTGCATCTGTTTAACCAGTGAAGAAGATTCTTGGACGTATTTCTCATCAGTTTCTGAAAGGAAGGAGGATTGCTCAATAAGCTTTGAGCATATTACAACCCATCTTTGGATAATTTCCGAGGAAAGATAAATGTGGTTTCCAACAATAGCTTCTTGGTATTTCTTATTTAGGTTGAAAAGGCAGTCAAATTCAAAGTAAGAGTTCCATTTTGGATTATGGCAGTTTTGTGGAAAATTGGAATCCAATTTGAGAACTTTTTCTCTCAGATTTGTAGCAAAAGAATGACAACAAGAGCTTTCATGATTAGCTTTGGTAGTGTGAAACCTTAGTTCTATAATTATAGGTCTAGTTGAGTCCTTAGGAGCTTGGATTAATTCTTCATTTTGATAAAACGAAACAGGAGATCTCTCGAAAAGAAAATCGTATCCCAGAACCAAAATTAGGCATTCTAAATATTCAAGTTTACTTAATTTATCTGTTATATATTCTGGAAGAGTGCCCTGGTTTCCAAAAATGAGTTTACCGTTACAATCAATAATGTGGCTTATAGCAGGTAAGTGCAACCAATATGCTACATTACCTTGTAGAGTAGAGTCAGATATAATTTCGTCCGAAGATGAGGAGGTTTTTGAAGGATTCTTAGTTTGGAAGAACCCATTTTGTTGGCTTTTTTGGCAAACTTCTAAAACCAGCATGGTAGAATCAAATAACGTTACATTTGTATTGTTAAATACAAAGTCAATATTAATACATGGTTTTTCAATTCTCCAATTCATGGTTTCTCTTCTAAGTCCTCTAGTATTTAAAGGAATTGGTATGAGTGATGAAACCAAATTTTTTCCTCTTTGGGATATAACATTTCCACTTTTTAAGGAGTTATTTTCAAAAACATGTTCAAAGACATCATCTTCAAAAATGATTTTGGTACCCAGAATTGGATAGACCAGAGAGTTATAGCATTGGTAATTAAATGATATGGGATTTCTATAGCTTCCTATAAACATATCAGAAGGACCTACCACTGCAATGTGAGTACTATAGCTTTTTAAAAACTTTACAGTAGATTCAACAATACTTAATAAAGTAATACTTGGGGACCATTCATGGAGGATTTCTGCAGTGAAACTACGTCCATCACTTAGACTTGGAAAACAAAATGTACTTGGAAATGTGATATCTGGAGGGCTAAATGGAAAGTCTTTATATAATATTATTTGTATTGGAATTTCATTGTTTAGAAAAGTATCCACATCTTCCATCATAATTGAAATATCAAGTAAAACATAATTTTTTCTATGCTCCTTATCATACATAGTTACATTATTAACATGAAAATGACAATATTGTGAATGATAACGGTTATTTTCAAAGGTGACAGTGTCCCTACATTTTTCCAATTTACATTGGTTTAACTTAAGCTGTTCTATCTCATTTTTAATTCGATTTTTGTGGATATCTTCTAATCCAGCTTCTGAATTTCTACCTCCCTTTAATATAAAAACACCTGTGTTGATTACTCCATATAAACTATTAATCATCTCTAATTTAAGAATTTACTAGTTTGATTCAAACGAGTAAAGTATTTCAGCTGTATTTTATAATTTGCAAGACTTTTATCTATTTACTTGGCTTTATCATGAAAGGTTTTAATTCCATTAACAATTTTTTTTACTTAAATTTTACTATTCAGTTTTCCCGTTTTTTTTCTCCTCATCATCACTGCATGGGCCATGTTGGCGCCAAATGAGAGTAAATAATTAAATTGAGGAGATTAATGGAGAAGTTTATTTGGTATTTACTAGTGAAATGGTTGTTTATTTATTGTTGCAAGAAATTATGTAACTTATTAGAACTTTTTTTGCTAGTTTAAGATTATGGAAAAGACGATTATGTTTGAAAGTCAGTAGTTTAAAGGCATATACAATACATGAGTAGGGACTGACAATTTATAGGCAAAAGATGAGGGAAGCTTAGAAATAGTCATTATTGTATTTCTATTAAGTATTAATTGTTAATTGCATCCTTAATAATGTTTAATTTTTGGTTTAGTGTGAAGACTTGATTTTCTAATCTGGTAACAAGTTCCAAGTTTTGATCTTTATCCATATTTTCTTGGATTCTGTTAACAGTCCGTTCCAACTCAAGCTTCCTAATTTCTTTCTGACACGTGTCTATCATCGCGTTTTTTTCTTGAATTTGCTCACTTTTTATTATTAATTCCTTACCAATTTCTTTAAGTTGATTAAGAAGTAATTTGTTTTCACTCACTAGTCTATTCATTTTTGGGCACTCCTAAAAGAAAAAATGATTAAATAAATCATATGTACAGAATAGGAGCAGTTTAAGATAAAATTTGTAAAGATTTTATTCTGTTAAATTATTTATACACTTACCTTTTGGTGAGTAAGATCCAAGTTTTTATAATTTGCAAAGAGTATTCCTTTAATTTCATCTGTCATTTCTTTCTGTAAAACAAGGAATTTTCCTTCTAAATCATCAAATTCTAAGTTAATATTTTGTTTTATAAAAAGTTTGATTTTTTCCATTTGTTTATTCCATACATTTATTACAGGCAGGTGAATTGATGATTCATCCATTTTTTAACTTGTATTCTAAAGATCCAAGCTATATATAAAACAGAGAATCAAACAGTCATATACAGTTTGAAATTAATTTTAAATAATAAAATTTAATTAATTAATTAAAGATAGATTTAACCAATTAATATTAGCTCGAAAAAATGAAAATAATTAGATTAAGAATGGATTAAATCTCAAATTCAACTAATCAATTAATTGCCGAATATAATATCAAACTAGACTAATAAAGTATAACTGTGCAGACAAATTCTCAATTAATAAGGAAAATTACAAAAATATAAAGAATTCAGGAATAAGGAAAAACAGGCAGTATATGATAAGTTTATCCTCCTGGTATTTTGCATGCAAATATTCATACTAAAAATAATTGAAACTTTAATATAATAGAAATATTTTAAAATGGTTTTTACTTGTTTTAGTCAAAGAATTTCTACAAGAGTAAAAATAAAAAGTTGATTCTAGAAGATTAAAGCACTTAAAAATTGGTTGAGTTAAACAAATTTCATATTTGCATCTTCCCCCACACTTCTTTATCATTTATATTCGACTATTATCCCCCCCTTTACTCTAATTAATATTTTTTACATTTGGGGCGGGCAATTAGGTTATAATTTTTTCATCCTCGGAATTTTGTCTATTACGATGCCGCCAAAAGCGCTTTTGCCGCCACCACCTAAGCAATAAAGCACAGTTGCCGCTAAAACACCTACAAAACGTTTTTATTAATGGAAAAAAATAATTAGTGGTTATTAGAGGAAATTTAGAAAAGACGGTATATAGCAGTTTTCTTTTTTGGGAATATTAAGGACAGAAAATAAACAAAGATATAAGACCAGAACTGGTGTGTATCCGTAGGTGTGTATCTGAGGCAAAAATTATTGAGAACTAAATAAATAAGTACAATTTTGGTCGAGTCTCAAGGAACTGAAATGGAGGATTCATTGATATTACAGATTTTGGATATTTATGCGAAGTTAATAATTATTGTTTCTCCTTTTGGAGCAGTTTTCTTTATAGTGATGGGAATTTTAATGCTGAGGTCTACATTAATTATAGAAGGAATTGCAGTAGGATCAGAGGATTATTCCGACTCAACATTAGCTTCATTGATAGCAGGGGCTAACTTTTTGGCAATTCTCATTGCAGCTCTTATTTATAGATCTTATAGAGCAAAATCAGCTGCTAAAAAAGCAGCTAGTGCACAAGGTAGTCAAGAAAGCGGATATAATTACTTTACGAGCAACAACAATGAGGGTGTAGTCATCTCAAGCTCAGCATAGCTATCTTAGTAGAAATTACTAGGTTACTATATTCATGTTTTTATCCTTTTTTTATCTATTAATTGATTAACATATATTAAAATTCGAATCTATCAAATTAAAGTAAGAAATAGTTTTGTCTATCTTAATATATTTATACTCTTTTTTCCTTGAATACCCAACACATTATTTAATATTTGGCCTAGTTGCGATTAAATCCCGTTTCCCATTTTCGAAGATATCTAGGAAGGCACGTTACGAGTAACATACAGTTCTTCCCTTAATTAACTTCTTATTTTCCATTCTTATCTGTCTTTTAGTTTTTCTCTTCTCTGTATCAGGTGAATTAGTTGTATTGTTATTTGCAATGGATGATTTTAGTATAATAATGTCGTCTTCAGAGTCTTCATCATTATTATCATCGTTTATATTAATTTGGTTAATTGGCTCAGCTAGTTTATTAAAATCTGAGCTTACAGTACTCTTGACGTTAGGTGGCATGTGACAGTATAACAATTTTCCAGACCAATAATCTCCCAGAATCATTCTACCAGCTTTGCTCCAGTCGGGAACTGCTCCTTTTCCTTGTTGAAACAGATGCCTAGTTTCACATAGTTTGTTTAGGAATTGAGTAGAATCAAATGTTTTTGGTACTTGGTAGCTGATTCTGTCAAAATAAGTCTGATAAAGTTGTGCAGAAATTCTTTCTCCAATTAATTGAATTGTATCCAGGAAACTACCTTTAAAATGGTCAATTGGAATAACTCCATTTATTAAAAGATGCTCCTTTGTGCTTGTAAATGAAGGCATAACTAAACCTGGGCAATCACATAAAGTAATGAAACCTTGATCCTTTTCCTCTTTATTATTTAAATGTGGAAGCTTTAGTCGAAGGGTCTGGAGATGCTTAGTTTTACCAGGGGTTCTACTTATTGAGGACTTCTGGCTTCCAAAAAGAGCATTAACAATCGATGATTTTCCGACATTTGGGAACCCAACCATACCTATTGTCAATTCTCCTGGGTTAAGTGGGTCCAATACTGCAAAATTGAAAACTTCTGAATCACTCTTTGCCTCGGTTTTATTCTTTAAACCACTATTAGAAATATTCGGATCCTCTTCTTCATATTCATCCTCTTCTTCCTCATACTCATCCTCTTCTTCCTCATACTCATCCTCTTCTTCCTCATATTCATCCTCTTCTTCCCCATCTTCCTCGTCCTCATAACCTACATCATCTTCACTCTCTTGAATATCTACTTGATCACCATCAACCTTTTTGAAACTCTCAATATTTTTATCGTCTTTAATGCCATCGCTATGATCAGTGGTAATTTCATTTATTTCTTCAGATTCTTCTTTTTTATTTAGGTATCTTTGTTTGGAAGCTTCGTAAACTTCAGAAGCTAATTCATAGAGCTTATACATTAATTGGTGAGTTGAAAGCACATCAAAATCATTAATGTTTTTTAGATTGAAATCTTCATTTATGTAGGCACCAAGATTATCCCTTTTATTTATTTCATTTAATGCAGAAAAAAAGTAAACTTTCAGGTTTGGAGCATTGTTTTTGAAATATAAAATCCATTGCTTTCTCAGTTCCAAATTAAGAAAATCGGCTTTGTTGAAAAGTAAAACAACTTTTTTTAAGGGGTCTATTTCATTAATATATTTTTCTAAATCAATATTTCTGAAAAACAGAGGATCTCTACTATCAATAATCTCAACGATTACGTGACTTCTCTCAATTGTTCTCCATAATTGTCTCCAAAATTCTAAATTCTTTTCAAATGGAGTCACAAATAACCCGGTTGATTCCTCTTCTTCTGCTATAGACTTTCTCCATGTTAAAAATGCTTCTTTTTCTAAGTTCTCCAAATATTCCATATTTGGTGCCTTTCTAGTTTTGCAATTTGGACCTACTAATATTAGTGGACGTCTCGGTATTGGTAGATTAATTACTTTTCCATCAAACACTTTCTCCTTTTTTAAAACCAAATTTCTACTGGATGTATTCATTTCATGTGAGGATATTATCTTTATTACTTTTTCTCCTTCAAAATTTTCTTGTGCTCTAAGAGAAGTTGACAGGTATTCATCTAAATCTGACATTTCTACGATACTTTTGTTATTCATTTTATTATAGTTGTCACAAATAACATCTAATAAGTGTTCTTTATCATTAGATACACCTTCGAATTTTTTTTGAGAAGAGTTCCATATTGCCTTACCTAGTTGGCCCTGATTTATTCCTTTCTTTCTTGAATTGAACTTTTTTCCACCACCTCCCATGTTTACTTTTTTAATATAATCTCTTTACTGCTATTCCAAAATATGCGAAGCTCCTTATTCTTCTTTTTCTAAGTTTTTTTTAACTTATGAATAAGGGTGGATATTTTCTTTAATATATTACTCCACTTGTCAAATTGACATTTATTATACAAAAGTGCCGCCAACTCAGTATTAATATTTAGAAAAATTTCGAAATAAAAAAACTACTTTTTTAACAATTCATTTTCAAAGCTTTTCTAAATTAACTTAAAAACTTATCTTAAGTATATATTCTTTTTTTTTTAAGTGCCTGATTTTTTTTCTGATATTTCTACATTGATTTGTTTTACATGCAATATAATACAATACCGGTACGTAATTACTTGCATTACATGAATATTTGCAAATGTAAATTTTCCAAATTATAAGTTTCCATGCATATATAATAAACAATTAAGATGAGTAAAACTAAAGTGGTTGTTTATAAATTATGAGTGATTGTATAACATATATTATATGTACATATAGTTTCTCTATAGCAGAAAATTTTTTTTTAAAAACCAGGGTTTAAAATTTTATCAAAGAAAAAGCGTTTCAGATAAATTAATGTGGACAACTTTGCATGCATACTGATAAATATTTTTTTCAAAAAATTCAGCAGAGTAGGTGGGATAGAGAGTTTTGAGGAGGAGCGGGTAAATGAAGTGGGAGAAAGTAAAGGAGAATTTTTTTTTTTCATTTGAACACAAAAAAAAGTGAGATTTGTGTGGTTTGAGCAGCAATAAAGCAAAATAATAGTTTTTCTTTTATTAAATGATCATTGGTGCCAAAAAATAAATTTAATAATTTACCCCTCATTTTCGGGAAATTTTTTACAGAGTAATAAGAGTAAATAAAGAGGGAAAACAAAATACAGTAGAAGTTATAAAGATTGGTAAATTTTTACAGATTTTGATGCCTTGGTGACTAACATTTTAACACATTACTCGGACTAAGAGATCAATAAAGAACTAGAAAAGTTTTGAAAACAAATTTAAAGAGATTTATTATTAGAGTAACATTAAAACTATATAATATTCAATTTTATTAACTAAAACGTAAAATTTTATCATGAATTTTAGTGGTAATAATAAACCTTTTGGAGGATTTGAGATGGAAGATATGAATGAATCTGGAGGATTTATGATTGATGGGAATGACAATTCTTTGCAACATAATAATGAAAGAAAACAAAATACAGGTGGTGAGCAGAAGCTGGCACCATTAAAAGTTGGTATGATTCTTCGATCATATAGTAATTTTGTAACTCAAAGCAGATTTCAGCTTTTTGATAAAGATATTAACTTATTTAAGCTGGTAGGATTTGTTAGAAATGTTGAGCAAGATGATTACCCACAAAGATTACGCTTTTATTTAGATGATGGTTCAGGATTAATTCTAATTGACTGGTTGGTAGATAACACTGGGACAAAGTATAAACAGGATCTGGTCAATTCTATACACGAAGGATGCTTTGTGAAAATTTTTGGAGAATTGACTTTAATGGTATCGGAGCCTTCAGTAAGAGCTTTTGTAGTGCGTCCATTGGTATGTACGGATGAGATTTCATTACATGATATTGATGTTGCAAGTTATATAGTTAGAAGTATATATGGAGGTTCTAATGATTCTGGAAAAGTACAAGCTACTAACTCTAACATAATGATTAACAAGCAAGGATCTATGAATTTTGGGAATTCGGGAGATCCTGTAAAGGAGTCTAATCAGAATGTTGTTTCCTCAATGTTTAACTTAAGTGGACAATTTGGAAATAATAACAATAACAACAATGGAGTTAATTCTAACAATTACGGGGGAAGCAACTATAGTAATGACCAAAATGTCCCAATGAATAAACCACCAATAAAGGTGGTTTCAGCCATTGCACCAAAATCTAATCATTTTAATTCCGGAGCTGCGATTCAAAACAATCCTTTGAAGTTGAGAGAAGTCATTTCTTCAATATTAGAACAGGCATCAAGTGAAGGTAGCCCAGAAATGACTATAGATGGGATATTTGATTCCTTGATTACAAGGGATGTTCATGTAACACAGGAAGAAATTAGAAATCAACTCAAGAATTTGGTTGGTGAGGCAAAAGTTTATCAGACTAACCCCCACACTTGGAGGGCAACAGGGTATTAGAATTTATCTCAAAAAAGTACGAGAATTCTTTCGCACAGTCTGAATTATATATGACCGAGAAAAAAAATGAGTTACCTTAAGTAAATATGTAGGAAAGCCAGGGTACCAAGTTATTCTCAAGTACACACAAATATCGGACAATATTTTGTTTGATTATTTTTCTCTAAATGCAAATAGACCATTAATAAGTGAGAAGATATGAAATTAAAATCATTTCAAAATTATTCATTATTTTCATTACCTATGGGAACTTACTGTATTTATATTTCGTTATCTTCCAGCCCCTCTACCAAAAAGTAACAAGCACATTCTTGCGCTCAATAGAAAAGAATTAGCTTTTAAGAAGGAAAGTTTCTGTATATATTTTGGCAAGATGCAGAAATCAATAACTTACTAAAAAGAGTAAGATTTGAATTCAATGAAAAAAAAAACAGAGAAAGTGGGAGGTTTTGAATTAACATGGTGGAGATCAAGAGGAGCAGAAGAGATCATCTCAAGTTCAGAACAAATGTTAACGGATGATACAAGATTATCAACTGGGTCAGATGCAGTAGATAAGGTATTTAACGGAGGTATTCCGAGAAGGATATTATTTGAGATTACGGTGAGTGATTTCTAAATACACCTTTTTGATTCCATTAACTTGTCTGTTATTTCTCTTTTTTTATTATATAGGGAGAAGCAGGAACAGGCAAAACTCAGTGGTGTTTGACATTAATAACTTCAGTGTTGCTAAGGAACGTGGATTTTACTAACTTTGGAAAATTTAAAGATGATATTGGGATTGTTTGTGTAATATATACAGAAAATGGAGTCTTTTCTAATGGTAGACTTTCTGAAATTCTCAAATCAAAATTGGAGTTTGAGTATTTGCGAGAAAATTCAAAAGACGGATTGGAAGACTATGAAGATATTCATTTGGATACTTTGACTAATAAATTAATGAATTATGTTAAAGTTTACAAAATAAGTACTTTGGAAGATTTACATATTTTTGTACAAAGGGTTATACCAGGTATTTGTTTAAATCACAGAATTGATGCAATCTTCATTGACTCTATAACAAATATATACCGTTCAAAAGTCTCCTTTTCAGAGAATAGTTCAGCTTCTACAAGCTTGATACAATTTTCAAATGCATTCAAAAGGATTTCTGTTGACTATAACTGTTGGCTTATAGTAACTAACCAAACTACAACAGAGATTAATGAATCACATATACTCTGGAATTATGGAATGGGTGGAATTGGTAGCAAACAAAAGCCAAGTTTAGGCCTTATTTGGTCAAATTCTGTTAATTGGAGAATATTCTTATCAAAAAAGATATCTTCTTGTTTAGGTAAAGATATGAATACAACATACAGAGAATTAAGAGTTGAACTTTCTTCAGAAATCCCAGAGATTAAGTAAGTTTAATAACATTTATATATAACAATTTCAAAAAAAAATAATAAATTGTATATGTAAAATAACTAATAGTAATTCTTAATTAACTAATTTATTCTATATTCTTAACAGACTACCTTTTTCTATACAGAAGAGAGGAATTACTGACCGAGAAATGAACAACTAACTGATTAAATAAAAACAGTTAGCTTGTTTTAAACTTAACCTGTTTTGTAAGAACTGGGATTATAGAGGAAGTAAGCTGGAGAATAAGGATCATCAGGTAATATATGTGAATCTTGAAAGGTATCCAAGAGATTATCCCCAAGAGATATCGTTTATTTATGGAGAATAATTCGTTCATAGTATTAAATGCAATCAAATAGATGACCCAGGTTTGTAACTTTTCACCAATTTTGGAGCTTAGAGGATAATAACTACTTCCAATATTGCTACTTGTTCTCAAGCTCATTATCAATGGATATATATATCCAAAAACCATACATCCAATAAATTTTACTATAAAAGAGGGAAATAACAAAATAATCCATTGTGGGACTTGGCCTATTAAAATAATTGCAACCAGAATCCAGTATTTGAATTTGTTTGACTTATTCATCATATTTTCTCCAATGAGTAAACAGTAAGCTCTCCAGCTTCTTGGAAGCCAACCAATAATCACATTGTTGTCTAACAAGTTCGCCATTATTTTAAATTGGCCTGAATTCTTTTCCTCGCCCTCATTATCCCCACAAACACTATCAGCACCACAAGTACTACTACTGCCAGAATTTAAGGAAAGATGTGGCATTGTGTTACTATGTAGCAATTCTGGTTTGATTGAGGATCTATTCTTAATCTTTCTTTTACTGATTAAATTAGTTTCTTCTAATTCACTACTAATGGAAGGAAGAGACTTTGTAATGTTCTTGGGATTTAAACTCGCAAGTAAATTAGGGGAGCTATTAGAAGTCTCACTTTGGTTATGCACATGGCTGAATAGAGATATCCCAAACAAATTATTTGAAATCCAGTCAATTATCGCTATCACATAGTTCCTTAATAATAATGAAAGTGATGGGTATTCATAAATAATTAGATTTTTTCCAGAAGATTTGGAACCTTTAATTATGTGATATTTACTATGGTGATTTTCGTCATTAATTCCGTCTACTTGGGAATAATCTTCTTCATCTTGGCCTTCGTAACCATATTTTTCATAATCCTCATTTCGATCTCCATTTTCATCATCTTTATCATCACCATAATCATCATCATCACCATCGTAATCATCATCATCACCATCATCACCATTATCATCAAGTCTCTGACAACTTCCACTGGAGCCAATACCAATATTAATCCTGGAGTCTTTGAATATTATCGAAAAACAGCTGTCATGATCTTGAATGAACTTTATCTGAAGTAATATATTCAAAACAACAACTGAAATGAGTAAATATTTCCAGTTCATGTTAATAGTTAAAATGAGAATATACTTTATTATATTGGCCGGAAACATGAAGATAGGTCTAAGAAACTGTATTAAGACAGATACAGGTTTATATTTACTTGCAAAAAAGACTAGTTTCAAATTTGAACTTGAAAAGTTATCAATAATATTCAATATTAATATATTTACTACTTTGAAATAACTGATTGTAATGCTTGAAATGTACTTAATACTGTTTCCAAGGATGTAATTTTGTAGAAAAAAGTAAATAAGCCATAAATTAAAGTAGTCAAGCCAACATTGCATTATTTTAATTTGTATAATTTCTTTTGCCATTGAACTTTGTGAATTTAATAGTGTTATAGAACTATTTGAATTCCGTGCTAAAGATGATCTTCTATATCTACTTCCAATACGACAGGAAATAGTTTCTAGTAGGCCTAAAATTATGTCAGTATTGTTATATTTTTCAAGTACTGAAATAACTCTGTTAATTTGTGTGTTTTTAAGGTAATATTCACCAGATAAAGAATTGTAAACTGAAATAATGGCTTTAATTATAGGTATCCAAAGAATCCAAGTACGTATTAAAACGGTTTCAAAGTAGAATTTAGGAAGAATTATACATAAAGGTAGGTAAATTGTGAAAATAAAAATCAAATATGGGGATAATACGAAAAGTGAATGACTTATTAAAATTGACCATTTCATGTGGTAATGCTTTCTGAATCTTTTTACTGACCTATATAACTTATTACCCACATAGATTAATATATACAGTATTATAATAGTTACTAGAATATATATCTTTTGTTGTAAAGTAATGAAATCGGCGATTCTAGATATGATCTTGTATACATTCTTGAAGAAAGAGACTAAATAGGAATTAAATTGAAAGAGCCAAGTTAATAATGAGGACAAAAATAAAATAAAATTGATGAAAAGCTCAACTAGAATCTCTGATACTTGTTTAATTGATTGGAAAAGCTTAATGAGGCGGAAAAATAATACATCTTCTCTGGATGTATTTGGACCTAAATCTTTAAATTTTTTCATCAAAAAGAAATAATTTAGCAATTTTTTAACCAAAGAAACTTGATTGTTTTTGACTTGCTATAGTCTTTTGTTTTAATTTTTTTAAAAGAATTTCCAGATTTCATCCAAGATTCCTTCAAATAAGCCCTCTACAAAAAAAAAACCAAGTCAAGCTCCCATTAACCAGTGGGTTTATAAATAAAGTATTGAGCCAGTGTTTCTCTAGCTTTTTTTCAGGAATTTGACGCTATTATATATATTTATTTATCTTATTCAATAACTAGTTGATATTTTGGCTTATTCAAGCTTAATCAGTATAATTTGGGCGGTATATGTGCAATAAATATTTTACACGTAAGCGAGGATGGAAAAAAAAAATGTTATGTGGGGAAATTGCATTTAAGAATTGACACACAAAAGTAAATTAAATTAACACATTAAAAAAAAACTAAATTAGGTTTTTTGAAATCTATTTTAAAGTAACTGAATTGAGGGTTTTTAGTTCTTCCAACAAATATTCCAATTGAGAACTAACAAGAAAAGTACTTGCTATTACCTCAAGTAATGATTTTGGGTCGCTATCTTTAATTGAATACATAGACTTATCAAGTAAAATGATTAAAAAACTAAATAATAGTAATTAATAAACTATTTTTATTATTAGAACTAAATCCTTTAAACGCCTTCAAGTTTTTAAATCAGGAAGGGTGACATAAAAGGGAGAAAAGGGAATTGAAGAAACTTTTGTTTTAATATATCCTTTGCATGCAATAAATTTATATTTATTTATTTATATTGAATATATACACATGCATGCATGTAAGAGTGTTTGCATGTGGTACATCTGACAATGGTTAGCACATGGTTGGTAATACTTTTGGTCCATTTGATATTTTCAACGACTTTCATAACAACATTTGCATTGGGGATTTTAATTAATGCAAGAATTAGGCAATACGCATTAATATGGATGACATGGTGCTTGTGGCTATTAGGTTCATTTCTATTTTCATTTGGGAGGGTAATGCTAGGGTTATATCACATATTTAGAATATCAGTAAACATTGTATTATTTATATGCTCTAGTTTGCTTTTAAGATTAAGTTCATGGATTAGAAGTTTTCATACAGCAAGAGATGAACTATATTATAGGTTGGAACAATCAAATAGTTATGATGAATGGTTTAGTATAGGAGCCAAATTGGATGAGATTTGTGGTGGAAATGAATGGAGAACAACAGAAGAGACAGATGATTACCAATGGATGTATTTGAAGGAGTATATATTTAGATTGAAAGAGGCAAGAAAAAGTAATAATTTAAAGAAATTAGTATTTCTTTTAAGATGGTGTTGTGATCGAAATTTTGCATCAATATCAAAACAAGCATTATATAATAAGGCGTTTTCTGGCACAAAAATTTTAATAGATGAATTTGAGGAGGAAATTGAGAATGTTTTAAAGTTTCTGACAATTTGTTCAAGATCTCAGGAACTTTCAATAGAGCTTGAAAATGCTTTAAACGATAAAACTTCATTTAAGCTTTCTTCAGATCAGGATTCAAGGTCAGGCTCAATAGAAAGACTGATTAGCTTCCCAAAACAGTCAAGCATTTATTCAAGTAATTCAGTTTTTGGTAAAGATGATGATTCTGTGGTATTTAACATTGAGGATGAAAATGAAGTTTTAGAAATTTCTGAAATAGAAAAGCTTTTAAAAGAAGATAAGGAGAATTCTAACGATGGTTCAGTTAAAGAAGAAACTAAAGATTTTTTTTCAATTAAAAATGAGCTAGAGCTTTCAAATCAACCAAAAATGAATAATAATATTTGTAATAATCAATACAATCACCAAATCTATCATCGAAATAATATTTCTCGTTCGCCTAGCAGAACATATTTGAAAAATAGAGACTTAATGAATACTTCAACTTCTTCTTTCTCAGACTTTAAAGAGGTTTTGATGAAGAACGTTTCAATCCAAACATGTGAGAAATGTTTGAGAAATGACGAAGAAAACAATACAGTACAAGATGAATATAACTCTAATACTGCTGAAGAATGCTATTGTAAAGAACAAGATAATGACATTCAGATTACTGATAATGATTATGATATTTGCAAAGAAGGAAATAGATGGAATTCAGACTGGGGATATTACTACGGGAATAAAGAAAAGAATAATTTAACGAGCTTTTGTAGCTTTGAAACTGGTACCGGATCAATTTTAAGAAATTCAAGAAATGAAAACACAATTGCAAGTAATAGTTTAATTCATTATTTGGAACTTTTAGGGCATTCAACAGGAAAAACTGCTTTATGCTTAAGTGGAGGAGGGGCTTTAGCAATGTATCATTTAGGTGTGGTTAAAGTTTTATTAGAGCAAAATATAATGCCAAAAATAATCAATGGAACAAGCGGAGGTTCAATAGTTGCGGCTCTACTAGCAACAAAAAGTAACGAGGAGATCTTAAATGAATATATTAAACCTACAGTTTCAAATATGCATGGTCATCGTTGGTTTCCTCCCCTATTAGATCAGATTCGACACTTCCTAGTAAAAGGATATATGATTGATCCAAAGGAATTTATTAAGACCTGCCAAACCTACTTTAAAAATTATACATTTTATGAAGCATATAAATTAACAGGAAGAATTGTAACAATAACAGTAAGTCCAACTCATGTTACTCCAGAATTTACTGAGCCATTAGTTTTAAATTGTGTAACTACTCCAGATATTTTACTTTGGAGTGCAGTTGCAGCTTCTTGTGCATTACCAGGATTAATGCCAGTAGCAGAGCTATTTGCAAAAGATAACCATACGAATAAAATTATCCGATATTTCCCTCCAGGAATGAAGTGGATGGATGGATCAATTTCTCAGGATATACCACATAAAGAGTTATCAACTTTATTTAATGTAAGACAATTCATTGTATCACAAGTAAATCCGCATCATGTTCCTTTTGTTTCAATCAATCCAATCAACACAAGCATTATTCATCCTGAACGTACATTTTTGCATAATGTTTTAAATTGGCTAACTTTGGATATTAAGTATAGGTATACTAAATTAGCAAAATTGAAATTGATTCCAAAATTATTCGGGAAAGATGTCAGCAATTTCTGGATGTTACAAGAAATTGAAGGACATGTTACCATTACTCCAAAGGTTTCTCTTTTTGACTGGTACAGATGTATTAATCACCCTTCATACGATGATATGCTTCATTTTATAACACAAGGTGAAAGAAGAACATGGCCGTATGTTATGAGAATAAAGCATATGAATTTTCTCGAAAAAGTTATCAAAGATACCATTCGAAACATTAAGCATGGTAATAAGAAAAAATAATTTATATTTGATTATTCTTAAATTAATATTATTTTCATTCAAATTTAATAATTATTATGGCTACAAGTATTGCATGCAATTTAACTTGCGAAATTTTTTTAGGCGCCAATTGTGGGAAAGTCATTAAAATAGATGACGTGTCAAATTAATAAAAATAGTTTGCATGTAATGTTACGTCAGAGAAAATATATTTACATGCAAGCTTGCAAATTTTGTGAATACAAATACAAAAATATTATCTTTAGTTTTAGTATTATAATTCGAATTTAATAAAAATTTTAATTTCTTTAAATAATTTTATTGATAAATTGAATATAGTGGTAACTGGTGAAGTGTGACAAAAAAGTTTAAAGACCTTTTTTGTTGCTAGTTAATTTGGATTCAAAATATCCATTTCATTTGCTAAGAATTTGGCAAAACGATGAATAATTTATATTAAAATGATTAAGTTTTCAGAGTCACATTCCATTTAAATGTGCTAGAGGAACTGTTTTAAACTCAACATCAAAAAAAACAAATCTCCATATTGTTTTAAAAAAAGGCAGGTTAACATGGATAATAGAGATTTAAAAAAAGAAATTTTGATAAATTAAAAAAAAAATGATTGAATCAAGTAAAATAAGCTCTAAACAAATAATTTAAGCATTAACTATAATTTTAAAAAAAATCTTAGTTAATGGGTTAGGCTCAAGAATAATAATATATAATAAATGCAATAATACCAATATAAATGTCATGGCGCCAAAGTATATTCTGACAATTTAACTCAAAAAAGTACTCTATCATTAAAAAAAAGATTCAAGGCTAAAATAATTACAGAAAGAAATAGCTTTGTACCTCTTTATGGTAATATTTTGAATTTTGAAGATATTTAGTTTATAGGTAAAACTCTGTAACTATTTGGAATTCTTACATAAGTTTATGAGAACACTGTAAAGCTAATCGAAGTAAAGTAGAGAAAAACAGAAAAAATTAATTAATATGAGAAATGGATTTTGAGTCAAAAGATAGGTGGGTTCTACTTGGAGGAATAGCTTCAGAGTGCGAGGAGATTTTGCTCAAGAAAATTGGTTATTCTTTTTGGCTTAGTGATCTAAATAAGTTCATTAATCAAACCCAAAAGGAAGAGTCTGAAAAAGATGAACAAAACATTAGTTTGTACTCTTTTAAGGAAAGCGTCTGGACTGGATTGTTAAGAATTTCTGATGGAATCAAATTTGATTCCTTTGTCGAAACTGAAAGTACTTTCAGTGAAGAGTTGGTTAATTTGTTTCCTCAAATAAGGGAAGAAGAATTAGAAAGGAATCGAAAAATACGAGTAAAGGTATATATATGGTATAATTTTGGCCTAAATTTAATAACAAGTTATAATTGCAAAAGAGGCATTTTAACTTTAAGTAATAATGCAGCAAATTATGAAGTTCTATCACATTTAAAGAGTACATTTTCTATACATTTAGATGAAAGAAGAAAACCACTTTTGGATTTATTTAGAAAATTAATTCTTCAAGGAAATATATTCACTGATCTAACTATACCCAATACCTTGGATTGCAAATATCAATACAAAACTGAACAGAAAAAACAGGTTTACAAGGCATTTGAAAGTTTTTGTTACTCAAAATGCAAAGTTATTAATTGTATTGAACACTTGGAATTTAATTCGGATCTGATCAATTCCTTATCAATTAGAAATCTTATGAATTATCTCAGTAATGAATTAATTTCTATTGGTAAATCTACTAATCATGATAATGAATGTCAAAGTAACGTTATTACATCTGCTTTAAGAAACGAAGGATTTAATTATCAATATTTAAATAGCAAAATACCAGTTGAAATTTGGTGGAGTATTTTTGATTTTCTTGATGATCATTCTCTTACCCAAATTTGTTTCTTAAGTAAGTCGCTCAACTTTATTTGGTTAACATATCATAGAAATGCTTTACTTCCACATCAGAGAAAATCAGTAACCTGGTTATTAGAACGTGAATCACATTCTGGAAAAGGTCATTGGTTATTTGAAAGCCCTATCAGATTTCTAACTTCTTCTGATGATGTATTTAAATACCTATCTGTTTGGCATTATTTAACAATAAAAGACTTATCTCAGGTCCTTCAACCTGAAAATTTGGGAAAAATCATTTGGGACCAAAATAAAAACTATTTAATGGGAGCTAAAATTCATCCCAAAAACTTTGACAACCAAATTTCTCAAATGATTTTTCAAAAAAACTCTAATATTGCTCTGTATATTAACCATACAAATAAAACCATTCATCTAGGTTTTAATCCAAAATCACAATTTGAGTTCAAAAATGAAGAGTATTCTCAAACTAAAGGAGGAATATTCTGTGATGAACCAGGACTTGGAAAAACTCTTACAATATTGTCACTTATTAGCAAAACATCAAATAAAGTTTCTGATATTCACAAAATTTCGGGAACTTCATACTTTGAATATCCCTTTGGAGTTACTCATTTGCTTTATCAAATTAATAATAAAGATCCAAAAATTAACTTTATTATTAGTAATCAAAGTCCTCCTCTAAAACTGGTTGATCTATCTATAGAAAATAACACTTTAAACAAAAACACAGACCTTATTTCAACTGGAGCTACATTAATTATTGTACCAAACCACCTTATTCAACACTGGATTGAGGAAATCAAAAAGTGGTACAAAACTGATGTTATTACTACTACTACTACTACTACTACTAACAATATAAACTCTTCAAAATCTAAAATTAAAAGAATATACTCTAATCAATCCAACAAAAAAAACTCTATTAAAGAAACAGGAATTGATCATTCTAATCATGATATTCTCATCTATTTATTTGATGACCCCTCTAAAGATCATGTTATGGAGCCAAATATCTTAGCTAAAGCTCAAATTGTTATATTATCATACAGAATGCTTACTAAACAATTTCAATTATGTAAAGTTAAACAAAATTACAAAAGAGTTTTTACTAAAAGTACTCGAGAACAAAATTGTGATCTTGAAAATTTTAAAGATCCTTTTTTTAGACAAGAAATGAGTCCAATCCTAAGAATTAAATGGCTTAGATTAATTATTGATGAAGGCCATAATATTGGTAGTTCTGAAATCTCTTCAACTTTATATCAACAATTTATATTCAAAATAAAATCCGAATTTAAATGGATTATGTCTGGTACTCCTTTACCTATTTCTATCATCAAATCACTGAATACAAATATTCCAAATATCTTAAAATTCTTACAATTACCTATAATTTGTGATAAAACACGTAATTATGAACAAGAATATATAAGAAATTCAACAAGATCTTATATTAAACATCTTCATTGTAATGATAATCAAGCTTTAATACAATCTCAAATACATTGTTTTAATCATTCTAATAATTATTCAATCTTTAAATTGACTTGCAAATCTTTTAATGGAAAGCTTTCACCTATTGGAATATTTACAATCATTACTCAAATTGGTTCAATTATTGTATTTAATCAGAAAAATCAATGTTTACGTAATTATCTTCCTATTTTAATTGGCCCTATTAAAAAAGTTATACAACCTTATATTGATAATGAATTTTATATATATAATATCCTTTGTGAGTTAACACAAAGAAATCTATTTTGTACATATTTTAGTCAAGATAATGTTGATTCTTTATTACATCCTAATAATTTTAATTATCGTCAAGAAGTTATTTGGAATTTTAGATTTGCTTCTATACTTGGATTTACTATGAATATTAAAGATTTTATTTTGGATGATAATAAATTGGAACTTATTAAAAATATGAATTTATCAATTCCATATATTTCTGTTTCAATTAAAGATATACAAGAATTACGATTAATGCTTGAAAATAATCATCCAAATTATGAAAATGATCATTTTTATCCATTAGAATCATTTTCTAGAATGGAATTTGTACTGGATTATTTTACTAATATAAAATTATCATCACCACAATCTAATTCAATGAATTATTATAAATGTGATTCATGTAGTGATATAATTTTATTTCCTTTAATTATTCCATGTCCTAAATTACATCTTGTATGTACTTATTGTATAATGAAAAAACATGGTTATAATCCAATTCAAGTTGATCTTAATTTTTCAAATATTGAAGTTAATAATAAAAATATTAATCTAAAGAAGAAATTATATTGGCCTAAAAGAGGACCTATAAATTTTTGTATAGTTTGTGGAGAAGATATCAAAATTAATTCTGACTTTTTTGATAGACTTCAAGTACCTATTCAAATTTCTTATATTGAATTAAAAAGTAACAATTCTGAATTAAATACAAATTTTAATGCAAATTTAATTTCAAACTCAACAGATTTTAATATTCCACTATTTAATTTTCCATTAATTTCTCAACTAAGAACATTATTAACCAAAAATTATAAATCTAATGAAATTGAAGAAAATTTATTTCAATTATATCAGAAATTTACAGATATTACTATTAATAATATTAATAATTATCTTTATAATTATATTCATTCTTTTGGTGATTCATTATTACCTTTTAATTATATTTATCAAAATATTCCTTTTATATCAATTGGATTAATTTCTTTATCAAGTTCAAAATTGAGATATATATTACATTGTATTTTAAAAGATATTCAAGAAAATCCAAAAACAAAGATTATGGTAGTTTCTAGTTTATGGCAACAATTGGACTTTTTATATTATACTTTAACCATTTTATTTAATATAGGAGCTTGTAGATATTATCCACATATACCAAAATCAGAATTACAGAAATCTATTATAAATTTTAAAAAAGATTTTGAAGATATAAATAAGAATCATTTTCCAGTTCTTTTATTAAGTATTGATATTGGATCTCATGGTCTTGATTTATCTTGTGTATCAAATTTATATATTTTAGATCCAATTTCAGATGAATCAATAGAAAATCAGACAATTTCTAGAGCATATAGAATCAGATCAAATAAAATTCCATTATCTTGTTTTGTTAAAGTTAAATATTGTCTTATTCAAGATACTTTTGAAGATATACTTTATGATTATATTCAATATAAGAGATTTATTTGTCAAAATAATAATTCTAAATCATCATGTTTTTCTTCAAACAATAATAATATCAATAAGAGCAAAAGTAATGTATTAAAAGAAGATGATCTTGATAAGGTAAAAATATCCAGTAAAAAAAAAAAAAGAAGTTCATTATCTTCTTCTTATGGTGGTAACTCTCATATTAGAAAAAAGATGAAGATAGATTCCAATAGTAAATCAATTGAGGAATATAATGATAAAATTATAGATCTTGATTTAAACGATAAGAATAAACCAGAATCAGATTTTTTAGATTTAGATCCTACCCAATTGTTATTAAGGATCTTTCTTAAATAAAAAAATAAAATAAAATAAATATATTACAATTTGATTATTTAATTACCAATAGAATTATATCATATAATTTTCATATCTTTTTAAATCTACCTCTAGATGCTATTCTTGCTTTTGTCTTAAGCTTATCTTCCATCCTATAAACTTCTTGAATCTTTTTATTATTGTATCTAACATGTTCCAAAAATTCTTGACGATCTTTTTCTTTATATTCCAGAAAACCAAGATCTTCTTTTCTTGACCTTAACTCATTCTCATATTTACTCCTATCACTCATTAATCTCTGTTGAATTCTTCTTCCACCACGTACTGCTGCTAATCCTCTAATATGACCCCTAGATTTTGAAGTTATTAAATGAATATTATTTTCACCAATAGTTTTATTTCCAGATGTATGACTTTGTATTGGAAATTGATTCATACTTTCTTTTATCATTCTTTGACCTTGAACAAAGCTATAATATTCTTCTTGTGGATCATCCTCTTGTTGTAACCTTTCATGTATTGGTAAAAATGATTTAGGAATCTTAGATTTTCTAGATTGAGAACCATTCAAGATTTTCCTAGATGGACTAATATTATAATGAATTCTATCCATATATTCTTTCTTTTTATTGATTGATTCCTGATAATTCTTTAATGAATCATAATAACTCTTCCATGTCTTTTCAATCCCTTCTCCTCTATATAGATTTCTCTCTGGATTATATAGCTCACTTAAATCATATTCTATCTTGAGCTCTGGGCCAGTATAGGAATTCATACCTTGTAATAACATTTTACTTAATTCATTATCTTTTGTAATATTAGTCATATCACTTGTTTTTTGTAGAGTTTCAATATTATGAAAATCTAAATAATCAGTTGATTCATGATATGCAAATGAAGAGATTTGACCACTTTGTGGAGGTTGAATAACATTTCCTTGTTTGAGTGTATTTTCCTCATTCCTTTCATTCTTTATTTGATTATAATGAATCTCCAAATCCTTCATTAATGACTCCAAATCTTGCTCCTTATTTTGGAAATCCATATCAAAAGATGTTTCTTCTAAATATTTTTGTACTCCAATTTCTTTAGTTTCATGATTTTTTCTTTCTCTATCATTTTCCCATAAATACCTATCATCATTATCACTATTATCATCTAATTCATCAAAATAAGCTTCTAATTTGGAATCTGCTGGTACATTTGTAATATTTCTTACCATTGCAATTCCTCTATTACTAACAATTGCCTTAATTACATTTTCTTGTCTTAAGGTTGAAGTTGATAATCCTTTTGCTTTTTGAAAAAATGTCTTTTTTACATTATCTTCTTTTGATTCATTCTTATTAGAAGATGAATTTTCACTAAAAAGTAGAAACTGATTTTTAAATGATTGAGCTATTGGTAATTCTTCTAATATCCACGGAAATTTGATTGGTATTTTATTCAAATCCGTTACTATTTGTAATGATGAATTTACATTACCTTGAGATTTTTTGCTTTTTGAATCAGTTGTAGTATCATCATGAACAGAACTTTCATCCTTTTGTAATGCTAATGTATTTAAAGCTTCTAAATTTGTGTATCTTTTACCCATTCTTCCTGCTGATGGGAGCTGAGTAAATTGTCTAAATATGATTGATTCCTTATTTATTTTGTCCTTACTATATACACCTAAAGCCTTTTCTTCATCAAAAGTTTGATAATCCAACTTAGTTCCAATACTTGGGAGTAACTTTGATGACCAAGATGGTGCCTTTTCCAATAAACTGTCTTTTTCTAATTCTTGAGATAGCTGAACTAGAGGGCTTCTATCAAAAATATGTTTATTACTCTTAAAGTTACCTACTAATGATGACAAGTTTGAATCTACTCCAGCTCCAACAATATCATATAATGATGTTCCATCTCTTCTGGTAGTTGAAAAACCCATTGATACATGAGAAATAGTAGATACAAAGAGTGGATATGCAGACAATTGCCTGTCCAATTGAGTTTCTCCTTTCACATGCATAGAAACATTATCATAATTCATTTCATACTTTTTTGATTGCATCCTATCTAGAAACTTTATTACAAACTCTGCAGCTTTTGCCTCAGTTACAAAATCCTTGAATGTAGAATCACCAATATTCATTTCACCAGTTTCACTTCCTTCAATTATGTTCCAATCCTTAATCATTCCATTGATTCCTCTTTTAATCTTTAAATCCTTCTTTTTGTTTTTCGCTTTATCATTTACTCTAGATGAGTACTTTTTACTAATTATAACAGCAAACTCTTCTACTGATTTTCCATCACGTTTTGGAGCCTCAATTGCTCCTGGAACTAAATTGAGCATTTTATATGACTTTGGAGCTTTTTGACATGAGCTTCTAGCTGATTCCAATATACTGGTGGAGGAGTTTATAGCTTTATTTACTCTACTCCGAGTTACTAACTTCATTCTCTGAAACTCCTCCAGCGTAAATAATTCTTTTTCAGCGGACATTTTTATCTATTGTTTCTGACTCTATTCTTTAAAAATTTAAATATTTGAATTATGTTATAATTTCGAATTAATTGGCCCGCAATTACAAATGCATGCAAATTTGTTAGGTGAAGTAATAATTCCAAGTGCCCCAGATTAATTATTACTTTCTCTCACTTTTGAGTTTCAAGTTGATTTCTTTTCACACAACCTTGAGCAATTTCGTGATTCTATTCTGCTAGTACATATAATATTCATCATTCAATGGCAAGTTATACAGAATCTGTTTGAATTTTAACAAGAATTGTCACCTAATTAATGTTTTATTGCAAAATGTAATTTATGATTTTTTTTTTTCTCACCCACAAACCTTTTTTGACATAAAATCTATTTATAATGACGCGCGCGCGCCACTTACGTGTCAATAATTGAATTAAATGCATGCAAAACCTCATAAATAAAGAAAATTAGTGGATTCAGCAAAGATTAGAAACCAATGAATTAAAATATTGACAAAAAAAAACTTTTAATAAAAAGAAGTTGAACAAAATGAAGTGGAGAATGATCATGGACATAAAGATGAGAATAAGTAATAGTAAATTTCTAAACAAAAAAAAATTAAAATGATATATAGTCATTGAGATAACACTATAATCCTATATATAGGTGAAAAATGGCTGATTAGTTTTTGTTAATTAAATAGTAAGTGGTGCTGAGCGGATTAAAAAAGGCATTAGTTAATATGAAAATATTTGTGAACACCAAATTGGAAAGTTGATTTTTTGTTATTATGACTTCTTCTTTGTCTTTTATTATTAGTACGATTGCTCTCAGTTTGACTTGACTTCTCTTTGACCTTATTTGTGTCTTTTTTAAATCTTAAAGAGTTTTCTGTTACGTTTTTAAGTTGATCGGAATTCGTTCTACTTAGAGACGAAAAATGGTTTTTGGTTGAGTTAAAACTAAATTGAGTCGTTTTTAATTTTTCAGAAATATCTTCACTGATTCCCTCCGATTGAGTCAATGCCTGGTTATTTTCACAAAGTTCTCTAGGAATTGTCTTATGTACTAGATTTGAGTTAAAGGTATTAATTAACTCAGACTCAACTAAATCAATAACATCACTATAAAGTCTCCAGAATGACATGAGTTGAATAGAAGAACATACTTTCTCGGATTTTGGAACGACTTTTTTAATTAAGGAACCATGAGAAAAGTCCATGAAAGGAGTATTGGCAGAAGTATGATAAATAGTTTCTGAGTTTGCTTCACTTTCATCATTTAAAAAGAATTTGATAAAGTTATTTTTCAACGGCTCAAAATTCTTCTTAAACCCTCCTGATATATTTCGATTACGAACATTGCCTTCATCATAATCATAGTATCCAAGTTTTCCAACTGAATTAGCATTGACAAATTTAGTATATATGCAATTCTGAAAAACAATAAATATGTAAATAAACATAGTTAGAGTCCCTTGTTTAAGAATCATTTGTTTTCATTATACTCTTTTTTTTAAAAAAATTGATTAATTTGGGTAAAAAATTAATTTTCAATTAATTACTTTTATTATCAATATTTCATTACAATATAATTCTATAGTGTAGTAGAACTGAAGAAAAAATATTGGTTTTCTATTACTACCAATATTTAAGAACCAATATAACTCCCATAAAAATTCAGATATAGTAATCAGTAATTAAATAAACCGAGTTGATCTTTTTTATTTTTATTTTTTCTCTATTTTTAATGCCGGTATAAGGTACCGGATTTAAAGGCGCCATATTTTAAAATAATTTATTAAGATAAAAACTATTCAAGGAGGAAAAAAAAAAAATTGGAGTTTGCAAGCAAAAAATAAAAAAGTTAAGCCAAGTGGGTGATTGGGTTTTGTTTGATTTCTTGTGTGATTAGATTTCTCTGAACATTAGGACTTAGAATCACTCTATTAATGTGAAGAGGATTTTAAACTTAATTATATAATTAGAGGTAAAGAAGATAAGATTTGCACAATCAAGTGGAAAGTAGACGAAAATATGATCAAAAAAAAGTAAACTAATATAAATAGTCCAATATGCAAAGTGCTTCAAACTATTCAAAGAAGCTGGCTTCTGGTCCAGGAGCAAATATCTACCACGATGATAGAATTAGTAGATTAAGCCAGAGACTAAATAGTATTCACAATGGATTAGATATAGACAGATCTGCAAAACATCATGATAAGTTAGCAGAGATGGAAGCTAACATGAAAAGATTTGAAGAGGAAATAAACAGAAAGTACGATGAAGGAATGAGAAAGGTTAACGAATTAAAAAGTACTTTAATGAGTTTAAAATCAGAAAATAGAGAGGTATATTCGTCATACTATACAGATCAAGAAATTAAGACTAATTCTATGGAAAACCAAAACTACTTGAATTCTAAAAGTGAGATTTTAAATGTAGAAAGGCGTCTTAATGAACTACTTCAAAGTGAAATATTTAGTAGAAAGTCAATGGAACAAAGGCTTATTGAAATTATTGATGACAGAATGGAACGTCTTAGAAACGAAATCTCCAAAAAGGATATTGAAAGAGAAGAATTGGATTCTTGTGTTAAGAGATTTGTAGAAGTAGATATTGTTCGTCTTGGTAATGCAATTAAAAATGAAGTTGAAAAGTGTCAAACTATTGAGAACAATTTATTATCTCAATTAAAAGAAGAAATTGAAAGACTTAATTGCCTGATTAATGATGAAGTTAATACAAGACAGCAATCTATTGATACTTTATTGGATCTTATGGAAAATTTGGTACAGCAAATCACTATTGACACCAGAAATGAACGATCAGAGAGACAAAATTCTGAAGATACATTACTCAAACTTCTTGAGGAATCTCTGAATAGAATTCAACAAGCTACATCAAACATCATCAAACTCTGAATTGTGTCTTTTCCTATGAATTACTATTTATTATCTCACTTAATACAATACTACTATTTAATATATATTTATTTCAGATATTTATACCCACTAATTAATTACTACTCTAATACACTCTTTTTGTCCGTCCATGTTTTATTCTCTTTGCTTAATGTCATATAATTTCTTATACTTAATATTATTTGAACTTTGTTTAATTTTGCATGTTTTGGCGGCAACTATAGTGGCTACATGTAATAATAATACTAGGGGGAAAATAAAAGAATAAATACCCATATTTGTGATCATAAAAAACTTAAAAAAAAAAAATAACTAGGAATAGGATATTTGTTTGAGCTAAGGGTTCTAAAGTTAACTATTATTTAGGGAAAAAATGGTAGTTATTGTGGACCAGACTAAAGCCAATTCCCTCTTTCTTATTATAGCAGGCTTGGGAGGAATATCTAGCATTTGTCGTTCAGACTATAATCTTCCTCTATTCATATTTGTTTGGTGGAGCTACTTTAATTTTCCTGAGAGTCAGAAGTCACGCCAACAGAGGTTTATTCGCAGGTTTATTCTACTTTCATGTTTACAAGATATCATTTACATACTTTATTGGTCTCCCTTGTGGTTTTCTATGCAATGGAAAACTAATGAACCTTCCACTTTTGGGAGTCACATATTGATCATCATTATTGCAGTCATCAACTTATTTCTAAAGTTAATTACTTTATTCGTTCTAAAAGGAGGGACAGGTTTTGCTTCAAACCAAGTTATTGTATATAACAACTATTAGTTATAATTAAACTTTGATATAACTTATCTACCTAAACACAAAGTACCTGGCTACCTATTTTTGTTACTCATAGTATAAGTCAGATCAAATAGGTTTTATTAATTATAATTTTATTATAAGGTTCACTTTGCATACAAATTTATTACCATAAGAATAAATAAAAGAAAACTTAAGGGAGGGTAAATATTTGTGGAAAAAACGTAATTAATTTAAAACCTAAAAGGAAATTTAAATCCACACTTCCTAGAATTCTATTAAGAAGTTATAATTCGTCTTTAATTTTAGATGAAGAAAACTCTTGATCATCTTCATGATCTGGAATATCATCTTCATGATCTGGAATATCATTTTCATGATCTTCTGGAATTGGAGCATTATCTCCCATCTTAGAGCCAATAAGTGATTGCAACATCTTAAGAATTTCCTCCATACCTGCAAGATCCCCTCCCTCCTCTCTCTCTGCTTTATGAGCAAATACATCAAACATGCTTCTACTTCCATCATCAATGTCTCCAAGTCCAGAGTTACCCATTAGAGAAATAAGTCTTTGAATCATATCATCTGAAATTTCAACATCATCATTTGGATTGTTGTCATCAGTTTCAAAATCGTCATGATCAAACTCATTTTCTTCATCAGAATTCTCAGGTCTTTCATTTTCACCAAATAACTCAGTACACTTTTCACTGGATAAATCATAATCCTTGTCATGTACTCCAACAAAAATATCGTGTGGATATTTGAAAACGTCTCCATAATCTGCCAATATTGATTGAATATAAACAATATGGTTGGATCTTACAAAATCTATAGGTATTGAAGAAGATTTCGGATCTTCTGCTTTTGCATCTTTTCTAGTATTATATACATCTACTAATTGATGATAAGCATCCGTAATTGCGTCCTGAATTTCCTGGGATCTTAGTGAAAAAATAATCTTCTTTACAGAGAGCTCATTCTCATTTGACATGTCAACCCCAAAGATGACAAGCTTGTCAGGATCACCGGTAATAACCTCAGCATTTTCCTCTTTAATCTGTTTGATCTCTTCTTTATCTATCACTCCATCACCGTTCTTATCATTTTGAGACAAAAAGCTGTTGACTTTAATAAATAGCTCTTTTGATAAGTTATAGTAATTTGTCAAGTAATAATAGTCCTCAACGTTCAAATATCCATCTTTGTCAGAATCCACCTCTTTAAATAATTCTTGATAAAACTTCTCCAACTCTAATTTTTCCTTAGAAGAAGCCTCATCATCCCCAGAAATAAAATGGTTGACAAATTCTTCACTCGATATCTTCCCATCCTTATCCTTATCCAAAATCTTAAATTCAGCCTCAACTTCTTTTAAGCTGGATCTTTCTGATACAAATCTTATCCACTTTGTTAATTCATCCTTATCCAAAACTCCGTCTTTATTCAAATCAATAATCCCAAGAAGAGTGTTAAATCTCTCCAAAATTACCTCCTCACTTACTGTCATTGTTTTAAGCCATTCATCATACATTTTCTTATCTGAAACCAATTTTAACAAATCAGGGCTCTCATTAATCCCATGTACAAACCCTACAAAAATCAATACTATCAAAACCAAAAATACTGATAAAATTGAATTTAAAGACCTCATTTTCTTTATTAACTTTTTTGTTATTTTAATATCTTCTCTTAAAGTCTAAAACTTATCTTTTGGTAATTACTAATTAATCTACCAATTTCTTCTACCTGGGCACTTTAATAACTCAGAAATTATAATTATTGATTATCAATTAATTTCCCCAAGTTAAAAAAAATATAAATCTTCGGAACCCCATTTGCTTTTTTCCCATCAAATCTTTCCCCCTTGATATGACACTAATATGTACCTACTTTCCACAAGCAAATAAATATTTTTTTTTAATTAATATTTAGGTGGTGGCGCCTAAACACGTAATTTATCAACTTTAACCAAATTACATGTAATTAAATATATGCATGTAGAATGTTTGCGAGTAAAGAAAAATTACTAAAGAAACGGTGAAATAGGGAAGAGAAAAAAAAATCACAGAATTTATTTAAAAAATTAGAAAGGATTTATTTAAGACTAGCAATATTTATTTCTGGTTTTTATCTCGAAGCAACTTGTAGAGTAAAACGTTTAGTTCTTATGTAGAAGTTATTAGTACTAAGCATCCCAACAATCCGGGGTAAAGTAATAAAATAGTTCTGAAATAAATGTTTACTGAATAACAGCAGTTGCTTTAAGTAATAACTTAAATAAAGTCGGTAACATCAGCATTATCTATAATAGGGCTAGAAGAATCTCTTAAATTGGTGTAAACATTTAAGAGATCAATTCCTAAAGAATCTCCACAATAAACAAAATCAGAAAATGTATTTCCAATGTCATATCGTTTGTTTGGAGTTGTTGAGATACCCATAGAATATTGTTTGGCTTCAGCTGAGGAGTCTAAGTCCAAATAGGAAATAGAGGATGAAGCTGAAGGTGATGATGAGATGGCATTGTCATTATCGTTGAAGTGTAGAAATTGATCACTCTCAGTTAGTGGCCAGGGTACATCACAGTTTGAGAGTGATATTGAAGGATTTATTACATTTTCACTGTCTTCAAAGTTATAATTGAATCCATAATTTGTTGAATTAGATATTGTTCCCACACTATTCCTAATTACATTATTATTATTATTATTACTACTATTAACATCATTAGAATTACCATGTGGGTTGTTATCACTGCAACTATTGTTTGAGGGTCCACTGAGTCCTTTTGGGTAAGAATGCTGACTACCATTATTATTCTGTTTCAAATCTACAGTGGGAGGCATTAATAACATATCTAGTCCCATAGAGGATGCGGGAATGTAGTTCTTTTCTGGGCCAATTGAAGCTGGACTAGAAATAGCTGTTGAGACCAAGCTATTGGAATCTACAGGTACACGCTTATCACAATAAGGTTCATCAAAAATACAGTCATTAACAACTTGCTTGGATATTGAACCTCCTCCTTGAGGAATATAATCAAATTTAGGGGTCATCTCAGTTTTAAGGTCCATTAAATTTGTTCTATAATCATGATATCCGCATTGGTCTCTCTGATCATCAACTAATAAACTGTTACTCATGTAGTTGCTATATTTTATATCTGGAGAAAGCCCTCCAGATTCTAGAATTGGGCTTCCAAGGATATTCACATTCCCAATCATCCCTCCAGACATCACCAAATTTGAGCCATCCAAAGTGGAATTACAATTTACATTTATGTTATCGTTACTATTAATATTGTCATTTACACAGTTATTATCATTGTTAATACTATTAGTGTTATTATTATTATTATTATTATTACTATTTCCATTACTATTACAAACATTTACTAAATTAACTGGTTCATCAATAATAGGTAATTCAGGATTGGAAGGTTCGTTATATATATATAAATTCATGTTTCCAAGGTTGTTCGGATCCTTCCCAGAGTTACCTATTCCATTTGTATTTACTATAGTATTATTTGGGTTGATGTTACTACTTGTATTGATTGAGGTTTTGTTAGCATAATTAGAATCATCTTGGAGAAGCCATGTTGGAACAATTCCATCTGAAGCTGTTGAGATCAACTTTGAATCCATAGTCAAAGTTGATGGAGCAATTCCCCTGACCTTTTTCAAGAAGTATTTTTGAGCGTGGGATCTGATTTGAACGAGAGTACGAGTTTTAACCTCTTGCTGTACTAAAGTCCAGTTCCTTCCAAACTTTTTTAATGCTAATACAAACCGGTTATGTTCCTCATCCGTCCATTTTCCCACATTTTGTCCCAATATATATCTTTTTTTTCTAGTTCCTTTCTCAAATCCCTCCTCACTCTCTTCAAACTTCCTCTTGGGATACCCACCAACTATGTCATCCTCTCCGTAGTAACAGATCATACCATTTTCTGAATTATCAGATCCTACCATATAGTTCAACATTACCTTTTCTAATAATGAATAAAAAGCAATAAATGGAAGATTTTATATAATGTTTGGTCTTACTATAGGTTCACTAATCTTAGAACCAAATATCAATATTAACAATATTCTTAGCGTTAAAGTATATTCAATATTCTGCTGTATTATAGATTTCTTCCTTGTTTAGATTAACTTTCCAATATATAAATAACTAATAAAGTAGTTTATGTGTGGTTTAAGAATATATATTATATTAGTAATAATAACATATATATATATATATATTATATATATATATATATATATATAAATATATATATATATATATATTTATTTATTTATTTATAAACACATAAATTTGTTGATTAATACATACAAATATATAAAGCCTAAAAGTTCTGTTGTAGGTACCTTTCTTTTCCCTTATAAATCAGCAATTGTCCTTATATATATACTAATTAAATTTGGTTATATAAAAAAAATGAGCTTGAAATTAAGTAACACTTCCAATAAATTTTGATAAGTCGCTTATTTCAATAATATTCAAAATATTTTCATTTAGCTTGAGAACAATTTGTAAATCTTATTGTGACTTTAGACGAGAATATACTTTGAGTTTATATAAAGATATAAGATGAATTAATGCAATAATAGAATATGTAATATTTATCAGTAATAATTTTGTTAAATACTTGAATAATTGATAACCTATCTACTTTGCTTGGTACCCTAATATTTTGTGTTATTGCTCTTGTGCAAAGTACTTTTAACCCTTGATCTCTGTAGTTAATATATAATCTCAATCTTCTAAAGCTTATTCTCTAAATTACAAAAAAAAAAAACAGACAAATTTCCAAACATATAATATTAAATTTAGTTTACATGGATATACATATGCGCACTGCAAAGTACCATGTACTTAGCTCTTATATTTTGTAGGTTAATGACTGGTGCACGTACATATATTTATTTGCCTCTCAATTTAATTTACTATACAAATAACTTATTATTTAATATATTTCCACGTATACGTTTATTTTCAACAATTGAATAGCAATTTAATTAACTTTGTTGTAAGTTATTTACCTGGTAGACGTGAGACGTATAATTAAAATTAAATTAATTTTAATAACCAGCTATTTAAATTATATAGTTTGATTTTTGCTAATATAATTAATGAGCTAATGTATTTAATCGAATGTAATATTTTATTCAGATATACTATTTCTTATGAAATTTTTCTCTCTTATTTTAAACACCTATTTAAGAATACATGTTATAAGTACCCGATACCTTAATTAATTCTGCGCATCGTGTCTTGTCGCTTTGGGCGGGTTTTCCATTTTGAATTTTTAAATATTTGGTAAATACATTAAAAAAAATGGGGATTTGGCGGTATAGAAGAATGTAATATAAATGAAGGCATAATTTTTATTAAATATAAGCATGCAATTTAATAAATGAGTTTAATATTGTTGATTAGGTATTGTTTGTAAATATATTGTAAACTAATGAAGAAGAAATAAGTGAACACCGGTAAAGATTTAGTTATGGTTACCTTGCATTACTTATTTTTGCTCTTTTTTTCCTTATACTTTTTTAATAATATTACTCAAAATTACTGAATGATAGAATAGGCATACCGTAAGCATGAGTTATTTAAATAATAACTTATTGGTCTTCTAAAGTAGAATATTTCTCTAGATAAAAAGGTTATGCATTCCCAATAAGTCTTGTTTTTTTTTATTGTAAGTTGAAAGTTTGATCAGCCTTTAAAGTTATAAACTGTACGGCATTTATAAGTGTGTTTTTACATCAAAGAATTTCTTATTTCTTCTTTTAGAAACGACTAAGTAACATTTCGTTGATCATTTTTATCTTTATAAATTTGAATTAAAACTTTTGATCAAAAGGCTCGTATTGTTTTTTTCTCTTGTAGATAAATTTGTAGCATTAAGAGAACTTATACCATTACAAGACATGTTACCACCTCTTAAAGCATTTTCCGGACTCGCTCTTTTAACTTCAACCCATTGTCCATCTATATAGTGCTCATCATAAGCTCTAATTATTTCATCTACAACACTGGTGCTTGTGAAAGTAACAAATCCAAATCCTAAAATGAATATATAATATTTTTCTAATAGTAATTTAACTACAATTATTTTAACTTACCTCTTCCAATACCACTTTTTTTGTCACACATCATTACACAATCACTAATTTGGCCAAATTGCTCAAAATATTTTCTTAAAATATCTTGTGAACAAGTTGTTGGAAGATTTCCAACAAATATCTTTTCTGTTCTGAACATCGTACCTTGAGAATTCTCACCTGCAAGGTCTTCCAATTTATCACAATATAATCTGCAATTAACCTCTCTTCCCATAATAACATGTGGTGATCTTAGTGCATTCTCTGTAACACCTTTTTCTGAGAATGTAACAATCGCAAAATTCATTACCTGAATATACTGACAATTCTCAACATTTCCAAATTTTTCAAAATGTCTTATAAGTTGGTCTTTTAGAGTATTAAAATTAATATTTTAATTTATAGACTTAAAAAATTAACTCACCCTTAGTAATTTGTTCATTTAATCCATCTACCAGGATTTTATTTGAAATACTTTGTATTCCTTTAACCATTTTTTAAATCTTTATATCAGATAGGTATATCTATTTTCTTTTTTTGATTATTCAAGTGAACTCTAATTAATGTTAGTTTAATTGCGAAATTCTTCGAATACACAAATGAGGGAACTAATAGTATTTTGTGTAATTCTGATTTTCCTAATAACTTTTATTTCTCAAATAGTATATGTTACAGCCAATATAATAATAACAAAAATATTACAGTAATAAAAATAATATCTTTATTAATATTTATTTTCCCCAGAATTAACTTTCTATTCTGTCAATGTGACTCTTAATTATTTAAATGCATTTTTTTTGTTTGTGGGTTCTCTGATAGTTTTAATCGACATAATGTCACTAATATTCCAATCACATTCTTGCATTTATTTTTCTCCCTAATTTTCATTAATTCATGCAAATTTATAATTTCTTCATGACATTTTCATATTTTATTTATAATTTTTCCCTAATTACTACTATTTTTTGCCATTTCATGTAATTTTCGACTCGTATCCACATTGACTTGCATGCACTTGCACATGCAAGGTAAATTAATTATTTTAATTTGACAAAATATTAGAAACTTATTTTGCATGTGGATGGCATGCATAATTACATGAAAATGTTTGAGAAAACCATTGGCGGCAAGAATTAACAAATAAAAAAAAAAATTAAAATAAGTTTAACTAGAAAAAGTCTGGTTTAAAGTAAAATAAAAGTTATTCTATTAAAGTTAGTAATAATTTGGGGAACAAAGACTATTTCCACGAATTAAAAGTCGTTTGTAGAAATATTAGTAGTCATATTTAGAGTTTTGATTGTGCCATCTTTAAATTGAGTTTTTACCTCTAATAGTATTCTTTATTATTTCTTATTCTAGGATCTGACAGTGGTTGTTGTATTAGATCCGGAACTACTGTTAATATTGGTTCGATTCCATTTATTAAGCATGAGTTTTTGGATTGAAAGTAGAGCTTCCTTAGAAATCTCACGATTTGGAGAAGTCATAAGGGTCATCAACACCTCCTTCACATTCAATTTTCCAAGAACTTGTTTACCCATCGGATAAAGTCTGGCAAATTCACCAATATCAAAACATGCAACAGCGAGAGTAACTGGATCATCAGATGTCTTTAATAAATGTGCAAGTTTTTTAATGGCAGCAAATTCATCAGCTTCAAAATTCATAACATTTTCAAGCCAGAACTTCTCTGTATGTAAAAATGACCATTTAAACTTCTTTTTATCAAGTTCAATACAATACCTATCAAAGTTAGAAAATTGTTTGAGTTTTTGGTCAATCATTATTTGTCCCCGACGAATTTCTTCATAAATTTCAGGGTCTAACCATTTTTCATACTCTAGAATAGTAAGGTACTGTAATAAGCCTAAATCAATAATGCTCTCAACAGCTGCGTCATTATTCATAACATTCTTGAGTAAATTAAGAGTGACTCTAACAACCTTTTCAGATCTACAGTCAGTAATAGTGCTGGCAATTTGTCTAATGAGGTCTTTTGAAACTAAAATAGGAACGGTTTCCTCATTAAAAGAAAGTAACCAGACAATAACACATGCTTTGTATATGTGAGATGTAGGCGAGCTAGAGGATAGATTTGAAGAAATAAATTCGACAACATTGGGATGAGATAAAACAAGCATTCTATAAGAATCCACTTTTACCAGATTTCCAAGAACATCCAGTGCACCTATAATAGAACAATAACCTCCATTCAAAGTAGAGTAAGAGCTCTCCATTCGACTGGAATTTGAACTTGATGATATAGAGAATGATGAAAAATCATCTTGGTTATTTCCTGATTGACTTCTTCTATTTTCTGGTGCTTTAAATAAATGATCAATAAGCTCTATAATATTTTCTTTTGTGTAGGCTCCATCATTAGAGTGGCTAATTAAACCAGACAAGAAGAATAATAGTTTATCAGAAAGGTAACTATCAACTTTAGGACGTTCTAAAAATTGCATGAATTTCTCAAATATTGGAACTCCCTTAGTAGTTTCCACAAAACCATGATATTGTCCAGCATCGTCTCTCACAAGTTCATAAATCATAGTAAGGATATATTGAGCTGGCTCTAAATCTGGTGTAATACCCAAGCAATTCAAAACTAATTGGCGTAATTGTTTGTCTGAGCTTAATAACTGACTTCTAACTAGTAGTGATTGGTTATGTAATGCCATCAATTTTACAGAAGAACCAACAGGAAGTGCTCCAGCTAATTCGTACTTCTTCCAATGTGGTGCATGGCTCAAAATCCTAGATCGTTTCTCTGCAGTTGAGGTATGCTCAGAAGATGCTAATTTTCCTATGAGCTTAACTTGCTCAGTGGATCTCATCTTTCCAAAGTCAAAATAATACCCGTTTCTACTTAATTTCTTTCTTTCCAGACTAATTATGCTGACTTTTCCACTTGACTTAATTCTTTATTAATAATTTTTCAAACCAATAATCAAATATTATTTAATATTGGGTCATTCTGGCGGGAAAACTTCAAGACAACTCTTTCTAGCAACAATATTACCGGCATCCATGGAGGGCGCCAACAATACCTAATGTAATCATTCAAAAATACATGCAAAATTAGGACTAGAAAAAAGTTGGGAATATTTTGTAGATAGTTTTAGAATTGACATTATAGTAAATATTAAAGAGAAATGGTTAAATAGCGTAAATTTCACACTAGAAAGTACATTTAATTTTTCCTTGTCTCATTAGAATGAGAAATTTTAAAAGTGTTAATTAATCACAGAAAAATTATTAGATAAGAGTTACATGCAGTAGGTTAAATGCTAGTTAGCTCTTTTAGCTCATTTAAATTTAAATTTCTTAAAGCTTATTGAAACTGACAATTTCACAAGATTGAACAAGACCATATTCCTCCTCTTCTTCCACATCATCACAAATATCATCCCTTCCAAAGAACTTCTTCTTCTGTTCATCAGTCATACCAAGAGTCTCGATAGAATCAACAATATCTTGAGTATTGACTAAATCATCAATAATAGTTGCTCCCATTTGCAACTTGAAAAGACCAAAGGCAACTGGAACCTTCTTTTCTCCCTCTGAGAATTCAACACCGTCAATTTTTAATTCTCTAACCATTTTAGCAACAACATCTAAATCAACATCCAATGATGATGGCTTAATATCCAAAACAAGAGATGATTTGCTTGCTGGCTTTTCCTTTGCCTTTTTATCTTGTAGTGCCTTTTTCTTTGCTTCCATAGCTTTCTTGGCTGCCTCCATATCTTCATCATCTCCAAATAAGTCAAAGTCATCATCATTTGACTTCTTTTCTTCAGCAGCTCCCATTTTCTGAAGTTTATTCTTGAATGATTCTCCTGGGAATGCAGCTCTTTCTGAAGCTGTGAAGCTTTGTATATGACATACATATCTGCAGATGTGTTGGAAATCAAAGAATCCACCTGCTTTTATAATCATATATAATGCTTCAACGTCATCTTGTGATGGTGATGCTCCATTCATATAAGATCTTGTTGAAAGATAGTCATTTAACTTCTTTCTGCCTGCATCAGTTGAGATATCTCCAAACTTATCCATTTTATCTTTAATTTGAACAGAAACAACAAAAAAATTACTATATAAAATCTTGCTCAATTAATTCTAATTAATACTAAATCTGATCATAAGATTAATTTTTTTCTATGAATTATTATTCACATTATATTATGTATAGTATTGTTAATTTAACTATTTTATTTCTATTGATTTATTAAAAATTTCCCCTCGTTTACTAATTCTTTTACTTTTTTTAACTAGTCTAATATTTCATTTATTATATATAATAGTTTGCCGCTAAAACAAATATGGCGCCAATGTTATTGTTTTTTATTTTAGACAACGAGACACGAGTATCGAAATAATAATATTTAATAATATAAATAAAATTAATTAGGCGGCATAAAATTACATGTAATATTTTAGTTTAAGGGAGGAGGGGTTTGGAATTGAATATTTACGAAATTCATTTTAATTTCACGGTATAAAAAAAATTGCTTATTTTTGTTTCAATCTTTTGTTTGAACTCATTGTGTTTAGTTAATGATTACCTGAATTTTTGTTTTTTATTAATCTATCTTTATTTAAAAATATGCATAATTCTTCCTTTTCCCTATCCCCATCTCGAGCATAAACTTCAAAGGAAAAACAATATAAGAATTAGTGCACTTTAGGCGCCACATTTTTTTTTTTTAAAAATGAGAAAAATTAATGCAATCTATAAATATTGAAAAAAAACAGTTGAAAGTTTGGGGTATCTTTATATATACAGTCCTTAAAATTCAGACATCTGTTGTATCCGAATTTATTATAAAAGTTATATTGATTAATGACTACAAATACCTTTAAATAAGGCTATAAGTATTCATAAAATTGGAATAATATATAGAAAGAAATACATATGTGTGATTGTTTTACATTTTCGAAATACAAAAAAGACTATAACAATGTTGAAAGCTACGAGTTTAGTGATCACTTTGAAATAAGCATTACGTCTGTCGAATCACCTGGAGATGGTCAAATTAATATGAATGGAAATATTAAGTTTTATGACGAAATAATGTTTTGTTATGGTCAATTATTGGAGAATGATGACTATAATTTGTGTATACCCATTGAAGGAAACCCTAATAGTAAGTTTCTCGCTCATTTTACTTTTTTTCCAAGTTAATTTACAAAAATTAACTCGATGCTTTATTATTGTTTTAGATATAATTAAAGAGGAACTCCCAAAATTGCTCAGTAATGTAGGATCTAGAGAAAACGTTATAAAATACGAAAAGAAACATCCAATTGTGAGAAAAGAGGTGGATAACTTGAAGAAACCAAGTGAGAAGAATCAAGGTAGGTTTAGAAATGAGAAATCTAATTGTTGCAGAATTAACCTTATGATTATCATGTAATAAATTCTGATTAAAAATATAAAAACTATTTAATTTTGAAAAAAATAAACAAAATAAAAATAGAGTGTATTCAAGATCTAATTGGAAGCTGGGAAATAATAAGCGAAGAATCTGATAATATGGAAGAATTTTTACAAAAAATTGGTGTTGGAATGTTGAAACGAAAGGTTATTAATAAAGGTAACTATACTTTAAAAGTTGAATTGTTTGATGAAAAGCTGCTTGCTATTAAAATCGAACCATTTTTTGGGCCTACGCAAGTTATGAAGTGGGATTTAACAGGGCAAGTTTTCATAGAAAAAAACTCTGAAGTTGGAATATGGAAGAATAAAGTTGAGTTTATTGAATTTAAACACGAAAAAACCAATAATAAATTTGTAACAGCAGTCTGTATGACTCGTGAAAGTGATAATCTACGTGGTAAGGTTATTGAAACAAGATGGACACAACCTGGACGTGAATACACTAAGATTAAATTTATTAGATATAGGTAAGTCACAATTATGTATGCAAAACTCAAAAATTGCCCGCCAATTTGGCCATGTAGTTGAATGCATGCAAAATAATTCATTATATTACGTCATTCAACATTAATTCAATCATTTTTCTCTTTACATTAATATTTATGTGAAAAATACTTAAAGATTTATTGACGAATTCGAAAAGTGTATAATGGATATATTTAGAGTATTTAAACCAAAATAATATTAAAAAAGGTTATTCATATTCTATAATTATAATCTAAAACATTAAGTATCAATAAAAGTAGAATAAAAAATGAGCGGGAAAATTATAGTTGCATCTCCGTAAACCTTCACAGGAGTACATTCAGCTTTGATTTTTCCCCAGCTAACAGCTTCATCAGGAGAAGCTCCAGAATCTGAACCATCAAATTCAGTTGCAGTTGAAATATAAACAGCAAAATCTGCTCCATTTCTCATTAAATTTGCATTGCAAATATGATGTTTGGGAGCTCCCCCACCAAGAATAATGATACCACTCTTTTTGATATTTAGAGCAATATCATTAATTCTTCTAATGTCTTCAATAACATCAATTTTAAGACCCTAAAAAAGTGGTAAAAATTTATGGATTATATGAGTGAATTTTGAATATGGGAAAAAAGTAAACTTACTGGGTTCCTATATGAGTGGAAAAACAAATTATCACCTAATGATCCGTCAGTAATACCTGGGCAAAAAACTGGAATATTGTTTTTATAACACCAATAGTAGAGAGAATCTTCATGATTAATTTTTTCTCCCAAAAAATGAATCATTTTAGAGGGTGTCCAGTTTACAGAATCATTTTTTTGAATTTCAAGCATTTCATCTAGTAAAGGTTGAAGCCATTCCTCAAAATCTACATAATTTTGATTAGGAACTAACAAATTTCCAATTCTGTTCCAACCTTTACTTCTAAGTTCGCTACCTTTAAGGGTGAATTCTCCAAGGAAAGTACTTCCTAAAACTTTAATAAAATCCTCCTCAACGCCACCAGCAGATGTTACAATGACATCAACTAACTTATTTTTTGCTAAATGTACAAAAATCTCACGAAGTCCTGACGAAATCATGTTTGATGTAAAACTTAACCAAATCGTGCATTTTACATTCTTTCTATATTCCAAGTTGTTATATGGTTCTACTTCGTCTGGTTCGATCTCTTCGTCTGATAAACGCCAATTTAACATCTTTTTAATCTCATCAATTGCTCTTCCAATATTTGTAGCCTGAAATCCCATCTTTTTGATATTCTTACAGTAATCTTTGATTGTTATATCAATAAATTTATTTTTAGATGGACCCAGAACTATCTTATCATTGTCATCAATAGGCTCACTATGTAACAAAACATTGGTTCTAGCAACATCCGGAATATCTCCTGACATTTTTGAATGGTTTAATTCGGCACTATCAATTTGGTTTCTCCTTTTCTTTTTGTATTAATTTAAACTTTCCTGCTTAGTTTCTCTTCTTAAGTTGTTCATCTTTTTCAAAATTTACGTCTATAGTAACCCGCTTAGGTCACATATTACTAATGAATATTACTGTGGGCTAAAATTAAAGATAAAATTTTTTTCTTTTTAAGAAAATAGTATAAGTAATTTTTAAAAAAATTGACTAATTATACCTATTTTAGTTAAAGTAGAGATACCTAATTAAATAATCTAGTTGTGACTGATTACTGAACGCCGGTAGTATGTGTTCATCTTCTGCACAAGTTGAATGACTCTAGATAATTATAACAATTGCAACTAATAGTTATCATTGGTTTCTAATAGACTTTTTATATTTTATTTTTTTACTAGTAATTTCCTGTATTTTCATTATGAGGTTGCGGCGGGTATCACTACATTAGTTTAGTGAATATTTAATCATCTGTGTCAATAAATGTAGATAAAGAATATTAACAATAGAATATCATAGAGGATACGGATTTACTTTTGTAAAATACGTTGATAAAGATATAGTGAATGCCGATTATTAGAAAGGTTTGTGTGAATAAATGTACTTTAAAAAAAAAGAAAAAAAAAGGCGGTTAAGAAACATATAGTGATTTGACCAGATTAGTCATCATATTTAAGCTCCAGGTAAGTTAAGATGATAAAAATAATTTTAGGTTATAAAAATGTAGACTTGTAAACACGCAAATTTGAGCGGAAATTACCACTAAAAAATGGAGGGGAAATTATTTATATTGTAATTATATTTGATTACTAATTGATTATATATATATATATATATATATATATATATATATATATATATAACAAATACTACACGTAATAGTAATCAATTAGGCGGGAACAAACCCATATAACAATAAATAGTAAATATATAGTAATACTTAGTCAAGTATTAATAATATACATATATCAATATCATAAATAATGATTTAAATAATACGTATATAATATTTGTTGAAATAAATAAGTTAAGTCTATTCTGATTATTGAAGGTACCTATGGCTGCCCCTCACTAGGAATTTTAGAAGATTTCCAAATTCCTCCCCCCACGGTAAAAAGGTGTAAGCATACGTAATAAATAAATAATGTATGTGTTGTATGCCCGTATTTGACAAGGGTGTTGATTCCTTTTAAATTAATTTGTCCCAGATTTTCAGAAATATATGGTGGCAGAGAAGCAACAGGAGCGTCATAATAATGATAAGAAGCGAAAGTTCAGGCGTCCATTTCAAAGGTCACCAACGAATGGAGCTCTAAAGAGCAGTATAGGCAAAGAAAAGGATAAAGTACACAACAGATATATATCCACAAATGCGAATACTGGCGGAGGTTTTAATGGTAGTCAGGCAAATGGTAATGTAGGTAAGAATTTTAAAGATGCGAATGAAGGTTCTTCTGAGATTGTAAACAATAATAGCGGAAGTAACAATAACATTAATAACAATGAATCGCGTTTAAATAATAACAGATATGTTAATAATAGTAATGGTTCCAATAAAAACTTCTCTAATAACAATGGGGGTGTTAAGAACCAATATTATGGTACCCGTAGAGATAGCTCTGAAAAGGGTCAGTTTTCTACAGGTACCAATATTAACACATATGTTACAGGAAATGATGACAATTCCAAACCTAGTCATGCAAAGAACAATAAGCCTGAAAAAATACACCAAAATCAGCAACAACATCAACAACAAAATCAACACCAATCTAATCAGCATTCTAAGCAAGTAAATCAGAGACAGACGACCTCTAATTACCAGCAAAAACACCAGGTGTACTCATCATCGAGCCACAATAGCCACCATGAAGGGAGATACAATCAAGACAGAAGAGGAAGAGGATATGGGTATTCAAGTAGTAGGCAGCATAACCAGGGGGGACCCTCTGGAGGAAGCTACGATTTGAATAGAAAGCAACTGCCCCCACCTAATTCAAATGGGAATGCTGGCGGGAGTTCGCATGGCTCTAAAATTAGGCCCAATCAGCACAATAAATCACAACAGTTCCAGTCCGGACCTCCAAGTGCAGGTGGTATTGCGGAGAATACCAGTAACACTAACACAAAAATAGCCGTAACAGCTACTACAACCAATTCTACAAGTACTGCTGTATCAGTACCCAATGTTGTCAGTACTAATAATACAACCTCAACCACCACAGTCGATTCCACAAATCCAAATGTGGCGGTCACGACCAAAGAGGAAGGAGGAAAACACTACTCTTCCCAAAACAATAGTGGAATTAGTACTTCCAGAAAGGATTTCCATGGGATTACAAACAGAAGAGGAGGGGATTCACACTACCATGGCCACAGCAAACAACAAAGCGTTCGAGACAATTCAAACTATAATCAACACAAGGATAATGCTGGAAAAGGTGGACTTCATGGGAGTCATCAAAAAGACAACGAGGTACCAAACAAGGAGTTGAGGGCAACTTCACACAAGGGTTTCATAAGTGGCAAGCCAGGAGGAGCTGCTATGATCTCTGACTCAGAACAAAAGCCAGCGGCAAATCTTGAATCTAGACAAAAAATTCAGCCACAAACTCAACAACAAGCTCAGCAACAGACTCAAACTGAGTCGCAGAAATTACCCAATTCTCAACAAGTCACTAGTCAAAATTTTGGCGCTGAACATAGGGGTACAGCAAAAGGAGACTCAAGTATTCAGAAGGGAAGAACCGAGCATAATCAAAATCCGAGTGCTACTACAACTAACTATAACAACCAACATAGTAACCATCATGGTAATCAACACAGTCATCACAACCATCACCATGGTAATAATTATCACTTTTCCAATAATAGTGGAGGGGCTTCTTGGAAGGGACAAAGTGGCGCGGTTCACACACATGCGCGCCATGGGAGATATTCGGGGCCTAAGAATGTGGGGAAGGGCCCAAATGCATACAATGGCGGTACTGGCCAGAATTTGGCGTTTTCAAAACAACCTACAGAGGGAGGTGGAAACCATAGTTTCACACATAATACAACAGGAAATACGATTTCGGAAGACTTGAAAAAGAAGAAAGGCAAGAAAAGATTTAACAAGAATGTGAGGAACCTATCGGGAGTCAATGGAAGCCAAATAAATGGTCACCAAATTGGCGGGAATAACAAAGAGAGGGGCAAATATGGGTCTGGGGAGCAGTTGAGGACGCATGGTGGAGAAGGATTTTCTGCTACTTTACCTGATGAGAATGAACCAAAGAACATATCTAATAAGATTCAAAGTGGAGCTCCTCAGTACACTTCTGGTACTGAAATTATTCCAGAAAAGGGGAAAGTAACTGAACACAAAAAGAAATTTTCGGGGAGCTTGAATGAGTCAGATAATATTGGAACTGGAAAGAGTACTACTACTTCGGGTTCTGCCAATGGAAAGTCAGCTTCCCAGGAACTTGAGAAGACCCTGGACAGGAATAGTGGTAAGTCAACCGACTGTAATGCTAATAATGCTGTTGTTGCTAATGGTGACATGATGGGAATAGAAAAGGTCGAACCAAAGACAACCAGAGATTCGGAAAGAAAAGAGAAAATAGGTTCACTAACTCCAGCCCCTGAAACTAAGGAGGGTGATGCCAACAATATTAGCAGTGTCAATAACACTTCCACTGCCAATAGTGGTAGTAGCAGTAGTAGTGGCAGCAGTAACAGCAGTAGTAGTAGTGGAGTTGTTGGTCCATGGAGACGAAATCTCCACGGAGGTCAAGCTGTGGACTCCTTGGAAACAGTAAGGAGAACTGTGAAGAGCCTCTTGAATAAGATAACTGTGGAAAAATTTACAGTGATAGCAGAGAAACTTGCCGTGTGTATTGACGAGATTAAGAATGTGGATGAGCTGGAAGAATTGGTGAAGCAAGTGCTGGACAAAGCAATAACAGAACCGGACTTTTCAGAAATGTATGCTGATTTATGTCAGATACTTAAGTGGAGGAGTCCATCACTTGTAAGTAGGGATGGTAAATCAACTATAGGCTTTAGTAGAGCCTTGTTAGCAAGGTGTGAGCAGGAATTTAAGAATATGCCTCGCAGTATGACTCCTACAGAAGAGGAGCGCGAGAAGTACGATTCAGAAGAACTGGTGATATTGTATAGGAAGCGAAAGTTACACGTTTTGGGGATAATCCGACTTATTGGAGAACTCTTCATTAGAAAGATGTTTCCAATGAGGAGTTTGAATGAACTAGTTTTTGATTTGGTAATGATACAAGAGAATCCTGACGAGTATGCTATAGAGTGTCTCTGTCAATTAATTATGACTACTGGATACTACTTGGACTCTAATGAGAAATCTCAAATGATTGTAGATCAATGGTTTGGAAGGCTTAAAGAATTACAGAACACGTCTATTTCTACAAGATTAAATTGTTTAATCCAAGATGTATTTGACCTTCGAAAACATAAGTGGGTCAAAAAGGTCCATAAACAAAAGGCTAAAGCTCTAGCCGATATTTTGAAAGATATAGATGTGGAGGATGTCCTTGGTGGAGCAGCAATTGCTGCACAATATGGCTCAGTTGTGGTGGTTGGAGAAAGGTCCAACCTCGTCGGGAATTCGGCTTATTATAACTACATGACTTCTCAAGAAGAACTTTACATTTCAAAACAAAAGAGCTTGCAAAAGCAATAAGCAGTCATCACAGTATTAATATTAGTGGAAGAGAAGCGGCTTAGAGAGCACATTCCAGCATTTTCTAATTATATTAATATTTATCATCTATTTATTCATTCATTCCAATTTATTTTTTTTAGACCTCAAGTTATTTGTAGCTCTAGCTTAACTTAATGACTATTAGTTATATTTACTTTGTAAAATTCAGTTTCTTTACTAATCAAAGAGAAAGAAAATATTATAAAGTAGGTTTGGTTAAATACATATTTATATACATATATTATATGTGTTAAATAGATAGATAGAAATAATATAGGGATTTAAAATTCGTTGAGAATATTCCTATTAATTATAATAGTAAATTTAAGTATTTGAGATTGTTTAAATATTAATGTGGTATTTATCTTTGGAAAAATTCCAAAATATAGCTGTATTCCTTCTTTTTACTTCCTATTGTTTTTTTTTGACTCTTATATGGCCTTTTATATATTATCGTTAGTTTATTAGCTCTTTACAGTATTAGTTACAACCTCAATATCTGGAATTTCATCAATACCTTCTAGGCGAACAGTAATACTTCCTTCTTCAGGAATATTTCCTTGTAACTCCATACTAGCTTGTTGTTCTAAAGGAGAAATTCCTGATATTTCAGTTCTCATTTTTCCCAAATGTAAACACAAAATCTAAAGTTAAAGAAAGAAATTTGTGAATTAATATTATAAAACAAAGTTTTTTTTAAATTATAATTATTACTTATAACTTACACTCATTGTAATTTTCTTCATTATATAATTTCTAGCACCAACTGAATCTGAGCATAAAGTTTCAATATCTCCATTACTTCCATAAGTAATTGTAAAGCATTGATCTGTATTTGGTGTGGTTGCCAATGGAGGTAATATTTCATTTAAAGATATGGATTTAATTTGTTTCTGAAATTAAATTAATAAAAGAAATATTCAAAATATTAATTATGTAAAGAAAACTTACACCATTACTTGATATTTCAAACTCTTCATTAGTTAAATGTGTTTGAACTATATCTCCTGAGGATAAATCTGTTAAAGATGGGATTCTCTTTAATACACTATTCATGTCAAATTCACACAAATCTTTGCCATAGTTATATTTTCTGATCTTTTGCATTTCACAATTCACTGCACTAAATAATCCAAGTAATCCAAATAAAAATTTTATTTTCATTTTCAAATAAGTAAAATTTTTTATATATGATTTATTTTCGTTTTTTTTTCTCTATTTGTACAAATATTTTTGCTTATTTCAATTCAAATCAAATCAAAACTTTGAATTGTTACTTGATATTATATTTCTGTATTATTATTAATATTATTCAAGCTTTTAATTTGGTTTTCTCTTCTCTCTTTTAAACTTTATTCTTAGTTCCTTAATTAATTTTCAGCCTTTTATCTTGACTCCTTCCCCTCTTTAATCACTTGGATAATAATTTGACATTTTAATTTCGTTTATAATTTCTTATCATTAATTTTTTTTATCCACATGCAATTAATATTATTTATATTACATGCATTCAATTTACTTTCACACCGGTATTACGTAATTATTGACATGCCGGTATAGAAGTGAATAAAAATTTGTCCACAAAGAATTTTTTTTTAAAATAAAAATGCATGCGAAAAATGATTTTTATGCAAAAATTTGTTCAGAAGTAATATATATTGCGAGAATGATTAAAAAATAAAATATAATCTGCTTTCTTTTCTTATATTTATTATTATTATTATATTACAAGCACATTTAAGTAAAGTATTGTACTAGAATTCCATATTTCACTCCAATGTTAAGTTTTTTATTTGACTCTGAAATGATTTATAGTTGTTTGAAAAGAAAAGATTATGAGAATCATATTCATTTTGTTTCTAAAAAACCAAATTTTAATGTATAATTAATTATTGCAAGAAAAGTTAAGGTAGAATAATAATAAAAGTTGGGAAAACAATTAGGCGAGGGAGTCGGGAAAAAATAAACAGAAATAATAATTTGGATTATTTCTCCTACTCATCTAATTCTTAGTTGGCTGCTCTCCTTTTCATTTTAAGGTAAATCTGGTCGATAATCCACTTGCGATCATGGGGAATATATCTGCGATTGCTCCCATCCCGACTATAAATTATTAGTAATATACAAAAATTAAAAATTATCTTATTAATAACTTACGTAAGCATGCATATATCGTAAAGTGAGTTAATGTACTTTACTAGGTCTTCAATACTGTAGGTAACTTCTTTTAAGTTTGAAAATGCACATTTTATGCTTTGTTCATATATCTGACAAACTCCTTAATTTATAAGAAAAAAAAGGATAATACGGAAAAATCAAAGTATTAGTGAATAGATCTTAAAGAAAATTTACATTTACTATTAGTAAATGAAAAATTAATCTTACCATCAACAGCTTGAGATACAGAATCATAGTCCATATAAGATCTTGTGCTGATGTTATTGGAGTATTGAATTAATAAAAGAGTATGAAGTCCTTGATTTTGTGCCATTACTATTCAACAAATTTTATGCTGGCAACTTAATTATATAATTTAAAACTTGGGAAACAATAAAGTTGATAATTTAGAAAAAAAAAATTAGAAATTTTTTGTTCTGTTCTTAACCGTATTTTTCTGTTTGCTTCACACTTAAATTATATATAATATTATAAAGCCAAATTTACAGGATAATCAAATTATTTACTTCAAAACTATTTATTTTCTTTTACGTTGTAGTTTGTCAAAAAAAAAGAAAAAAAAAACGTTTTCTAACAGTTCTTTGTTTCCAACTCCCTAGAAATAATTTTAAATCATTAAGCTATCTTTTATATAAATATTTTGGCATTAACACATTATGCGGCTAATTCACCAATTCTTAGGTTATTAGTTATTAACAATTTGTATTACCTTACCACTAATGTGGGACATTTTAAATTATATATTGCATTGGCGCCAAATAACCACAAATTTTTTTTTTAAATTAATAAAAATTATGTGGCTGTTTGGCGCCAATGCATTTTTCTATTTTAATATACTTGGTTAATGTGGTGGTAGAAATAAATAATTAATTTTAAATCTGAAATGAAAAAAAAATCAAAGATTTATGATTCAGAAACCACAAAGCAATATAAAAAGTAAGTTTAATTAAACTTCTGGCTGAACAAAACTCATATTTTATCGAAGTGATGAAAAAAACGATTACAAGGTTATGTGGGGAAACCTTTACAGTAACAAAAATAACAAATCTCGAACAAATTTAAATCCAGAAAAAATAACTTAATATAATTCTATAATTATTGCAAAGTTTTTAAATGGTAATTATCATCTTCTCAAATGTCTAGTATATATTATTCATTTAAAAGATGGCAAATACGACATTGACGCCTTTGTGGGTTATTCTATATAAAGCCAAAATATCATGGTGGTGCAGAAAGCGGTATGCAAATGCATATGATCAGAAAATACATGCAAAACTAGTCAAACCTGTTTGATAGTTTGTCATTCAAAAATTGAATAATAATTCTAATTATTAATTATAAGGAATGAAAAACTAAGACTTAAAATATATTGAAAGAATCAAAGAATTCTGAGAACAGTACTTTTTAATATATCAAATAATTATGAGAATTGTTAGTTTAACAATACCAAAACCAACTCTAAATAATGAGGATGAAATACGAAGTATTTCATTGACTATTAAAAGTAGGAACAATGGTATGCACATGATCGATTCCTGGCCTTATGCATTTCCAAGATATAAATATGATTTAGATGATATGCTAGAAATATCTATATATTATAAAATAAAGAATTCATCATCAACAAATACAGGCTCCTCTGATGAGATTAATTTACATTCCGTTGTATATTTTCCATGTATTTTATTGGATGAAATAGATAAAAAAGGTAAGAAACAATGGATACTTGGATTGGATAGATTTCATGATAATACCAGTAAATTAATTACTGATAAAAGTATAGATAATGCTTTAAAGGAAATTAAGCTTATGGAAGAAAAAGCAAGAAAAAGCTTTAAGATATCCAAGATATACTTAATTTTTTATTCTTGTAACAATACTGTATTAAATATTGAAGAACAACTAAGTGGAAGTTATATAAATAGTCAAGGTTTAATAACTCAAAACAAAGATCAAGAGAAGAAATTATATGGATTAGTTTCCAAACCTTTTGCAACTGATGTAGCCATTGATAAAAGTAAACATAAGAACAATGTTGGTATTTTACCTGATGATTCTGTTTCAAGAATATCTGCAAAAACAAGTAATTCTAACACAGTTTCAAGAACAAATTTAATTAAGCAAAATATTACAGAAAATTGTGACAATTTATCTGATGCAATAGATATGATTAATAAATATAGAAGCAGATCAAAAGGATCATTAACTACTATTAAATCTATTGATCATGGAAATAACTTTAATATTAACAATAACAATAAAAAAAATACTAATAATAGTACTCAAATTGTTAATTCCACTATTAAATCATCTTCTTATTCAAGAAATATCAATGAGTTAGATATATCTAAAGTTAAAAGTCAAGAAGAATTGACTATTACTCTTTCAAAGTTAAATGAAAAAGATTATGGGATTCTAAATTCTGTTGATACTGCAAGTATAATATCTAAAACTATTTCAACTAATACACAAAAATATTTGGAGGAGAAAAAAGAGTTACAAGAAAGATTATTTATCTTACAGTATTACTTTTCTATATGGATACAAACTACTAGAAAGGAGAAAAATATTAAAAAATCAAAAAAGAATGTCAAAATTATGTCTGGATTGATTAATTTATTAAGAGTTTTTGAAAATAATCAAAGATTTAAGAAGATGATGTTTATTCAAGCACTTAAATTTAATAGTTTTAGAAAGAATTTGCTTAATAAACAATTCGAGTTAGAAAAAATTAGTAATGAAAAGAACATTCTGGCAGAAAAGCTGAATGTTATAATATCAGATAGTTCTGAAAAAATTCAAAAGATGAATGAAAATATGTTAATAAAAGAAAAGGATGTATTTGAATTAAGAAAAAAATTAGAATATTATGACAATATTAATTCTGAGTTAAAAGAACAAACTGAAATAATTCAAAATGAGAATAAAAGATTGCTTAGTCAAATCAAAGAATTAAATCAATATATTGAAGATAAGGAGAAAACAATGGAAGCTGAGAAAGTTAAGAATGGTAAAGAAAAACTTGAATTGGAGATTATTATTGATAGAAGAAAAAAGGAGTATAGTAGACAATTGGAGGAGATTCATCATTTAAATACTGAAATTAGTAAATTAAAGAATATAATAAATACTGAGGAAAATAAGAAAGTAACACTAAAAGTTGAGAATGAAGAATTAAAAAAGAAACTATTAAGTTTAGAGGAAGAAAAGATTAATATAATGAATGAATTTAATCAAAGTTTTTTAGCTAAAAGTAAAGAGAATGAGGAGCTTTATATTGAAAATATTAAATATAAAGAAGATAATGAGTTATTAATAAAAAATAATAATAGATTGGCTGATGAGAATAATAATTATATAAAGATATGTGAGGATCTTAAAAATGAGAAGAGTTCTTTAATAGGATCAGTTTATGATTTAATTAATCAAATAGAAAATGAAAAGATTGAGAGAATTCAAGAACTTGAGAATTCTAGAATGCTTTTTCAAAGTATTAATAATAGAGGAGGGTATAACCGTAAGCAGATAGTGAATTTATGTCATACAGAAATAGAAGAAGAAGAAGAAGAAGAAGATTATGAAGATCTAAAATTGGAGGATTTAAAGAATACAATTAAGAAAGGAAGGAAGAAAGAAAATGAAATTAGAAGGAATAAATCAGATATAGTGATAGGAGTGAATTATATTGAAATAATTGGAGAAAAATTTGATAATAATAAATTAGTAAAATTGGGTTGTATTGAAATTAAAGGGGAAGAAGATATAATATTGAAAAGAATGATAAGAGAAGTTAGATTAGAGTTTTATGATGATGAATATGAAAATATAAAATTAAAGAATGAACAAATTATGGATTTATCTGAAAGGGTTAAAGTTTTAACAGATGAGATGAAGAAACTAAAAGAAAGAGAAAGAGAGATACAGGAAAAAGATGAGAAGTGGGAAGATAATGAGAAAGAAGAAAGTATTCATGATGAAATGGAGGTAAATTTGGATGATACTGAAAAAATTATAGGATCTGCAACAGAGATGTTCAAATTAGCATTGAGAAATATTAAGATAAATAGCCAAAGATTTGTAAGAACTGAGAATAATAATGAAAATGAGAATGAGAGACAAAAAATGAGTAAATTTGGTATGGAAGGAGATGATATAAAGGGATATGATGTTAAGGATAATGTTAGTGAAATTTTAGAAAAGGGTTTTTATAATAGAGATGAAAAGGATGATATGAAGGTAAATGATGATCAAATGTTAATGATAGTTCCTTCAGAATTTTCATTTAATTCAAACTATTGTAATAGAAATGCTGAATCATCTTTATCATTATCATCATCATCATCATCATCTACAATGTTGAAGAAAGTAAATGATGAACATTTGGGTAATTATCATCAATATACCATAGAAAATAATAATATAAATAATAGCTGTAATGAAAGCAACAAAACTGTGGCGAATATTAGTGAAAGTAATACTTTTGGAGGAAACATGTTTAAAGCAGGTTATGATAAGATAGTTTCATCAATATCTTCAGCTCTAACATCTGCAACAGCTAGTACAACTCCAGGATCAGTTTTAGGATCGGGATCAGGATCAGGATCAGTGTCAGTTTCAAGATCAGGATCAGGATCAGTGTCAAGATTAGGATCAGGAAAAGGATCACCAATGGTAATAAAAGGAAATGAAATGAGTTATTCTCAGATGACTAAGAATAATCCAATAATATTACAATTTCCAATGATGAGATCATCATCTCAATCGCCAGCTATATTATCAAGATCAAATTCTATGAGGTATAGTAATAATAATAATAATAATAATAATAATAATTTAAATAATAATATTAATATGAATAATATTTTATCTTCATCTAATTCTATAATTGGTGTAAATAAAGGTAAAGTTATAAGTGGAGGTAATAATAATAATAGTAATATTGGAGGATATTATTACCAATATAATACAGGAGAAGTAATATATAAAGGTATTATTAATAGTAATAATAAGAATATTAATTCCAGCAATTTTATTGGAGAAGAAAATAGTTATCAAAAAAGATATAGCTCAATACCGAGACAAAATATAAAAACGGTACCACCACCATTTTTTCCAAGAAATTGAAGAAGTAATGCAAAAAAAAAAAAAAAAAGAAATATATAATTAAAATTTGGAATTAATTAAATTATTATATAAAGATAATTCTTTTCTTAGCTTAAATAAATTTTTCAAGTATTTGAAAGGCTTGAATACAAGAACATCTTTTATTAGGATCAAGTTCAAGTAATTCTGAAATAAGATAAAAGATTTTTGGATAAGATTGAAATAGAGGTAAAAGTATTTTCTTAAGATTATTAATTTTTTCTTCTGGATGAAGAAATTTCTGGATTGAATCCAAAACTGAAAGTTCATTACCTTCAAAAAAAAAAGGTGACCAAACAATTTGATCTTTATGATAATTAATATGATTGAATTTGGTATTTTTTAATAAATTTTTTTTGTTTCTGGTATTATATAATGAATTACTTTGGTTTTGATCTTGAAAATTATATTGATTACAAATAATAAGAAATAGTTCAAGTGCAATAATACCAATACTCCAGGAGTCAATGGAGAAAGGAAGAGAAAATTCAGGTATATAATTATTGTAATTAATATCATTATTATCATAATTTTTATCCATATTAGAATAAATAATAAGTTCTGGTGATTTGTAATATATAGTAACAACATCATTAGTAAAATTAGTGTATGAATGATTACGAATAGATCTTGCAAGTCCGAAGTCAGCAATTTTGATTTTTAGATTATCTTCATTAATAAGTATGTTTTCAGGTTTAAGATCACGATGTACAATTCCAAGATTATGTAGGGATTGTATAGAATTAACAATTTGAAAGAAAATATTAATTCCAAATTGAAGATTTAAGATTGGATGATAATTATTTTTATCTATAGATACACATTTTTCTTCAATAAAAGATAATAATGAAATTCCACCATATTCATAAATAGCATATATACGATCGTTTTCAAGAATAACATCTTCTAATTTAATAAATAATTCATTAAATGGATGGCTTGATAATTCTTTAAGAATACCAATTTCTCTAAGTATACTTGGATGAATACCTTTTTTAGATAAATCTTTGTCAAAAGCTTTAATAGCATAATATTTTTCAGTTTGGGAAGATTTTTTTGACTTTTTATTCTTGGAATAATAATTATTTAAATTCATTGAATATGATAATTTTGGTATATTAAGAATTGAATTTTCTTCTTTTTTCTCTATTTGAGAAGAAGGCATGAATGAATTATGATTAAAGTTAAAATAATTTGAAGCCTGATTACTGTTTTCATCTATATCTATATTATCAACAATAATACTTGTGTCTTTTTGGTTTTCTGTTTTGATAGCCTTATACACAGTTCCATAGGCACCTTTTCCAAGTATTTTAGTTACTTTATAGTTATTAATTAACATATATTGATTTTCTGATTGATTCTGATATTTTGTTCTTTTCATTTCTTATTTATTCTGGATATTATTATTAATGGAAGAAGAATGAGTGAAAATGGTTTTTTAGACTTATATTATTGGTTTGTTATTATTTCTGTGATTGCTATTGCTATTATTATTATTATTATTATTATTATTATTATTATTATTGATTATTATTATTATTACTATTATTATTATTTTATTGCTATTATTATTATTGCTTTTGTTATGATTACTGTAATATTCATTATAAAAATATTCCCCAATTTGAAAAAGTAATATTGAAAAACGAATTACTCCAAATCATTTTTTTTCACACTTTTATTATTAATTAAAAACTTTTAATTTTTTTGAATATCATATTTTACATAATTATTGATTATTACCGGCATGCAGAAAATTACACGTAATTGCAATGCATGCATTCAAGACTATGTGGATAAGCGGTAAGTGTGTATTAGTACCGGTAATCATAGTAAAATAATGTGAGGAAAATAAGAAAAAAAAATGAAAAATTAAATTTGAATACGATTTTTTTTTTTGAATAATATTCGTTTATTCAATCCAATTTTGATGTTGTTTAAGGCAGTGTGCATTCTAAGTTTAAAAATTGAATCTAAAGCTTATTTATTTATTATTTAAAGTAAAAACCGTTTCTTCATGGGCATGCTTAGGTTTATTTCTAGAGCAGGAGATTTCAACCTTCAGAAAAGAGATAGAGGAACTGAAAGTGTTGAGGAAACAGATGGAGCAGAAAGTATTGATGGAAAAAGAGAATGGAAATATGGAGATGAAAATAATTTTTTACAAGAAAAGAATGTAATGGAAGTAGATGACACTTTGAGAGGGGTTTTGATAAAAAACCTATACAGTATGGATATACAGGATGAAGTGATAAAAGGGATATTGGGTGAAGGAAACACAAGTTTTAAACCTGGAGATATTTTGGGTATTATGGGTTCTTTAGGATCTGGAAAGAGTTTATTAATAATGCATATGGTGGCAGTAAGTATTTTACCAGAAGAGATTGGGGGTCATGACCAAAAAGTATATTATCTAGATACAGATTCAGGATTCTCTATCGAAGTTTTTATAGAAAAACATCTAATTCCTATTATTGAAAAAAAAATTGTCAATGAAGACTTTTATTATCAGTTGGAAAAGAAATTTAGTCAAGATCATACAAAAATCCCCCAGGAAAGTTTTTCGAAAGAAAAAAGAATAAGAGCTGAGAAAGTGATCATAGATAAAGTAATTAGAAAAAGCCTCAATAATTTGTATATTACATTTGTGAATGATTTGTTGGATTTACTGTGTATTTTAAGACAAATTATAAGTGATTCTCACATTAATTCTTTTAATAATTCTGGTAAAACAAATATCGATACCAATGTTAATACAAATAACAGTACCGATAATAGTACTACAACTATCACTATTGGTGATAATAATCATAATAATAAAGCAAAATTGTTGGTAATAGACTCTCTTAATTTTTGGAATACAGATTTAAGCTCTTTTCTAATAAAAAACCATCCAGAAAAAGTAAGAACCAAATACCATGTTCTTGGATACTATACAAACAAAAACACACTTTTCAACTCAGTATTTTCTCTAATTCGTCAAATTGTTCAGTTTCATGGATTCATTGGATTAATATCAATTTGTGAAGAACCAATTATACAATTTACATGTAATAATAATAATGGTAGTAATAGTTATTATGATAAATTTAAAAGCAATTTTACTGAAGAACTTGTAGAATTGGTCAATCTTTTTCAGACAAAAAAACTTTATCAAAATGTTGATCATTATTATGAAAATTATGTAATTAGTATAAAAGATCAAAATCAAAATGGAATCCAAATTGAAGATAAAAAGAATGAAAAACTTATGTTAAAGTTTCCTAGAATAATCCATAAAAATATATTTCCAACCTTTTTGAGTAAAATAATTAAAGTAGAAGATTATCAAAGTATTACAAATATTATTTGGATTTCAAGATCTTCACTTCCAATTTCCGATCAAATACATAATTATCCAAATTCTTGTGTAATTCCAACATACTTTTCATGTATTAGTGTTAATAATCTCCAAAAAAGTTATCTTGTTTTTGATGATTTTCATGGATTAGTAGTTCTTGTTTAATTAACTAACTAAATAACTAACTTTGAATTAATTTGAATATATTCTGTAAATTTTCATTGTTATTATTTTCTTTTAGATCTATGATTTTTTCTATATTACCTTTACCCATTATATATACTTTGTCACAAAATTCTATAGATTCCATATGATGAGCTATTATTATTACTATACAATGTCTGAAATACTTATTTATTAAATAAGATATTGATGGGAGTTTGCTTTTATTACTTCCATTTTCATTACAAACAAAATTTGATAAATCATTATAGTTTTCTTCATCATTATTATATTTTAAATTATTATCAATTTCATAATCAAAACTATTATTAAATTTTATATTGATCTGACGTCTAGTTCCAGTATCTTTAATCTTATCTTGATGAATTTTTATATTAATTGTAGTTTTTTCATTTATCTTTAAATCTTTCGTTTTTTCATTCTTATTATGAATAATTGGAGGTTCATCCACTAATATTATTTTATATTTTGAAGAATTTAAATAAACTCTTAAAAGAGAAATTAAACGTAACTGAGATAGTGAAAATAAATATCTGTGGTTAATGTAATCCATATTATTATTATTATTATTATTATTATTGTTATTATTATTATTATTATTATTATTATTATTATTATTACTATTATTAGTCATCTTATTGATATTTCCAGAATAATTATCAGAATATACAATAGATTCTAATCCATCTGGTAAATCTTTAAATAATGGCTCATAGCTTAAATCTTTTACACCCTTCCAAATTTCGTCATCTGAAAACTCTTGGAAGGGATCTATATAATCTCTTACCCTCCAATTCTTAATAAATATACTATTTTGAGGTATGTAACCTATTAATTGATTTTTTCCAATACTATTCTTATACATTTCTTTCATAGAATTTTCAAATATAATATGACCATACGTTTGCATTGGAATATCCTTAATAAAACCATCTATTTTATTATTAATATTTGTATTTGTACCTAAATGAATGTTATTATTATTTAATTCAATATTAATTCCATCCAAAGAAATAAAACCACTATCCAACTTATAGTTACCCAATATACATTGAAACAAAGATGATTTTCCTGACCCTGTTCTTCCAATTAAACCAACATGTTCTCCTGGTTGGATTGACATATACAAATTATTAAATATTACATTAGAGTTGTTATAATAAGACATTACAATGTTGTTAATTATTAGTCCTTCTTCTTTTCTTTGTAAATTGCTAAAAGAAGAAGAAGAAGAAGAAGAAGAAGAAGAATCTAATAATAACTTTTCTGATTTTGACTGATTAAATTCATAGTTTAAAGCATTAGTCTCACTAAAAGTACCAATAGATGACTGACTTTTACTCTTTTCAATAAATATTGCATGATTAATCTGTTTCTCAAGTATTTGAAATCTCTGAACAGAACACATATTCTTCTCCAAATCAATAAAGTCTGTAATTAAAGATGTAATAGTATTAGGGAATGAAATAATAACTGTGAGTGAAAGTACCAAAAAGCTTGAAAGTAAGGCTGATTGAAAACTGTGTGCAAACCTTGTAATCCATAAAGGAAGCTCATAATTGAGAATCCTTGAAATAGTTGGACATATAAATAACATAAACATTAATAATATACCAAAAAATAAAGTTCTAATTAATCTCCAAATCCCTATAGCATAACTATAATAGAAAGTTCTTTGAAGAATATACAATATATTACTTGTATCTTTCTTATAATATTCTGAAAATCCCATATTTCTTATTGTAGAAGATCCTCTTATATTGCACTCAGTTTTATTACATAAAGGACCATAAGTATTTAATAAAAATCTATAACTTTCTCTTGTCTGAATTCTAGTTGGTTTAAATATATATTTGAAATAATACCAAATTAATATTGGGTATATTAATATACAAATTGGACTGGACCAAATAATAAATCCTTGAGAAGCCATTGATGAACAAAATTTTAAGATAATTCCAAGATTTAATTCACCATCAATAATACCAAGATCCATTGAAAAAATATTAACCAAAGATTGGGAATCTAATGAATCAAAAAATGTTAATGGGGATGTAATCATTTCAAATAGTATCTTATTATGTAGAATAATTGCAGATTTTAAGATTGAGTTAATCTCAATATAAATAGCAATAATCTTTACAATAGATGCTATTATTGTAACTGCAATAAATATCATCATATATTTGAATCCTAAATTTGAAATAGCTTCATAATTAAATTGTTTCTTCAACATCATCTCCCTTCTCATATCCAAATCAGTTCCACTCCAAAGAATTACTATTATATCAATAGAGCAAATCAATAAAGATAATAAAATAAATAAAACTACCAGTGAAATAATATTCTTTTTACCAAAAAAACCAAATAAATACCATGAATAACTTTCAAGCTTAACATGTCCTGATAACTCCAAAAAATTCTCATCAAAAGTATTTGGAGCACCAACCAAACTATAAATACTACCATTCCCATTTTCAATTTCATTAAAATGATTACGATTACCATTACTTAAAACTTCAAAACTCTTAGATCTTGATATTAATTTACAAACTTCTATTTCCATTGCTTTAAGCAATCCATTTTCACCAAAACAGATTCTTGGAGTGCTTAATGAACTCCTTCTTGAGTTAGAGCATGATGTCTTGTTCTCTTTGGAAGCTATTTTTATGATTTCAAGATCCTTAATTTTCTTTTCCTCTGGATTATTTTTTTCTTGTTGTTTCTCACATTGTTTTTGATTTTGATTTTGGTTTTGGACTTGATCTTGGATCTTAGATTGAAATAAACTCTTTATATGTGAAAGATTTTCGACAGAATCACTAGATTCTGAAAAATATTCAAAATTTTCGACTGATTTTAAGATAATATCATCAAAAATCTGACTATATGACATCTCCTTAATTGTCATTTCACTAATCCTGAAAAATCTGAGTTTATAATCAGTCTGGAAACAGTTTTTTCTCATAATGTAAGATAGAGTAGGCTCATTCAAAGTTATAAAGACTGCATAATCTTTTTTTCTTCTGGAAGGTATGACAGTATCTAATACCAATTTATCATATTTCATAATATCTGAATTTCCCTCATGTATTTTTTTAGAAAATAGTGAATTCAATATACCCATAGTTACATTTGGATCCATATGTTCAAAAATAGAATCCATACATATTATCCTTTTCTTTCTTCTAAAACAATTATTTTCAAGACTTTCTACATTATTATCATGATTACTAATATTAAGGTAGTTCTGATATATAGATCTAGCCAAAGATACTCTTGCTTTTTGACCATTACTCAAGTTATTACCATATTCTTCAATTAGATGATTATAACCTAATTGCCACATTTTCAAGTCTGTTATTAATTGGCAAACTTGAATAACACACTCCATTATTTGTGGATTATATTCTCTACCTGCTAATATTATTTCTTTAAAAGTACCAAAAGGTATCCATGGATTTGAATTAACAATATCAATATTTCTTTCATTAGTATTATTCATTTCATGAATATAGGTACCTAAATAAGTATCTCCTCTAATTCTAAATAAATCACCAAGTATAGCTTCAATAAAGGTTGTCTTACCAGCCCCATGATCTCCAATAATAAAGCATATTTCGCCATAATTAACTTTAATATTTAAATCCAATAAACATGGATTTAGTTTTCCTAACATTCTAAAATCTGATTCAGTATTAATATCAAAATCAAAAGATTGCCAATTAACTAATGAATTATTCTCATTAGTATTTTCAAAATATCTGAGAATCTTCTCAAGATTTTGTTTATCAAAAGAACTCTTTTTTTTAAATGATGCAATTTCTGTTAAAGTTGTCATATTCACCAATTGTGATTTTTGTTGATTATTTTGATTGTTATCAATATCTAAAATACAATTTCCTTGTTGATTATTTTGATTGTAAATTTGCTTATATACAAGATCCATTCCTCCACATGATCTTAAATAACCAATTTGATGAAGATATCTATATACAGGATCATCATATATTTGTCTAGAAAAAGTTGCATCTATATACCACAAAGCAATATTTTGTAATTCTTTTTCTATTATTTGTTTTTCAATATATTGAATTTTTTCGATATCTTCTTTTTTAATTTTATTTTTATTCTTTTTATTAACACAATAAGCCACTTTTTTGTTAGTTTCAGTAGCAATAAACTCTCTATCCATTAAAAGAGGATAATCATAAATTCTTGAAAATAGAAAGGTTTGTATTCTTCCCAAACTTACAAATCCTTGTACTACAAATCCAAGTTCTTCTGGGAGCATATTTACCGAGGTAAATAATGTATTTAAAGAAAAAATTATGGGTACCGTTGCTGTAGCTGGAATTGAGAATTGTCCAAAGTATTTTTTAAATAACATTCCAAGACATGTAAATAATACAGCTTGTGAAAAATAACTCGAACAAAAGCTGAGTACTTCTGAGAATCCGGACAACCACAACCTTTTTCCTCTCCAATACATTTCAAATGTTCTTAGTTCTACCAAATTTTTGTAAACAAAACTTTCCCAATTTAAAAGCTTTATTGTTCTGATATTTGAAAGTATATATCGCAGCTCATCAAGTCTACAATCTTTGGCAAAAAATAATGGCTTTTTCAAAAATCCACTTTTAATTTGGAATATTGCACTGATAGAAATAAATATAGTTAAAGTTGAGATGCATGATATTAAAGATATATTTATTATCCAACCCAAATTGTTATCTATATTTGGTAATGATGTTTTTAAGATAATGGAAATTGAATAACTAGCAAGGATTACTCTAAGTGGAAATAATATTACGCTGATTAAATTACCCAGTAGAATAGAGCATGGAAACAAGTCTCCCATCATTACATTGTATATATTAATATAATTTAATCTGATTGCATGACTCTGATAATTCTTTAATTCAATTTGATCAGAATTTCCACCTTCATTAGAACTTGAAATACTATCTTCTTTTTTTAGTGAATCTTTCATTTCAATTTCTTTCGAGGATAAATTTTTTGATTTAAAACAACCAAGTGATGATAAAAAATGGCAAAATCTATTTGAATGATGCTGATCATCATTAATTTTTTTAATCAAATTCATATCCATTACATTAGGAGGTATTAAACCATTTTTTTCAATGCTTTTTCTAACCAACAAGCCTCCAGACTTTTTTAAACCTCTCCACAAAATATTTGTTGCCAAACTTGAATATATTCGAAATATATATCTATATTGAAAAAAAACTATATGTGGAATTGAAATAGATGAGAATACCATTATTAAAAAAACCATGAGAAAATTAATGACTGAATTAAACTTTTCATCTTCTTTAAGTGGCATAGGTTTTTGTAAATCTGCTACAATTCTTTTAATAATAAATCCAACAGAAAAGCGAATAATATCTATTATTGTTAATGAAAAAATACATATTATAATAAATGGATAATATGCTTTCAATAAAGCCCTCATTAAATTGGGTTCTCTTTTAGCTAGAATTGCATTTCTTTCCTCTCTTCTTAACGCTTCTTCTAAATGTTTTCCTAATTTAAATGGATTATCTTTTAAAGGAATTTCTGGCAAATCTTCTTCTTTCATCAATTCGGTATCCTTCAATTTCATATATGGGGAAATAAACCCAAAACTCAAATATCTGATAGAAAGAGCATGAAACCATTTTTTTGGCCTATAAATAGAGCTATGATTTTTGGGATTTAATTTCTGAACATCTTCAGTTGAACTCCCCTCCATTATTTGAGTTTCTTAGCTTGTTTCACTTTCTAGAAACAGATCTTATCGGCAGCTTTCGGCATTACAGTTAGTTTTACGTATTTCTCTTATTTATTCTTTGACACACAATAACTTATTTTTTGTTTATTTTTATTCATTAATCTTTAATTCACAATAACATTGGCGCCTTGCAATTATAGACATTGTTTTGATTTAATAATTAACTTGCTTTATTAACAAATCTAGAAAACCTTTTTTTTATTTAATATATATATATATATATATATATACATATATATATATATATATATATATTAAGGATTTTTTAAAATTAAATTATTATCATTACTTTTATATTTGTGGGGTTTAGTTTTATGCACTAGTCCAATTTTTTCTCAACTTCTCAAAATTTATGTTTACAATTACTACTTTTTCCAGCTTTTATAACTTTTTAAAGTAATATATTTAATGTATGAACTGGTTAAAGAAGTATTATTGCTATTTTGTTTGTATATTTTATTTTTATCTTCTACACCACCCAAAATTATTTGGATTAATAAAATATAAAAATTAATTGATTTTTCTCCTTCAATTATTTTATTAATTATTATTATTGACACGTTGATATTTGCATTATTTTTTTTTTTTACACATAATTGCATGCAAGCTTTATATACCGGCTGTCCACATTAAATTTTATGAGAAAAAGGGGGGAACATTCTCATGCAAATAATGATATTATCATATGTATTTGTGCATGCAAATTGAAAGAAAAATTGCTAAATATGGAAGAAAGCTGTGCATTATGTTTTGCTTTTATGCATTTTTTATTTAAAAAAAAGACCAGATAGTGTTTTTTTCTACAATCTATATCTCTTTGGAGTTAGTCTAATAAAAAATTTCTCCAAAATAGCAAATTAAAAAGATATTAATATAATCATATCTATTTGGCTAGATTTATTTCATTTGAAGCAAATAAGTCGCTTTTTGCATGTTTATGATGTTTATTATGTTTTAGTGCGGATTCCGAGAGAATGTCAACTCTACCAACAAGCCTTGAATCTGGGAAAAATTGTTCATTACTAGTTAAAATATCACAAAGTTGAAAAACTTCTTCCCTATAGTGACAATGCTTAAGCCATGCAAATAAGAAATCTGCTGGCGGGAGAATGGATTGTAAGTATTGAAGAAATCCTTCAGACCATTCAACTTGTTGTAAAAGTTGATTTAAAATAAGCTGCTCACATAAAATTTTATTCATTTTTGATTCTGTAGCAATTTGTAGTTGGGTAATTGAGCTTTCTAAAATTGAGTAAATTCTTTGTTCTACTTCAAACATATTGGCTCGAATATCATTGAAAATAAGTTGTTGAGATTCAAGCTTCTCTAATAATTCCATCTTTCTTATCTTCAAACATGGATGGGGCTTGTTATGTCGCTCTAATTGTGCTCTATATGCTCTGCTTATTGGCATAATCATAGAAGGAGTTTTTTCATCTGCATGTGTATGAGATGGCCTACATAATCTACACATTGGTACATGGCACAATGTACAGAATTCCTCCAAACTATCCATAGTATGAACAGGACAATTTCCTGAACTTCTTGGCATCTGATTTATTGGAATTCTAATATGTCTTGTTACTAGTTTATTATGTCTATGAGTTCTTTCATCGCATGAATCACAAAGTCTTGCAGTATCAGCCTGACACCATAATATTGCTGGAGAATCTTGGCATTCATCACACCAAGGTACTGCAAATAGCTCTGGTGATGAAGAATCATACTCAAATTGTATCAAGTATTCCGGCACTACCTGAAAACTATCATATATTATGTATTCATGCTTAAAAGTATGTTGTGGTAATACACCTGCTGATAATGCTAGTGCTGATGATAAATTAAATTCATTTGCCTTTAATTCACTATCCATTGCTACTTTCGAATTCACCATTGAAGGAGGATTAATTTGTTTGTTTCTTAGAAAAACAGTATCATACTCTGGAGGTATTGGAAATCTATCACCATCTGCCTCGCTCTCATCATTCTTTACTACTGAGCACCCAACCCCTACTTTACATAAAAAAAACTCAAATAATCTTCTTGTTGCTGGAGTGTAATCTGCCTCAAATTTATTAGATCTATTACCAATATTGATTTCTTGAAAATGAGCATTACTTCCCGTAATTCCTTTATTATATGAAGCTTGTGGTACCCCTGGAAGTCTAATATTACCTGAAGTGAACTTCATCCCACTTGAAGGGATTTTAAACCCTCTCCTAGATACATCTTGAATTGAATTATTTTGATCAAGATCATTTGTATCCACCCAACAATACAATACCAACTTATCCTGAGTTCTTCTGTCAAAAGCTGTTGAAATACTCCCAATATTAACATGCCAAATCTGCTGAATAAGAGATCTAGATGATCTACAGCAAACCTGTAGATAATGTTCTAAAAGATTCCATTCTTCTGTTCCTCTTTGCACTGTGTCCAAATTCTGGTGAGAAATATGTGTTACTAATGTCTTTTGTGGCATCTCTCCTATTTTAAATTTGTATTTACTCACCAATACAAGTGATTCAGTGTATTAAATATCCTAATATTACTTTTTTTTTTTTTAAGTATAGCAATTCTTTTAGAGTTTCCCAAGTATTTAGTGAAATATTTCTATATTATTGAAATCCGCACCTTTTCCCACAAATAAAAGGCACCCATGTAAAACAAAATCTTTTTATTTTTAATATTAAAACGAAATTAGAGGCAACATAAAAAGCTTAATGACAGTAATAATAATAATGCTTCAATTTATATTATTATTACTATCCTATTGTAAAATTTCCGCTTGCACAAATTTACCTTATTTAATTTACTTTTTTCTCTAAACTATTTTTAGATTTATTAAATTTCTAAATTCCCGCCACTTGGCCCTTAATTGCATGTTACTAGTAATTTTCCTAATAATTACATGAAAAAATGTTTTACCGCCAAAATTCCATGTAAATTAATTATAAGGAGGAGATAAAGTGCCTCCGAATCTTCCAGATTTTCTTGTGAAAGTTATTTTCTGAGGTGAATACTCAGGAGGTACTTTGGACTCAGAATTAACATTTTGCAAATGGTTATAGTAATTTGGATTGTGAATATTTATATTTTCACTCTTACTGTTGGACTGTTCCAATTCATCTAAAGGGTTACTAACTTCAAGTATCTCATTCAATATACAGGTTTTGCTGTTATCATTGTCAAAGTCGGGTTCATAATCTTGATCATTTAGTTCTTCTTGACTATTTCTTGTCCTTTCAGAAGACGGGGAGGAGCTTATATTGGAGGAGTGAGTAGTGTTGCGAGAAACCATTAACATTGGAGACTTGTATCTAGATAAGCCGTTATTTAGATCATCATTTTCTTCAATCTCGTCATTATAACCACTGTTATCAAGATATGTTGCAATTTGGCACATTCTTCTAATTGATTGTCTTCTATTAAACTTTGTGTTATCTCTTACTGGAGATTCGTAATTTTCTTCTGTCATTATTAATACTTTTTTCCTAATACCATCTTTCTCAAATTTTACTGATATTGAGTTGGAAGATTCCGCACTTTCAGTTGTGTTGGAGTCAAGCATAGAAGAGATGTCTAAGAGTCTAGTATGAGAAGGCGAAGAAAGTGCAATGGTTTCATTGTCGTCATCCAACTCATCATCAAGTGAAACATCATCATCAAAAGATGAGCTCAAGTTCAGACTAAATTTGTTAGTTTTATCTCTGGAAAGTATCTCTTTGGCTTCTTTAGAAAGCTCTAAAATAGAGGATCTTTTTACTATACCGTTTTGATAACTTGTTTCTGTATCCAGGTTTTTGTTATGAACTTGGTTATTCTCACAAAAAGACGCTAATGGTAAAGCTATTGTTTTCTCAATATCCTCTATTTGAACAGAACTTCTGGTTTCATCTTTTGTTACCGATTTACTTAAAATTCCATTAGTAAAGTTATTATTTTCGGTCTTATCAGTGACTCCTGTAATTATTGAAGTATCGGAAATGCTATTAATATCACTGGAGGCTATACTGTTGTTATTATTAAGGGTTCCGATTTTTCCATCTGAGAAGCTGACATGTCTTTCACTTTTATTTTCGGAATCCTTGTTGAATAGAGGTTTCAAATTCAGTTCCTTCACAATGGATTTTGCGAAAAGTTGTTGGATGTTAATTTTAGGTTTAGCCATACTACTTAGACTTTGATTAGAGAACTCTTTAGGCTTAGAACTGCTGTTAGGATTCAAGATATTCTTCATGTCATTAATATGAGAAAGTCTTCTGGCTCTGGCAGTAGAAGTAGAAAGAGGCTTCTTTGGGTTATCCCTGGGAGTATTTTCCACGCTCTTTGGAGAAGTTTGTTCGTTATCCTTGACAATTTCTTGCTTCAAAGCTAAATCATACTTGTTAATAAATTCAAATAATGTCTCAACAAGATCTTGCTTCCCTTGGTCTAATTTCACTCTCAATGGAAGAAAAGTGGAAATATCTCCAAAGTAATAACAGGAAGCAACATACAACCTTAACATTTTTCTAAAGGTATTACATAACGTAATCATCTGGCTATATTTTTCTGAGTAAAACTGTTTCATAATATTCTGGAATTCATCATTATACTCCATCACATCTTCCTCCTTGTTCGAATGGGTTTCTGTGGCAAAAACAAGGTTTTCTGGTTTATCACGTAACTCAAGCCAAGAAAAGATTAAATCTGTGACCATTGTATAAACCATAGTAATGTTTTTTTCGGAAGATTTTTTTAATATTGAAATTTCTTCTTTTGTAAAAATTTTACCAACTAAAGAACTTATAAAGTTAAGCAAAGTTTTTCCTTGAATGTTTGGACTCTTTAAGTTTTGGAGTTTTTTCATTGATGATAGAGGGATAAATTTGACCTTGTCTACCTCATTTTGATTCTCTTTTCCCAATTTGCTATTCAAAATATTCCTTGAATCAATAATTGCTTTGAAAAGTAAAGGAAGTCTTTTGTGATTTATAATCAGTTCCAAGCCACGAATTTTCTCTTCAATCCATTTAAGAGATTCACAGTATAATTGCTCAAAGGATGACCTTAAAATCATACATTCAAGTCTCTTAGATAGGTTCGGAATTCTTGATAAAAAGTAAACAAATTCCTCTTCCTCAAACAGTGTTTCTCTTGAATTACTTTCTAAATATCTTTCAACACTCCTAACACATTCTTTCCAAATTTCATATTTAGCAGCATTTTCAAGAGGATCTGGAACTGTTTCTAGTAATAAATTCACCCCTTCTTTATCCAATGTACAATTTAATATAGATTTTTTGAAAAAATCCAAACTCTTTTGTTGGTCCTTTGGTAGCTTCTTTTTAAAATAGTTGATTGTAATCTGAAGCATTCTGCTCGTTTTTGATCCAAATAAACAAGCTCTTACTTCTTTTCCTGTTGACTCCATATTTTTTTGATTGATCTTATTTGTAGGGCTTTTATCTTTGTTCTTTGATTTACCAGTTTCCCTATCTATCTGTTTACCTTCCTCTATAACCAAGTGGCCAGTGTTTGAAGGTGATAGGTTATTAATTGCCATTGTTTTCTTTGTTTGTATACTTTCTTTCTTAATAAACCATTCAAATAACTTTTCACAAGGAATCTGTAAATCCTCAGTCTGAGAGTCCTTTGAAAAGACTGAATTAGAAAATAGCTCAAGCTTTGGTTCTTCCCTGGAATCTTCTTCATTAATTAGAACTGAAAGTTTATTTTCAAACTCAGAAAAATAATTCTTAAATAAACTCTCTTCCATATTACTATCGAACTTTGGATACTCTTCAGCCAGACACCCCCATTGAAGAGAAATCCTTGAAGATCCCTTCTTAATGCTGCTACTTAACTGACTTTGTGCTGAAACTTCTGAAGTAATATTTCCTCTAGCAGCACCAACACAGTTCTTTTGCTCTGATTTTTTCACAAAATCTGCCCTACTCATCATCTTTGGAGGAGCCTTCTTTAAAAACATACTTTTTAACTTTGCGCTTGCAGCAGCTCTAGAGACACTTTCTGTGACTGGAAATGAATTTGAATCAACATTATTGCCAGAAGCAGAAGAGGGAACAATCTGATTAGGGTGAGAAATGGGAGATAAGGATTTCTGGATAGGCGCTTTTTTGTTGATCAAATCAGATTCTTCCTTATTTTCCTTATTTACTTCTTCATCCATGATTTTTAAAACGTTCATCTTTCCAGCCAAGTTATTTAATTCATTTAGCATTTCTTCAGAAATGCTACTTCTAATAAGTACCTTTCCTTGCTCCTTTGAACTTTCCTCAGCTCTACATCTCCAGAACTTTACCTCATCTTTTAATTCTGAAACTTCCAAATTCAGCTTTCTTATCAAATTTTCTAAATCTTCCCTTGGAAGCAATTTAATTAGTTCCTCAGATACAGTTTCCATATTAATTATAATTATGCCTTACTTTTCCTTATCTAGGCCTTTTTTAAAGAAAATTATTTTTCCTTTAAATAGTTGGTATCTCAATTTTACTATTTTATTAACCAATTCTGTTTAACTCAATCAGTACTTTAAAAAGAAAAAAAGATAATTGAAAAACAAGGGGCAGTTATCAGGAAACCTGATTACTTGTTTTTCCTTTAACTTTTACTAATTTTCTGTATATATCTTTTCCTTTGCTATCTCTTCTGGTTTGTAAAAAATATTAGTATATAATAATAATAATATTATTATTATTATTATTATTATTATTTTTGAGGAAACTAATATTATGTACCGGCATGCTATTAAATATTAATTTTTAAAATTGGTATTTTTAGTGTGGGGAAAATTATGTGTGCACACGTGGCAATTTTGTTTATAATTAAAAATAAAAAAGCCAGGAAAAAAAAGGAAATAAAATTTATTTGAATAAATAAAAGTAAATATGAAGTGAAGATAGAGAAGCAAAGAGAATCATCACTAGCTTTTAAATTATTAGTATACTTTTTCTTAATAACATTGGTAAAAATATTTTCAAAAAAATTTAAGAAAAACAATTAAAATATATCTATGTATAAATTGCATGAAAATTAAAATGCATGTATAATTACACACGTAAGCAAACCCTATTAATAAAAAAACATTATATAGTTAAAAAAAATTTGATTATTTTTCAGCCTTTTTTTTTGGACTTGTCAATATTTTTTGTGGAATTTTCAGTATTTTTGATACCATTAAACCAATTTTTTGGGAATATAAGAGATTTTCTTATTACATTCCAAAATGCTAAACTAATGTAATCTTGAGTGCTATCATCTAGAATAACATCTTTAAATAAGTCACTTAAATTATTTTGAATATCTTTTGTATTAAAAATCCGTATTAAGAGGTGATTTATTGAATTAATAATTTTTTTGTTATTTATAACACAGTTATGAATAAATTCTTCTAACCATTTCTTCGAATTTTCTGTGAAAATCTGATGATTAAATGCATCTGAAAATAAAGATGAAGTTTTAGAAATAATTTCAGGTGTTTTACTCATATAATCTACAATCTCATTTGTAGTAGAATACAACCAATCTTGAACAATTTTTGTTTTAAGAATGTTAGTCAAGTTCTGACCTATTTCATCTTCAAATTCTTTAATAACTTGTCTAAGCCCAACTTTCCAGTCCTTTGAAAAATCATCATCCTTAATTAAACTGGTTAGAACTCTTTTAAATAATTTTTTAAGCGAATCTTCGATTTTTGGGTCATTAATTACATTTACTATATACCTTGTAGCTATGTTTGAACTGAACCCTGATTTGAAATACTTTTCATTTTCATTTTTTTCCTTAATTACAATTAAAATATAGAATAACAATAAAATTAAACCAGCAGAAATCCCAAATTTTACATTTTTTTTCCCTTTATCATTAAAAATTCTTGAGTAATTGTTGCTTAGAAAATCTCCAAACCTATTTTTTTTATGGTACAAATCACTGTAGAATTTACCCTTATTTATTGACAATAATGACAAAGAGGAATTTGTACTTTTTTGGAATAATAATTCACTGTTTCGTTTAAAATAAGGCCATTTCTTGCTAATTTCTTCGTTTATTGTTGGAAACAAAAATTTTGAAAATCTTATGGAATTTTTATTTACTATCACTCCACATACTGGTAAAACCTTTTTTGCCTGAATTATGCTATAACCATACATTTATAACATTACATCATATATCTATTTCTTGAAATATGAGATGCTTCATTTCTAACTATATAAATATCCAGTTTTTTAATCTTCAAATATTATTTTTGTACACGGGTGAATAATTTTTTTTAATTTAAAAAAAAAAATAAATATATTACGTGGCGTACATTAAAATACACAAAGAAAAATAATAATAAATATATATATATATATATATATATATATTTTTTTTTTTTTTTTAAATTATAATTTTAAACTTTTAAGCTATATTATTAATTTTTATTAATATTTATATATTTGGTTATAGAAGTTTGATGTTAATAATAACTAAAAAGTTTTTAATAAACTTTTAATGTTGATATAACACTATATTAATAAGTAATATCTTACTAAAATAATAGTACGGATTATTACTATAAACTTTAATTAATATACAAGCTAAGCTAAAAAGGAGTAATATAAAATAGGAAGATTTTACAAAATTTGTTTAATATATGATTTATTTTTTTCAAAAAGAATAGGAAGATAAACTTATTAATAAATATGTTTTTTTAATTAATTAGTTAAAACTTACAATAATAAAAATGACCGACTTTTCAAAATTTCAAGGTTTAAATAGTTCTCAGATTCATGAAGAATTATTAAAATGTCCAAAAAGCTCCTGGCCAAAGATCATCAGTGAACTTCCTACTGGAATTAAATCAGAACTTGTTGCAATTCTTTCAAATAAAAGAACTAACTTTACTCAAAACAACAATACTTTGGGAAACGAAGATACAAAAGAAAACACCCCAAAAAAATCAAAAGTTGAAGTTTCTAAGCAAGATTCTCAAATCTCTTCTTCTCCAATAGAAAACAAAAATCAGACCCAGAATTTGAATGAGATTGCAATTGTTCATCCAAGATGTGTTTCTTTAGAAACAGAAACAAATATGGAGACAAATACAGGATTAGAAAGTTTAAACCAAGATCAAATTTGTTCATTATCTATGTCTTCTCATTTAAATAAGGTATTTCAAGAACTAATGATATCTACATTTTCTCCAATTAATACAGTAATATCAAGAACAATGTATATAGCAGGAGATGTCAGGCCATTTTTAAAAAATAAAGACTGCAAAGAAAAAAGTGTAAGATTGATACAATCTTATTTGAATATATGGATATCACTATTTTGGAAATCTTTAATTAATAAGTCAAACAAGAAAAAGATTTCAAATAAGCTCACAAATAATATTATAAAAAAGCATTTTAGTGAATATTATAAACAAGAAGTGAGCAAATTTGATTATGACACATTAATTAATAAGTCAGCACATAGACAGGTAGGAATGAACACAAATTCTGAAAATGGTATAATTCAAACAACAGATCCTGATATTACAAGCATATCTTCATCAGTTAAAGAAGAAGATGTAATAAATGATTTGGATGAAAATGAAGGTATTGACTATAACCATAATATTCCTTCACACATGATGATTAGTATTGACAAAAGGTTTGAGGATAGACTAAAACTAAGAGATACAAGGACCAAAAATATGTCTCCAGAAGTTTATAAGGAGTTTGCAATGTTAAGAGAAAAGAACTTTAGACCGTCAATCAATACTCTCCAAGAATGGCTTTCAATTACTTGGAATACTACCTATAATAATGGGCTAAAAGATACCAAAGTTTCTCAAATACCATCAAACTCCCTTCAACTTTTTAGCTTCATTTTGAATGATATTATTTCTTCATTAGTTGAAAATGCACTAAGAATTTCTTATCTTGAAAATTGTAATTTGAAAAATAGTGGTTCTAAAACTATAATGGAAGATTCAGATTACTCCTTCGAAAACTGTAAGGATCTTGTTAATGAAGTTAATAAACATAAGGAATTTATTTTTGGAAGTATAAATGATGAATTTAATCTTCAAAAAGTTGATTTTAATGTAATTATTGATACTTTTTCAAAAAACCAAGATGAAATTCCGAGACTTAATTATATTCATTATATTCTTGCCATCACACAAAGACTGAATGAAGTAGATTTTAAGCTTTTGGGGCATTCAGAATACCAAAAATCCAATAGTACAGTTTTTCAAATTGGTATGGATGTGATTATTGAGAAATTATTCACTCTTTATTCAAAATTGACTGGCCAAATTTTAAGAGGCCAGCAAAATTCAGTTGGTGGTTCTACAACAGGAATTGGCGGGAAACGTAAAAGAGATGGTTCTGAATTACTAATAGACCTTGAAAAATGTACAAATAATAGTAACTTGAATGGTGATGATGAAAATGAATATATTGGAAATGAAGAAGATGATATGTTTGAAGCAATCGTTGAATCTGCTACAAATGAATTTTCAATCACCAACGCATTCCCAAACGTAAGTTTATTTTAACATAATATATTTATTTTCGCTCTTTTGGTTTTCCTTTTACTTAATATACATGCAAATGTTATTTTTTTATAAGGCGGGAGACCTCACATAAATTTGATTTGAATTCAAAAAATTAACTAATTAAATATGTACATTATAGGGTATTCCTGACGAGATTAGTATTTACTGTTATCTTAGGATGAAAAAAGTGATTAAAGAATCGAAAGATCCTGAAGATTTTTCTGGGGTAAGTTTTTCAGATGTTTAGGTTTTAACTGCATGCACTTTTGCATTATTACCATTCGGCGCCAAAAATGCCAAATGTGAAATAGTAATACATGCTGGCATGAGAATGTTAAAAAAATAAACTCTTAATAATTAAAGATTTACTAATAATTTATTATTTCTATATTTGTTTAAATTTGTAGATATTTAACCAGCTAGTAAAAGAGTGGAACAAAGATACTACAGATTTAGATGATGAGGAAAGCATTGAAATACAAAAAACAAAGGAATCTTGCAAATATTGCAAAATACAATTAAACAAGTATATGAATGTAGCTTATAAAATAATAGCAGTTAGTAATTTAATAAAGAACTTTATAAAATAGAAAAAAATTGGTAGAACCCATCATAAATAAATTGTATTTTATTAATGTAGATTTTATTATGTCAATAATAGTAAAGCTCCTTAGGATGGTAGAATGAAGATTCCACATAAATAGTAGAGGAACTGCTAAATTCAATAAGCTCTGTCTGCTCTTTATTATTACTATTGTCAGAGATATAATAATCACTTATACTTCCAAAGGAAGTAGATAAAGTTGGATGTCCTTGAGCAATAATCTTTAATAAGTTATTTAAAATATAAAAACACATTATTATAATGATTCAAATATAATACTGGAACATGGGAATTCATAGTACCTATGTATATATAGCTAAATGTTAATAAGCCAAATATTACATTTTCTGCTCACATCCATGTTTGTATTATTATTGGAATCAATTATTAACTTACTTCTAGAAGAGGAATGAGGTCAAATAACTGAGTGTCATTTTCATCACTAAACCTGAAAATTGTAAAGATTAATTTAATTTATTAAGGTGGGAGTTAAAATCTTACCATGATGAAATTGGGATGGCATTTTCAGGTTGAAGAATATATGATATGGGAGAATTATCAATGATTATGATATCTTTAAGAGGCCTTCCAAGCTTTGATAAGTCTTTAATATAAGAATTTCCTTCAACTGTACAGTTTTCTCTAAATAATCGATAAGGGCATTTATTCATTGGGTCAAGCCGATCTAGAAGTGGATTAGCATACTTGGATAAACTAGCAGTAAAAATTACAACTTCAAATAATGCTGATACAATATTTAGAAATTTATCAACTCCTGGCCTTTTTAATACATATACATCGTAATAATCTCCATCTATTTCAATATTGATAGTAAAAGAAGCATTTCTGATTGGTTGAAATGAACTATGAATTAAGGTTTCATCTAAGTCCAAAACCAAAGTCTTCTTTCCAACATGTTCACCTCTCTGTGGTTCCAGAAAAGGCTCTTTAATAGTGCTTTCTAAATAAGAGTCATAATCTTCATCATATATTATACTTTCTCTATCACCAGTAATACTTCTTAAACCAAAATCACTTTTACCTAAATTATCTTTGTAATTACCTGTTTCCAATGCCTCCTCCTGAGTAATATATGACGAGATCAAAGATATCTTTGGTGAAAATAAGTGAGATGAAGATGGTGATGAAAAAGAAGAGGAAGAAGAAGAAGAAGAAGAGGAGGAAGAAGATGATTGTAAAGACGAGGCAGAAGGAGTATTTGTATATGAGGTTGAAGTAGTGATATAGGAGGTAGAATTTGTAGAAGTAACATAAGAAAGGGAAGAATTCAAAACTGAAGGTGATGAAGAGTAAACACCAATATTAGAAGTAATTTGATGAGTTCCAATATCCAAATCTCCAGGAAAAGTTAAATTATTGGATTCAAAATCTTCCTTATTCTTACTTAAAGTTAATTCCTTGATTGGATAACTGCAATTGAGTTTATTGTCAGTACTATTTCCTTTTCCATTTTGCTCCACCTCATTAAAGGTTTTTATTTCGCGATTTATGTTTGAATTGTTTCTAAAAGATTTAATTTTTTCTTTATCTTTAACTTTTGTGTTGTTCTTCTCAGTATTTTTGTTATAACTAAAGAACAAAAAAGAAAGTTTAAACTTTTGGTGCCATTTTTTCTTCTTATTTCCTCTATTATTACCTTTCATATCTGGACTATCTGACTCTTTACTCTTAAATTTATTATAAGGATATTCTTCTTTTTCTTTCCTTATAACTAAATTACAAGAGTTAATATCACTTTGATGATTTATTTTTGAAATTGAATCTTTTTTTGATAATTTACGTGGTATAGATATTGTATGAATTGAAGAGATCACCATTAAAGAATCATCATTATCTCTTGAATCATTTGTAGAAATTGTATGGGAATTCAAGTCGTGAAATAACTTATTATTTGGCTTTTCTTTTGACTGTATTATAAACTCTTTAGAACTTTTACTCATTCTAGTATTATTATTATTATTATAGTTACTATTTAGTATTAATTAGCCAATTAATTGCATTGGAAATTTAACTTGAATACTTTACATAACAGAGATAATACATTATTACTCTGATAGTTTCATTAAAATTTGTCCAGCTTAAGTCAAGATTATAATTATATTTATCTACCTGTGAAATAAATATATTTAAAAATACTATGTTAAATATAAAGCATTTTTATTCTCGAATTTTTGTATAAATAGAATTTTGCTACTGTTTTATTTTTAATTCAAATTTGCATGCATTATTTATAAGCTTAATTTAAAAAAATATATATATACAAGTCAATCAATGAAATAAAAATTATATTAACATAATGGCAAACACTTTGTTTTAAATCACTCATGAATAATGAAATCCCACAAACTATTAACAAACCAATTTTTAAAATTACTTATAGTATACTAGAAAATTACTTTTAATATTAATATAATAACAATAATTGCTTACTGCTACCAACAATAGATGGGAATTTAAGTTACCATTAGGCGGGCTTCTATTGTAGGTATAAACTGCTTAAGTTAAAGAAGATCCAATAATTGTTAAATTGCATGCAGAAAAGAAAATTGTGTGGAAAAGAAAAATTTTAATTAAAAGGGGATAACAAGGTGAAAAAAAGGAAAAGTTGGGTTTTAGGGTAATTGGAGGATTTGGAATAACAGCTAAGGAGAGAGGTGAAAATTTTAATATTTATTTTGACTATATTTTCCTTGGATGTATTGAGAGTGGATTTAAACATGGAGTTCTTTGATGATGATACCATTAGTAATATGAACAGAATGGATTTAAAAAATAAGCCAAACATTTTTGATGATTTATTAGAAGAAGATGAAGAAGTTGAGCAAGTGAATGAGGAAGATGTTATTTTTTTGGGTGATGAGAAAAATAGAAATGGTTTGCTATTTAGAAGTAACTATGATACAGAAAGAATTAAATTTGAAAACGAAAATAAAGCTGAAAAAATAATTTTTGGGATTGAAGAAAGAAGAGAAGAAGAGTTAGAAAAAAGGGAAGATGAAGTCAAGGTAGAGGTTGAGATAGCAGAAAGAGAAAAATTGAATAGCAACCCATTTGGTATGGTAGAAAGATTGGACTTTCAGGAATTTAATGATAATTTGAATGATAATGAATTTGATAATGATTTTGGTATTGACAATAAATTTGAAGACAATGAAGATGTTTTTTCGTTTTCACGATTCAATAGAAATGTTAATGAGGAAAAAGGAGTTTATTCAAGGCAAATTGAGCATGTAAAAAATATAGAAACAGAGGAAAACGATATTTCAAATAACTTATTTGAATTAAATCAAAAGAAACAAGATGAAAAAGGAAGAAATTCAAATATTGAGAAAGAAAAGTTCAATTCTGAAAATTTAGCTTTAGATAATCATAAAATCACAAGCCAAAGTATTCAGGATGATAGTAAACTCAACGAAATTAAAGCAAGTTCGAATTACTCTGACACATACACTAATATAAACAAAGAAAATAAATCCACTTCTTTAGAGAAGATTGAGAGTGAAAAAATAGAGAAAAATATATTGAGCCATCATCTCTCAGGCAATTCTAAAGAAACAAATATTTACTCTTCCGCTAATAGTGGTAATGAGACTTGTGGGATACCCAACAATGTTACAAAAAGCAATTGCCTCCAATCTTCTATTGAAGATATCGATTGGAATAAAGTGTGTAAAATTATTGAGAGTTTTGAAGAACAAACAGGAAATATTGGAAGAAATCAAATGCTTTTTAAGTCAATTATTTATAAACTAGCCAATGAGTTTAACATTGTTGATAAATAATAATAAACTGGCGGGAACATAATAAGAATTCAGGCGCCAAACATACAAAATAATATTAAGTGTTAAATTTGTGAGAAGTGAGGATACTTTAATCAACATAAATAAATTGTATGTATACGAATATATTTAAATATAAGATTTGGATATATATAAGTATATGTATATATACATTTATTGGTTAGAGTTGCAGTTTATCATGGAAATTAAGCAAAGTATTTATTAAGACGTTGTATAAGTTAAAAGAAATTGAAATTCAATGAGAGGATTTATATTATATTTGTTTTTTTCAATATTATTAGTGATAAGTCAAGTGATTGATAATTCGAGGGCAGAGTTATCTCAGACTGAGAGAGAGTTTTCGGAATTTGATTTAAACCATGATGGACTTATAGATGCTCAGGAAATTAGAATTGTAAGAACTTCTGTGACTCTACAGGAACTACATCAATTTTTCTGGGAAATTGATTCTGATAGCTCCGGGACTATTTCACTTGCTGAGTATTCGCACTTTGTAACTACTAACTCTCATGCTCATCATAACGAGGGTGGCAATCAACATTCTTAAGAGGATTGCTATAAATGAGAGATACGTGAAATGAAAAATACAATTGCACAAACTATGTTATTTTAGTATTTTTTTTTTTTATTCATTTAATTGATTAGATGATATAATTATTGTTTTATGTTTTTTCCCTCTATAATAATAATAATCATATTAATAATGAAATTTAAATATTAATGATTAATGATCAAATATTTATTCAATAATTTAATGTTATATTTTCTTTTTTTATTTCTACACTGATTCTTACTTTCGTTATATATATAATTTCACCTTTTATTCCTAAAATTTTGCCGCGTAAACATGCATGCTTACATACAAATAGGGCGGGTCCTCCTAGTGCCCTGTATTAAATATTTGTATTTACTAACTGAAATAAAATGAAAGGCTTGGGAATTAGGTAATTAAATAAATTTGGCATTAAAAAGAGAGAATCGAATAATCAATCACAATCCGTAATATTTGGTCGAAAGAAATACTTTTAAAAGAACCGAGTAATATTTACACAAATCTATATTCGAGAATTTTTTATAACAAAATCTCTCCCGATCCAATTTTTTTAAAAAAAATATACACTAATAGTATTAAATAATGCATTGTTGACCAAGTTTTGGCGGGAATTTCTTATGAAAAACAATCATAATAAATATGACAGATTTATGTATGATGAAACCAGGTTATGTAAAATTTGTAGAGATTTAGATGAAGCCAATCTATTTAAACTTTAGTATTGTTTAATAAAAATGATGAAGAAGCTAATAAAATAAAACAGCTTTTAGTAAAAAAAAAATAAAACTTACCTCTCCCAATTTCTTTATAAGAGCTATTATTGTCAGTTTCTAATTCCAAAACTTTAAAAATTCATGAGCTTCCAACTTTTATTTAAATCTTAGAAATATAAAACTTCTAGTTCTTTGAATAAAATATTAAAATTTGGAAAACTAACATGAAATTTAGTTTTATGTTTAAATGGCAGTGTTGAGTTTTTGTCAATACGATTTACAAACCAATTGTAGGTAGGAAAAACATTAACAATTAATGCGTTTTTGAGAGATAAATTGAATATTTTTCCAATCAATTTTCTAAATTGATGTGATAAATCTTTCAAGTCTTCAATTCTTTCCCCACACTATTTGGCTTCCTTAGATTCTAAAATTATTGCAGTCATTGCTAACTGTAAATCACCACTTTTGCCAATTTATTACCCTCTTTAAGATTTTCTTTTTCCTGATCAATTTCATCCACAAGGTTCTCTTCATCTTCCACACCTTCTAACACTACTTTATTATCTCGATTCTCTAACACTTAACATTTACAATCCTCTTAGATTACTCTTCTCTCCAGTTAATTTAGCTACATTTTCTCCGGCCATTGAAATAGTCGAAGTAGATGTAGTGGAGGAAGTTGAGGTTGAGGAAGTTGAGACAGTAGAAGTTGAAGTTGAAGTTGAAGTTGAGGAAGTTGATGTTGAGGAAGTTGATGTCGAGGAAGTTGATGTCGAGGAAGTTGATGTCGAGGAAGTTGATGTTGAAGAAGTTGAGGCAGTGGAAGTTGATGTCGTAGTAGAGTTGTCATCTTTAATTGGTGGGTAGTGTGGATGGTGGTGATGGTGGTGGTGATTATGGGGAGGATAATGATGAGGATGATGTGGAGGAGGATGATGGGGAGGAGTATGATGGGGAGGAGGATGATGTGGAGGAGAATGATGGGGAGGAGGATGATGATGATGAGGATGAGGATGGTGTTTTGATTTATAAATATTTTCTTCATCAAAGCCTTGTTCAGCAGCAGTCTGTTTTTCGGGTAAATTCTGACCATAGTTATTTTCCTCAGTAATAATGATAGCTGAACTTGCAGAAGTTTCTAAAGGAGAAAAAGAAGGACTTGGTGGTGTTCTTGGGCTGCTTAAAGCTCCTCTTACATGAGCAGGTTTAGAAGATTCTTCGTATTCTGGGATCAAAACTTCTGTAGGCAAAATAGTAATATCGGAATCATTAGATAATGGTAGTGATATTAGTTGTGGTTCAGTAGTAAAGTTGGAAGAAGATGTAGATACATCTTCATAACCACTGATAACGTTTTGGTCGGAGAAAGTAACATCTTTTTTAGTATTAATAAATGGGTTTACTACATATTTCCCACTAATAACGTTCTTAAGTCCTCCAAAAGTAATTTTCCCAATATGAATATTAAGATGATCAATTAACTTAAAGATATTATTTTGGAAAGGTATAATAATATTGGTGTTATTATTTTCAGAGTTACTTTCGAGATTTGTTAAAGAGTTATCTGCTTTATTTTCAATCTCAGTTTTAATTGTTGTCTTGTTTTTATTTTCATTATCAAATTTATTCTTGATCTTTATTTTGTCTATGTTTAAACCTAATATTTTTAATAATATATAAAAAAAAAATTGGATTTAAACTAAAGAAAACTTACTTTGATGTGATGATGTATCATTACTGGTATCAATGAATGTATCATTTGTATTAACAGCCTCATCAACTAATTGTAAAGATTCATTTAATAATCTAAAAGTGATTAAAATTATATTATAAATTTAAATATATTAAAAAATAATTCAGTTAATAAGACCATTATTTGGTCATTTATATATTATTAATTAGATTTTACATATATAAATTTTTATATAATAATAACTAGTAATTTTAGCAATCATTACTGTCATTATTTAAATAAAAATTCTTATAATTTAAATATGAAAAAATCTTCATTAATATATATATATATTTATATACCAAAACATTACCTTAATGAATCTTGTGATAAAACTCCAGTTAATAGTAAAATAATATTTAAAATAAGAAATTTATTGACCATTTTCTTTAAAATATTCTTTAATATGCAAATATATTTATTTTTCTCTTAATTATTTATTGATCTTTTTAAAATACCAATTTTGCCAACTACTTTTAGTATTGTATACCAAACAAATAAATTATTTTCTTTCTTTTTTTTATTATTTATAATTAAAATTTAAAAATAAAGTTGATTTTTATCAATTTGATAAAAAATCTGATTATTAATATTTTATTTTTTTTATCATAATAGTTTTATTTAAAAAAAAAAAAAAAACATTCGAGTTTTATTTCACTTTTTTATTAAAAATAATGGATACCCGCCAAATACAATATTATTATTGGCGGTCTACTTTTAACAAATATTTATTAATTATATTAAAATTATATTTATACCGGTACATAATACATGTGGAAAAATATAAAATTCATGTGAAAATGAATTTCAATCTTAATTTGCGCATGCATGTACATTAAATATGTTTCTATTTTTCTTTTTTTTTTTGCCAGAGTAAAGTAGAAAGAATTGCATTTGGTAATAATCAAGTAAAGTGTTAATTTATTTAGTTTTTAATCATTTAACTTTGATTATAATTATTAATTATTTTTTTTTTCCAGAAATCCCCATATTTAATAATATATAATATTAGTCATAATATAAGGATAAACCCTAGTACATTAAAGACTTAAAATAATCAAATTTACTTAAATTGACTAATCATCTTAAAATATGACACTATACTATTGGCTTAGTCTCTTTATAATATAATATACTTGAAATTTCAGTACTTTTTATTAAACCATTAGTATTGAAATCTTTAAATATAAATATCAATTAAAGATTAATAAAAAGAGCCATACTTAAGAAAATGATTAATATATTTTTTAGGATTTCATAGTTTGAAAATAATGGTAAAGAATTACTCTTTCTGAAATGTTTTTTATAGAATCTTCTTAATCCATGTTTAAGATTAAAAGGTCCTCTATCAATAATTTCATAGTCAATTATATCAAGTCCATTTTCATATTTACATTCTTCAGGATTTAATAAACATTTACAATCATTAGAATAAGGATTATAAGTACAATGACATCCAGGATTGAATGGATTAATATAACATCCACATAATTTTGAATATGGATTTAAATTACATGGACATCCAATACTATAGGGACTTGTTGAACATCTTGGTATAATTGGAAGAATAATATCATTAGTACAAGAAATAATTGTTTTACATTCATTAGTCATAGGATAAGTAATATTATATTGATTATTTTGTATTTGATTATATATGGATTGATCATTATAACAGAAACAATCAATTCCCATTGGATTAGTATAACATTTATATTCATTATTATGTATACAATATATTGGATGATTAATACACATAAATTTAATATTTTTTGTAACTTTTAAACTTGCTTGACAGAATGGATTATGTTCATTATTAGTATTTTCAATTTTTCTTTCCCATAGAATTATTTTTCCATATTTATCATTAAATTCATTTTCTACTAATGTAATTTTTTCAATATCATTATAAGTTGGATAATTTATTAACATATTTTTTATTATTGATATATCAAATATTATACCTTTTAATTTACCATTAGGTAAAGTACATTTTTCATTTCCATTAAATAATCCATTTGAATTTTCTGCATATATTTCATCAATTACAATATCTTGTATATGTATTTTTAAAATATTAGAAATATGTTCTTTTAATGCCATTGTAATTTGTTTATAATTATCTTTTCTTTCATTACAAAATGAAGAATCTAGTAATGCCAATGTAACAGTTTGAATATAATTATGATTTACAATTTCATTATTAACACCATTATTACTGTTATTATTTTTTCCTCCTCCTCCTCCTCCTTTAATTACTGGTAATTTAACTTGGTTAGTGGATGGCATTATTATATGATTTATATTATTATCAGTAATCATAGGAATTGGAGTGGAAGTAGAAGTATTTGAAATAAAGGTTTTAATTGTAATTGTTGTTGTTGTTGAAGAAGTTGTTGTTGTTGCTGTTGCTGGTAGTTCAAG